AAGAAAACCACGAATTTTTCTTTAAAACGACACCCCCCCCCAAATCAAATTTAAAGCGAATGATTTCCCAGTCTTCTTGAAAAATAATACAAAGGAATACTTGCAAAGGGTATACGATATTTAACGTGATCATGGATTTGAATGTTTTCTGAACTACAAATCAGTTCAGTTAGGTACATCATGTAAAAGGTCAGTAAAGCTTAAGTCATTTGTTTGCTTATGTAATTTAATTGAATACGTGTACCAGAATCTCAGTGAATGTTAAAGTATGATTTAAAGTTTAAATTAATCTATTCCCGACTGAAGTTGGAAGGGGGGTAACTGTTACAGTTGATCTGAGTTTGAAAAACGGAAAATCCCTTTTCTATCCATAGAAAGGATTTTTATGCTAATTTTCAACACACTCATTTCTATATTTTCCAGATCATTTCTTTATATCTAAATCATTTTCCTTTCTTGGTTGGGGAGGTCCGGGTAGGCTCGGTTATGATATGACCTCAATATAGGAGCCTAGCTATTTGACTTTCCTTTTTATCAGTCTGTAAAAGTATTTATACGGTAAACCAAAACAATTTCATAGGCTTCCTTTGAAGAAATTATTGATTATTCCTCATTAATTAAAACAAAAATTACCGAAGACCGTTTCTTTATTCCAAACTACTTTCATACAAGTAAAAAGCTTAAATTGAAAACTACCGCAAGGACCATATACAAAGAATTATGAATATGTTCGTAGAGGATATTCAACGCCGATTTTTGTTCACATCAACAAAAGGCTTACACGTGATAAGTGATGAAATGTGGTAAATAATTTGCTATTATTGTTTCATTTGATTCTTTATGTAAATAGAAAAATTGTTTTGTGTATTGTCTTTCCACAAATCTTTAATAAAATAGAAATTTGGTGTTATGATTCTCTATGATATTCCAGTTAACATCAGTTAACATTGCTTTAAAATCTCCATAATTGCTACAATGCAATGTATTGAAATAGAATGCGCACATCAAAGACAAATAGGATTTCTTCATACTAATACATTGTTTATCCCCATTTGAGCGCCCCCTCTCCTTCCCAGTTTTAGGTGTAGATCATCAGATCATACGTAAGATGGAGTAAGGACCCACTATACCTTAATACGCATTTTTATGACACACGTAGTCTCAAGATTAATAAAACAAAACAGAAAAAAAACAAAAATGCGTTTAAAAAAAATTATATCATGACTCTTATTGCCCCAGTTCAATCCTCAAAGAAATGGCATTTTTATTTTCTTTTCTTTTTTTTTTTAATTTCATTTAATTTTTATTTATTTAATTTTTTTAATAGAATTTTTTGCCGAGAAAATAGTATTGCTTGTCACAGATTGTTCACAGACTGAATTTGGATTTTGAAACACTTGAAGCATTAGGCATTTTCGACGCTTTGTCCACTTTTTGATATTAAGTGTTAGTGTAACAACATGCAGACGATTCAACGAATCCACTTCAAGACACAGAATCTGTAAACATGTTGTTCAAGTAATAAATAAATTTTCTAAAGTAGCTGGCCAAATCTGAACATTGATAAATCGGAATGTATGTTACTAGGGCCCTTAAAAAATTCATGTAACAGAATAGATAATATAAAGGTAACAGATGGACCAGTAAAAACTTTAGGTATATACATAGGACACAACAAAGAAACATGTTTAGAAAAAAATTGGCAAGATAAAATTGATAAAATTTCTAAAACATTAGATTCATGGGAAAAGAGAAAGTTGACAATTTTTGGGAAAAAAGAAATAATTAACACTTTATGTACTTCAAAACTACAAAATATTGCAACTATTCTGCCTAATCCACCTGAAAAAATTATTGAACAAATAGGTAGATTAATTTTTAACTTTGTTTGGAATAGTAAAGACCGTATAAAAAGAAACACACTTATAGGAAAGGAAAAAGAAGGCGGAATTGACATTATTGATATTGAATCTAAATTTCAGGCATCCAAAGCATCTTGGATTTCAAGATTACTAAATACAAAATCTAGTCTTGCATCTTTTTTAAATCATTTATTTTATAAAGAGGCATTATCACTAGAATACATTTTAAAAGCTAATCTAACACATATAGATGACTATAAAGAAATAAAATATCTCCCTAAATTCTACAAAGAATCAATTTGTGCATTCAATGCATGTAAAATTACAAAAGATTTAACAAATTTATCCACTGACGAGTTCTTATCTTTGCCAATATGGAAATTCTGTACACAAAAGACTTGTATGATGTAAATGGCTCATTCTATGATATAAGACACTTCTGTGATAAGGTTTTATACAAAAACAATATCTTATGTGAATATTTTATCCTGGAGACAATATTTAACAAACTTTCAAAGATATATATATGTGAAAAGGCGTCATATATCAATATAAGAAATAACATGTATATACTCTTAAAAGGAAATAGATATGTAAGTAAGTAATGTAAAATCAGCTGTTTTCTATAACATATTCATTGAGAAAAAATTCTTAAGACCACTAACAGAAAATTATTGGAGTGAATTGTTTAATATTCCCAAATATTTATGGGCTTCTATCTACTGTATGAAAATTTCAAGAATGTCCGATAAACACATAGCAGAATTCAACTTTAAGTTATTGCATAATTTATTAAACAATAATTTGAGTGTGAGCAAATGGAATCCTAATGTACAAAAATTTTGTGCTAATTGTGGAGAAGTAGAAAATATTATGCATCTTTTATATAACAGTAACGACTCAAGTTATATATGGATTAAGTTAAGTTCAATTGTCGGGTTTAATATTAGTTGAATATATTACTTTCTTTCATTGCACTGAAAATTTTCAAATACAAGATGAAGTGTAGACTTACGAATTCACATTGTACAAGAGATTCTTTGAATAATTTTGTTAAATCTGCATTAAATACATATCAATATATTTCATAATTGTCTTATGATAATGTACAAATTCAAAAAGTGTTTTAAAAAGTTTGTAGAAATTATTAATTGTTATTTTCTTTGTTAAAATCATTAAAATACATGTATTTCTTTCTTCAACTGTAATCTTTAATCAAAATTGTCATATCATATACTGTTTGCAATTAATAAATAAAGAAAAGAAAAGTGTTAGTGTTATTGGTGACTAGAAATATTCAACAAACGATAAAAACTGTCACAGTCTGTGAGAAAAAAAATGTGATTTGTCAGTATTTGTCAGTGTCAATAAAAAAAATATCTCGTTTGCTGAAGATTTGACCACAAAAACGAACGTAGGAAAGAAAAATGTTTAAAAACAAAAAAACCAAATGATCTTTCTTTGAATCGGTTTTTAAAAAATCAGAGAATAACTTTCTGGTCTTCTTTGATGAATAATATAAACGCAAAGCTTATAAAACAGGGAATTATGGAAATGAATGCAATTGTTTATAAACATAACTTAACAACCCAACTTAGGGCCCTGTCACACCAAGCTGCGTCCACACGGAGTTATTACGGCGTTGTAGAAATTCTAAAATCGCAGTGAAATCGCAGGGAAATTGCACAAATTTCTGTAAATTTTTTACAATGTCAAGATGTCACGGCGTCCCTACGGCGACCCACGCGTTTCTACGGCGTTCTCGCGGCGTGCTACTGCGTTCACACGGAGATCTCTTCGCGATTGACTGTGCTTCCGCAGAGCCTTTAGGGCGTGTTAGGAGTTGTCACCTCGCGTTCACGGCGTTCTCACTGCACTTGCTGCGTTCACAATAAGTTCACCATGCGTTTTTCACTATGGATATATATTCAGAAGGCGTGTAACACATTTTTTTTTAAGATTCAAGTCACATGACGAAAAGACTTCTAATTATGCCAAGAAATATTCTTTAATTAAAAATGATCTATTTGAATAATTTAGTACTAAATTACTGATAGTTTTATTATTAAAACCCTTCTTTTTTCAATTATATCAATTCAGATGTTTTTTTCTTTCTTTGATTTTATTATGAATGTAAAAAAACACACTGAAAAATTGTTATAAAATTTAAGTAATTCCATCGCAACTCCATTGAAACAACAGAACAAGTTCTGGTGTAATTTTAACTTCCCAATTCTACTCCCATGCTCCTGGTCAGGAGTGCAACAAATACATTAGAATTATTGCTGATCAAATATGAGGGCATTGCTCTTGTTTGTGAGTTGACTGACAACGCTCTAACAATGCCGTAAAAGCGCATTGTGATCGCCAACGGACGCGGTAGAAAAGCCAACGGAGCGCAATGCGTTGTTGGAGATCTCACCGCGCTGCTGAAACGATCATACTGCGTTTCTACTGCATTCTTATCAGACGGCGATCACACGGCGCGTACTTTGTGCATGCCCAAAGTGCGCGCCGTCCCCTGGCGATCTAGGAGACCCTACCGCGTTCAGTGGAGGTCTCGTCGTGTTGTCACGGCGCTGTAGGAGACTCCACTGCGCTCACCTCGGCGTTTTGCATTTTTATGGACGCCGTGCGATCGCCGTGAGGACGCAGTCCCTTTGCGACAGGGGTTTCAAAAGCAGAGAACTGTATATGTGTAATCACGAGTTGTGTATATTCGTGAATAGTCCTGGACTACAAGTCATTTCACGTCAAAAGTAAAAAAAAAAAAAAAAGCAACAGTGAGTGCGCAAAAAAAGGAAAATCCCTTTTCTAATTAAGGAAACGAAAGCAAGAAGATCTTTTTATGCAAATTTTAAACACACCTATTTCTGTATTTTTTCAATCGTTTCTATTTATTAATATCAATTTCTTTTCCTAGATGGGAAGGTCCGTGTAGGCTCGTTTATTCTATAAACCCAATAAGAGTCTAACTATTTGACTTTCCTTTTTTAATATTTAAATAAGCAACATTCAGACATTCCCCATTTGTTATACATAGTCAACAAAAATGGATCAATAGCAACAGCATTCCGTCAATTTTCACTTGGAAAGGCCTAAACCAGGCCTAAACCAGACAATTCAAACACAGTTAGATTGTAATAAATAGTCTCTTTATTTGTATGCATAGAAATAAAATGTTAATATAATAGCAGTCTTTATACGTATCACAGTAACACATCACATACTGAATACAGCTTTGTATTACAGTAGCTCTGTAGCAATTACAATAGCTTGAAGATCTTATCAAAAACTTACACTCAAGATATTAAGTACAATAGTTCACAAAATATTCTCTGGACACATTTCATCAATGTAAGCTGTATTCAAATAAACAAGAAGACTATAAGGTGTAGGTAATATTATATCTATATTTGATCAGAACACTGTATATATTTTCATTTCAATTTTGATAGGAAAAAAGTTTACAAAACCCATGAAACATGCCTGAAGTATTAGTCACATTCAAGAACTTTTATACCAGATGTCACGCAAGTTTATTCTGCTCTGTCACCATACTGCTCTGTAAGAACTAAGTGTGAACTAATAGTGTCTGTTTAATAATATAATTCGATAGGTAACTGCACAGGATAGAAAAAGTACATGTAACACATATTATAACCAGTTCATAGTATTCAACGATCATTTAATTAAAATCATTAAAGAAACACAGGACAGGCTGGGTAACAACATGGTGTTAAAACAGCAATTAACATCTCAAAAACTGACCAATTACCCCTGCGATGTCAGTCAGCTTAAGATAGGTGAAATTCTATATAACATTTCAGATTTTTTTAATTCTATATCTTTTTAATTGAATTTTCAGGAAATTGCATTCAAATTTACACATATTTGAATATTTTCCAACTAACCGATTACAGATTTTCTAACCGATTACCATTGTTATGACCAAATAACGGGTTAACCAGTTACATATTGCCATTCCTAATATATATATATGTGTGTGTGTGTGTGTGTGTGTGTGTGTGTGAGGGTGTGTGTGTGTGTGTATATATATATATATATATATATATATATATATATGAAAATGAAGGCAGATTGTCATAGCACAACACCATAGGCTTTAAAATAACATTCTTGAGACAGCAAAAGCTATTATGAATTCAGAAACATTACCTTTTTATGTATTGCACATACATGAAATGTTTGAAAATGCATAGGATAAAACATATTACCATCAAAGACTATAAAAGACCAAAGAAATTGTTGATTAACAGCTGTTGTTCACATGGCCTCAAAACATTAATAAAAACAGTGACTATAATAAGGATAATTTCATTGCTTCCTGCACTCCTAACATGAATGAATATACAACTAATACTGACAGAATTGCTTTCAGAATCTCTGACATTTAAGTTTGTGATCCACTGAATATTGTTTGGCTGTGTTTGATGAGGTCATACAGACACATACTATACAAGATGGATGTTAAATGCCCCTGACTTAAATATGTAATTGATAAGTATATTAATGCACTTTAGAAGGTCAATGATAATCACTGAAGCCTCACTGAGGCATTATTATTTAGGAAACTCTACTGCATACAATAGATAATGAATTAGTCTAATTACTGAATGTATGTAAAAGAATTAAAACAGCCATCAGATCTTACTTCTAAAGCAAAATTAACTGCTACAATTTGAATTCAAATATCACTGACTCAAAAAACTTTTTAATAGACATGTAAAATAAAAGTTATTAAAAAATAAAACAGGCAATGTTATCTAAATTCACCTCAGTGAAAAAAAAAATAATTTGACTCAATACATGTATATGGTGATCAATAAGCAATTGATTGCCATAAATGCAGAAACAAACAGATCTGTATCTACTCCTATCTAGTGGATAAAATGTTGGTTTTTTTAATTTCTCTACATTATAACCTTTGAGCATTCCCATTAACATACTAGCAGGATCCTAATATCCTACTAATTAATTCTACAGGCCTAAAGCATTCATCCAGATTTAATTCCACCATAATTCCATCCATCACAAGATCTCAGAATTCCCTTTGTGTTCAATTTCTGTCATCATCATAAGTTTCATCTTCTTCATACATTTCATCTTCATCATCCTCATCATATTCCTCATCCTCAGCCCCGTACAGGATCTGTTCATCAGGGAGGTTTATATCTTCATCAGCCTCTGCCAGCAATTCATCAGAGCTATCAACAGATCAGATACAGATTACAATAACTCACTAATAACATCAACTACAATGTATCTCTTTAACAGATTACATTATCTTACTCAGTAGTTATAAATATCTCTTTCAACACTTCTTAATATTTATGTTTGCATGAAGTCAGAGAAATTTGGGTTGTCTTTTTCCACATTGATGCAGTGCTAATTATTACATGATTTATTAATCAGCAGCAAAAGTAACTAGAAGTACAGTTTGTAAGCTCACAAAACAATGGCCACCAAAGTAATTTTTCCAAATGCCAATTTTCAATGTTGTAAATGTGATCTTGAACTTGCCAAAATAATTTTGGTTTAAAAAAAAATGACACATACTCAGGTCATAAGTAATCTTTGAGTGAAATATGGACATCCAATGTTTCTCCATTAGGAAAGTACAGATTTGACATGAATTTTACTGCTTTTTTTTGCCAGTTAATCTTGAACTTGTCACAGTGATCTTTGGTCAATATTATGACATACTTTTAGCTTAGGAATTATTTTGAAGTTTCAATTTCTAACAAAAATGTCATACTTTTTCTGCCTGTCACCTTGAAGTTGTTCGAATGACCTTGGGTCAAGATCATGACACACTATCAAGGTATACGGTACCTAATATTTGAGTGAAGTACTAATCTCTAATGTTTATCCATTAGAAAGTTATAGACCAGACAAGAATTTAACACTTTTTCTGCCTGTGACCTTGAAATTTTGTGGCCAATTATTCAAATTTTGTGGCCTCTTATTCAAGGTTGCCAATGAAAAGGACATCTCAAACCTGCTAAGTCTAAGGTTAAAAATGACACTAAACGTACCCAGATTCTTGAGTGGGTTCATTAGAGGAGTTTCCTCCTTCCATGAATGGGAGGGAGACTGCCTGATCCTTCCCCGAGTATCTAGTCTTTAGTCTCAGTAGTCCCTCACAAAACTTCTGTCCCATTTCCTCCAACATAAAGGTAGAAATATGCTGGTCCTGGAAAGGTCATATGCCATAGTTAACAGATATTAGCACTTATAATTAATAATGTTTATCATTCTTCTACATGCATACTGTCTGTTCCTAAAAGTGAACAACCCATCAGAAATGTTGCCTGTTTTCCAATTCTAGCATAATATCATTCTATCAATTAACTTTAAGTGATCTTACTTAACAATAGAAAACTACATCAAAGTAGTATGAAAATGAAAATAACAACATTGCAACCTTAAAAAATAACTAATAAGCCTCAGACCTTGAATTTTCCATCCTTGTCTATGCCACAGTATGAGCTTTCCATAGTGTAACTGCGTATAACACCAATTTGTCGCCACACTACCACACGAGCTGTTGTTTCCTTTGCTTTCTCTACTACAAAGCTACAGTTCTGCCACGAAAACACAGGTGATGTCAGATGAAGGATTCTGGGTAATGTCTGAAAAAAAAAACTCTCCAGTAAACTTCAACTGTTCATTAATTAACACATTTATGAATCACTATCATAGACCCCAAATGCAAAGGAATCCAGGGTCATAAATTTCAATATTTGTAGAGATCTCTTTATAATCATATAAGATATTGTATGCCTGGTAGATGTGATGAAGAATAGAAAAAACATTTCAGAGAGATAATGCATTTTTAATATTCACCAAATTGGCCCTTTCCTTGAGCCTAGTAATAATAATGCAAAAAAAGTTTGTATGCTAGATGTCTTGGTGTAGGAAGATTTATTAAAGATAATAATGTATTTTCAGAATACATGTACTGTACGAACAATATAGTCTAAATCCTGGAAAGAAAATTTTCAAAGATTATCATTAAAGTTATGTTGATGGATTTGGCCCAATCTCTCAAGACAGGGGAGAGGGATCAAACAATCACAATGCATTTTTGTGCTTAAAGTTGCTACATGTATACAAAAAAAAATGAATGATTTTAATTCAGCATTTAGAGAAACGCACATAACACAAGCAACTGACAAGAACAGATAACAACAGTTAATGGAGCGCCTCTGGTGACCTAAAAATAAGCCATTATGTTTACCTTAAATGAATTATCCTCTGTCTTATTCCCTGTGCATGCTGGGTTTTTGGTGTCATTTTGTATGTAGGACAGGGTGGGACAGCAGCCATAAATAAATATATTTTTTCTTCTGGAGTGACCATGGTAGTCACAGAAAACCTGAAAGATCAGAGAGAGGCCAGATATGCAGAAGGCAGACAAACTAACTAAAATGATTTCTATGGGGTTTTGTCCCTAATATTTAAACCAACAGAAAGCTAGTTATTTTTTTCTAAAATTTGCAAGATGAATTTCATATATATTCACTTGTTTAATATGCTTACCATAGGAACTTTTCCTATCATCTGCATATACTGCAGTAGTCCTTTAGCATGGTAGATGGTGGGGTGGAGCTTAGGACAAGGGTTGTCCCATCTTCTGTTCAGGTCCTCAGCTGCAGTTGAACATCTGTGACTGTAATATACATGCAATAAAAAAGATGTGGGTCATTCTTAAATCAGCAATTTGCACATCATGTTCCAGAGTTTCACTCCTTAACATGCAAATTGTGAGAGCACAAAGTAAAAACTTTACCATCCATTGATGACACCATCTGGATTTAGCATGGGGACAATCTTAAAGATGTAGGTCTCTCTCAATAACTGGGCAGCTGGTCTCTTGCTCAGCAAGAAATCTATTGTACCTGAAGAAACCAGAATTGTATTATGTAATCTGAGTCTTTTTCTTTATTTTCATTTAGATATGCTGGTGCTATCCAAATGTCACACATTGTAGATTAATATGTCAATACATGTACCTTTCATGACCCAGCTGGAGTTACTTTCTCCTGGATGAACTCTTCCAGATAAGAAAATGTATGGTCTACTCCCTGTGAAAAGAAGCAATTACAAACATTTAACTAGTGCTAATTGTAACGGGAACCGTTACAGATGTTCCCCAAACGGCTCCCCAATCCCTTATGATGCCCCATTCCCTACAAGCTTCAATAAATTAGACAATACTTTTGTAATATAGATGGACACTTTATTTTTAAGGGTATTTCATTGGAAAACTACTCCAATATAGCCATATGGGTATTAGCCAATCAAATTTCAGTGCATGTGCTTGCACATGTTTTCTACATTTTTCACATTAATTTTCTTATAGTGTCTCACAATACATACATTTGTGTTAAATATTAAAGAATTTCATTGATAAATAAGAGAGATGTAACCATTTAAGTATTAGCCAATCAGAATTCAGCATATGCGCATGCATGGCCTTGCATTCAATTTTGATAGTATCATAATGTTGGAGCTCTTTGTGCCTATCCATGTCATAAATTTCATCCTGTTTTGTTGAAAACCAAGGGAGTTATAGACATTTAAAGTTTCAACCAATCAGATTGCAGCACACCTGCATGCACGTGTTTTCAAGAAATTTCCTATATAACATGTTGTAGCACCTTATAATATATACTTATATTCTAAATTTCAAAGTATTTTGTCAAAAAACAAGGAAATTATTGAGATTTTTGTATCAACCAATCAGAGAAGAGCGCACGTGCATGCGCGTGAGTTCTAGTTAATTTGACCATGTCATCTTGTCTACACTACTAATATATCTTTATATTTTGAGTTTCAAAGCAATTCATCAAGAAATATAAAAGTTACGGCTTCATCAAGTATATCAGTCATTTCACTCATTGCACGCGCGCGCACGTGCATGCATGTGCGCGCAAAATGACCTTCGTTCCGAACACCTACACAACATGCCTATTAACCCTAAAAAGGTTTCATGTCAATCGGATAAGTGGTTTTATGAGAACACTCCCGGACAAAAAAGTACCGGAGAAGAAAGTAGAAAAAAAGAATAATAATAATAACAATAATAATAATAAGAAACAGAGTAAAAACAATATGTTCCCAAACTTCGTTTGGGGAACATAATTATGTAGTATTCAGTGTTTCTATGAGTAAATACCATATTTAATTGATCCATAACATGTAATGCTTTAACTACAATTAAGTCTTCAAAAAGCCTATGGTCATGATCTTTTTTGTGACTTAAGTGACTTTTAATGAAGTTCTTCTTCAGTGAGGGGTCTGACAGGAGCTCTGTTTTTTTTTTATTACTGAGATCACCATCAAAGGTTTTGCTCAGCCGTTTGGCCTGCATGATGAGCGACTTGGGGGGGGGGGGGGGGGGGGTCTGTTATACTTACTAAAGTCATCTACAAAGTCCTTACACAGTGACTTGGACTGGACTGAAATTCTATACTTCATGAGGTCATCTACAAAGTCCTTGCTCAGTGACTTGGGCAGGACAGTTATACTTACTAAGGTCATCTACAAAGTCCTTGCTCAGTGACTTGGGCAGGACAGTTATACTTACTAAGGTCATCTACAAAGTCCTTGCTCAGTGACTTGGGCAGGACAGTTATACATATTAAGGTCATCTACAAAGTCCTTGCTCAGTGACTTGGGCAGGACAGTTATACTTACTAAGGTCATCTACAAAATCCTTGCTCAGTGACTTGGGCAGGACAGTTATACTTACTAAGGTCATCTACAAAATCCTTGCTCAGTGACACGGGCAGGACAGTTAAATACTTACTAAGGTCATCTACAAAGTCCTTGCTCAGTGACTTGGGCTGGGCCGTAATTGTGAGGACAGGGACTCCATTTCCAGTGATTGTGTTACAAAGGGTCTGTTTCCTGAAGAAGATCTGTGTATGGTCTAAGTACTGTTCCCAGAGATTGAGGTGTGTCTGTAGTGTGGTATATGTGTAAGGATAATGGTATGCTAGGTAACAGATGTCCTTGTCATGTTTGAAGGTCATAGTGAAGGTGGCAGTATAATATGTCTTTCCCTTGACTCCTCCCGTGGCCTGGGCACTGCGAGTGAAGTGATTTTTATAGTAACAAATTGTGGAGCCTTTCCTCAACCAATATGGCTTTCCATCCATGGCTTCGGTCACAGAAAACATCACCGGTTTCATTCCTTGAGAAATATGAGTCAAAATTATAATTTTTTTTAAAAATTTAATCAATCAATATACCTGTTCTTTTTCCATCTTTGAAAAATTAATTGTTACATGTGAAATATTTTTTATAACATAATAAAGTTCTTCAAGAATTATTGTACAATATAGATTTCTATCATAAATTTAATTGCCTCTTAATCATAATATGTAGAATTCTAAACCTCGATGACAAAAATTTTAATTCATCATTTCCATAATAAATATTCAAAGGACTAATGCCAGCAACTGAAACCTACCAAAGTTAAACTGGCTGTTGAGTTTCTCACAGTTGACAATGTTAAACCTATAAGGCACATCAGCAATCATATTGCTGACCTCGAAATAGAACCACTGGTGGTGGTGATTTGTGTTCACATCTGGGTTCAGAATAAGGTCATACTCAAACTCTCGAACCTATAAATAGATATAGGACACTATATCAGAATAAAGTCATACTCAAACTCTCAAACCTATAAATAGATATAAGATGCTATGTCAGAATAAGGTCATACTCAAACTTTCGAACCTATAAATAGATATAGGATGCTATATCAGAATAAGGTCATACTCAAACTCTCAAACCTATAAATAGATATAGGATGCTATATCAGAAAAAGGTCATACTCAAACTCTCAAACCTATAAATAGATATAGGATGATATGTCAGAATAAGGTCATACTCAAACTCTCAAACCTCTAAATAGATATAGGATGATATGTCAGAATAAGGTCATACTCAAACTCTCAAATCTATAAATAGATATAAGATGCTATGTCAGAATAAGGTCATACTCAAACTCTCAAACCTATAAATAGATATAGGATGCTATATCAGAATAAGGTCATACTCAAACTCTCAAATCTATAAATAGATATAAGATGCTATATCAGAATAAGGTCATACTCAAACTCTCAAACCTATAAATAGATATAGGATGCTATATCAGAATAAGGTCATACTCAAACTCTCAAACCTATAAATAGATATAAGATGATATGTCAGAATAAGGTTTAACTCAAACTCTCAAACCTATAAATAGATATAGGATGCTATGTCAGAATAAGGTCATACTCAAACTCTCAAACCTATAAATAGATATAGGATGCTATATCAGATTAAGGTCATACTCAAAATCTCAAACCTATAAATAGATATAGGATGCTATATCAGATTAAGGTCATACTCAAACTCTCAAACCTATAAATAGATATAGGATGCTATGTCAGAATAAGGTCATACTCAAACTCTCAAACCTATAAATAGATATAGGATGCTATAGTCATTAATTTAAATAGGACCCGAAATCTTAACAGCATATTCTATGTTTTTAAATATTCTAACTACAGTTATCTACATGTATATCATATTACAACAAATCAATAAAAGACTGGTGTATTTTTTCCACTGTTAGGCTTTGATACAAGCATATGACTATACGAGGGGTGATCAAAAAGTTCGCGAACTATCTCCATATTTACAAAACCACAATTCAGATTAGAATGAAATTTGGCACACATATAGTCATACATATGTTCATTAAATAACATATGTTAAATAATGTTTTGCTCCGTGTTTATGACGTCACAATGTGAAAATGACATCAATATGTAGGTCACTTGTGACAAAAAATGGTTGACTCAGTCGTACTCGAGCAACGAACGGCTCTAAAGTTTAACGTATATCTTGGAAATTCTTTTGCAGTAGAAGATGATAATTTGTACAAGGTTTATGAAGGCAAAAGACTTACCAGACATTTAATCATTAATTGGATGGATTGTTTTAGTGAAGGCAGGGAGATGGTTAAAAATGATGTTTGTTAAGTTGCCCAGCGAAAGCAAGCCGGGGAAAATATGTGTCCTTAGCTGAGCAATTTTTTATGAAACATAGCCAAGTTACAATTAGAAAAATGGTTGAATATCTCAACAATACTATAATCGTTAAATCCCTAAAACATCGTTTACTTTAGACTTTAAACATATGAGATATGAATGCACCCATACTTTATCCACATTGGATAAACAACGCTCCCGAGACAGAGAACTCGGGTTGTGATTGGTCTCCATACTAATTATGGGAAGGGATATCCTTATCCACCCATCCTATTGCCAAGATTTGGCCATTTCTGACAGATGGACTGTTCTTGTTATAAAAAATAACTTGCATAGTAAGAAATATAAGACTCGGAAAAATCTCTTAGCTTCTTTGAACAGACTGCTATGGAGCATGTCACGTGACTGCCTGGATCACGTGATTCGCGCATGGGCAGAACAATGGCAGATGTGCATTAAAATCAGAGAGGACTACTTTAAAAAATAATAAACACTGAAACCTCATTTTATGTCTTTTAAGGAAGTTATTCAATTAGTTCACGAACTTTTTGATCACCCCTCGTATTAAGCAATGTACCTTCAAGTTGGCATAAACTTTTTGTTATGCCCATCGAACTGATAATTAAGTAATGCCATCCTGTGTATGATTGTATGAATGAATTTTGTAGTTTTGGTATGAATTCTTTACTGGCAATGCCTTGCAATAATTTTATCATACTAAGCATTGTCTGTTCTTACATGAGGTTCTATACTGACAATGTCTTGTGATCTATTTATGTACTAAGCATTGTCTGTTCTAACTGGGGATTCTATACTGACAAAGTCTTGTGATCTGTGTTAGTACTAAGCAATGTCTGTTCTAACTGGGAATTCTATATTGACAGTGCCTTGTGATCTGTGTATGTACTCAGCATTGTCTGTTCTTACTGGGAATTCTATATTGACAGTGCCTTGTGATCTGTTTATTGTCTGATCTTACAGCAGATTCTAATTCTATACTGACTTGTGTTCTGTTCTTACCCAAATGGCCTTCCTGAGATTGCCACTCTCAAACTGTGAATTAAAACGTAACGAGGCCGACCCACCAGCCTCAAGTCGACTTCCTATCCTGTTAAAGAAACAAATATTACCTAAATATATGTGATTGAACTTTTCTTTATGTTAATATATAATAAATAAACTACTAACTGGTGAAAGTAAAGCTATGCAGTGTTTAATTAATCATAGCTCAGCAAGTGGCACGTAGCCCTTCTCACAGTGTGAGCTCTAATGACAACACCTGGGCGAAGAGAAAATTTGGACTTTGCACATTGAATCCAAATGAAATTTTTTCCGCAGTTACCTTGAGACAGTTACTTCGTAACAGTTGTTGATCTTGTTGCTAACTTCGTTCTCGCGGTAACAACAACTAAAAATTAATGGATATGGCATACAGGTAGTAGATTAAACGTTCTTTGTTAAAATTTTGCACTTTTCAAACTTCATTTATGGAAACGCAGCTAACACATGACTTCATTTGATGTCACAGTCTAGAAGTTCCATATTTCTCATGCAGTTTGAAGAGGCAGATCTTAAAATTATGTAAACAACTGCAACTTCGCTCACCCAAATGGTAGCACCATCAACATATTACTAATATATATTCAACTTATCTTGGCTATGTACATGAATCTTGGCAGGTTACGAAATTTAAAATATTTCTATAGTTGTTCTCTGGTTTTTATATGTTGAATTAAGTACATTAATTAGGTTTCAGTGTGCGAGTGTTACCTCATCTGGTCCCTGTTACTGAGGTTAGCGTTAGATGGGGAGTAGGCACTAGAGGCTCGGGCGACCACAGTATCCACATCATACACCACACGGTCTATAACATGCTCAGGGTGAATCATTCTGTCTATGTCCTCAAACACTTTCATTCTACAACAAAAACAATGTTTTCTGTTCTGACAAATTCCTTAATATTATTACAATTCAAAGAATATTGGAATAAATAATAATCTCTTTATTATTTAATTTATGATAAGTTTGAGTTGATGAGTTTATACTGACCTCTGAACTCCGAATTTTCTGTGATACAGTCCCTCCAGACTAGGTGGGGATTTCCCTCCCACTAAGTCTGGATATGCCAGCTTCTCAAATCTGAAGACACTCTTGGTGGCACCGGCCAGTTCCTGGAATACAATGGGATTGTGAAGGCACTGATCCATCTCCTCCTCATCACTGCTGTACCCCTCCCGATCAAGGTCAAACTCCTTACTGGATGAAGGAAATGGGGTGATACATAATGCGTTACAGAACTCAGTCTCTGCCTCATTCAACCTCACTCCCGTACTGGCAGTAGATGAGAGGGAAGAGGAACTCTTCTTCTTTTTGTCCTTTGTCATTTTCTTACTTCCTTTTTGCTTTCGAAGTGAGGAGGAGGAAGAACTATTTGATTTTTGCAGCAGTTGCTTAGGTTTGGCACTGGGCGGGGCTTTGACTGGTTGTGATAAGGGTCCATCCAATGAGAACACACTGGTTCCAGTTTTAAGGTTGATGGCAGTGGCAGAGTCACATCTTGTAGCACCATAAGATTCGTAGTCTGGTGTGTCATAGTGTAAGGAGCTGTAGCCACTACTTTTAGAGCTGGAGTAACTGGAGGCTGTTGGCATTCTAAGAGTAGGTTGTCTGGGCTCCGGTTCAGATGGAACAGTTCCATAGGAATCTATGTTGCCCGTTGGGATGTAAATAGAAGCTGAGGGCTCGTCATCATCTTGGGGCTGAAATTTTGATTTTCTTTTTAAATCACAACATAGTTCACTAAACTGTGTAGGGCTGAATCTGACTTAAACAGATAATAAATGAAATACTGTAGTTTTGACTTTTTTAAAGAATCAGACTGACCTCAATTTCAAACAGTTCTGGGAAGAAATTGTCGTACATTCTTAGGTCCTCAGGAGTTCTCTTGTATGGCTCCGGTGCTTCACTGGCATCATCTTCAGCCTAGAGGTGGGACATTTATATAGTTAAAAGACAAACTGACAAACTTCTGGAATAATTTTTATCAAGATCTGTGACAAATGATCTAATTTACAGCATATTATCTGTGCTACTTGTACCTCTTCTGAATGGTCCTCTGTTTTAAACCTTTCATCATCGGAATCGATGTCGTCATCCTCCTCTAACGAGCTGTTATCACTGTCTGGTGAGTTACCATTAAAACCATTGTCATTTATCCCATCTATAGATAATAAGACTAGGGATACAATCTATGCAAAATGGTAACACTATTTGTCACATCATTATAAAACTTTTTTTCACATAATATACTGTACAAAACTTTTTATTTAGAAAACTTTATTTCTTTGTAATTTTGCAAGTCTGTCTGCTCGCAAAAATTTCATTCCCATGTACATTTACCTAATAAAAGATTATTTACAACAATATCCAAACTTTGTGAAAATGTTGTCATGCTTATGATTACAAAATAAATGTCTAACTATCTTGTGAAAATAAGACGACACAAAAATTTGGAGATCTACTGTAATTGGTTTGTTATATTACTCAAACATGCAAGCCTACCTTGTCCTGTGGGATACAGGTCTGACTCGGGCAGCTCCTGGCGGAAGGGACTCTGCAGATTGTCCAGGGGCAGTTTATTTCTGGGACAGCACTTTCTCATAATAACACTGGCCAGAAGAATCAAACTCTCCATCTCTCGACAATCAATCACCTCCAGTGCACTGTCATACAGAACCTGGATCCCATTAGCATCAGCCAAAGCCTTCCTCCCAGAACCTAAAGAAGTAAGCATCAGAACCTACAGAAGTAAGCATCAGAACCTACAGAAGTAAGCATCAGAACCTACAGAAGTAAGCATGAATTCTCTCTAGGTTTTATTGTAAATTTTAGCTTTCATGTCAATATGGAGGGAAGGAATTACTACATGTGCAAACTTCTCAACAGAAATTCTAAGAAATTCTTTCAAGCTTATTCCCAACTTAAGACTGCTGACAACTAATATTAGTAACAACTCTCTATCTAGTATCAATCCATTTTTTTGCAATTACCTCAATAAAACACTAATACAAACCCTACAATAATTAAATAAAACACTAATACAAACCCTACAATAATTACTTTACATTCTCAGACTCTCATAATTCATTTTGAATTGTCATCTTTTTACACTGAATATATATTCATCAGCATGATGCAGCTTTTATCTATTTTCAACTGACACAGGCTTTTATAAAATCTCAAAGTTATGCAAAAAAGATGTTGCCTATTCAGAGTGAATTGAGATGCTTTTGCAATGGATTTTTTACTGAATGGTAATGATTTTTAGAAAGTGCACACATTACACGAGCCTTTCTTTAGACTCACTTTGCTTACCATGGCATTGTATCTGACAGGTTCTTTTTTATAAAAGCAATTTACACAGATATTCAACACACTTCCAAAATAATCTGAGTGACAAACAGAGGTGTAAACATATTTCAATGAGTGAATAATTATAACAAAAGCTAGTGCTCTGTGACTTACGCAGATTGGTGATATTTTTCAGGATGTTTAGAATAGCTTTCCTGAGACTGACATGTCTGTGTTTAGTGTCCAGCTGATGCCATTCATGGTACAGTGCCAATAGATGTGGGACGTGCTCCCCACCTATGGTTCTTGCTGCATTGTTCCCTGATAAAATATGTCTCTTTAACTTAACATTGTGAAGGTACTGAAGCTACACAATTTAACATATACAACCATTACACAATACTGTTTACCAGGCAGTTGCAGTGAAGATTTGTGGACATTAATAAACATGCATAGCTTTTCTTAAAAGATGGTTTGCAGGAAAATAAATAACAAACATACAGTAGTAACATGTACTGTGAAACCATTAATAACTTTCATTTTTAAATAACAGACTGAATACAGTGAGACATGAGGGAGGTGTTTACTTGACTTAGTGAGGTTAGTCAGGATGTCCAGCGCCAGCTTCAGAATCGCCGTGTGTTTCCTCCCACACTGCTGGATCACACGGAACATCGGAGGGATTGAGTTCTGCTTACCCAAGTATGATGCATTCACACCTGTCAGAAATGCAGAATTATGTCATTCTTAAAAATAAAATCAACTATTATCAAAATTATTATTAAAATTTAAATTTTTACTACACTGTAATGAGTGAGATCTATATTTCATTAATCCTAGAAAATAACAAGCTTTACAAGCACATGTACCATATATAGGAGAGGTATAAAATCCGAACTTACTATTGTTGGTGTAGGCTTTGAACACCTGTAGTAATGACTGAAGATTCTTAAAGTTGTACAGATTATTCTTGATCAAATTCAGGGTGATTAACAGGACCAAGTTTAGTCGTGCTTTGGTAGCAAATTTACGGTCTGAAATCATATTATTAGAGAATGAAAAGAAAAAAAAATCACTATAATATTTGTTCAAAATAACTCAAATTTACTGACAAATAAATTGAGAAGAATTAAAGCTGGTAGTGCAAGTTCCAATATATTCACCTTTTTGGGAGAGTTTCCCCAGGATGTAGTGAGCCAACATCATGGTTTCATCAGTGGACATTTGGTCCTCAGCCTCCCTGTACACCAGCTGGAATAAAATGTTGGTGGCATTGGCACTCACTAGCACACTGGCTCGTTTACCAACCTCTGGGAAAACAACGACATGCCGTTAAAAACAGAAAGGCTGTATACAATCATTTGTTGTACACAGATGTAGCTTTGTGATACACAACTCATAAAAAATTGGTTTCATATACTGTACAGTACATGTAGCTTAATAATTAATGGTTTGCTTATGTATTACTTATTTCTTTTATTTTAATCCATGTTTTCCTCATTTATCTGAAGTGTTTGATTTTTTTTTTTCACCATTCAAACATTCACCAGTAAAGTCACTGACCATTTCTTCCATATATGGATATATTTCTTTATTTACTTACGAGTTTTCCCTACAATTTCTGCTAAAATCTGTATTGTGTTCAAAAGTACAGCTCTGTCACTCGTGTTCTATATAAAAAAAAAAACAAGATATATCTTATGTTCATTAACTGTCTGTATTTTCTATACAAGTTAGTTTTACCCAGGCTTGTTTACACAAAAGATTACAAGTAATCTAGCAGTGAATATACATTACTTTGAAGTAATCATTAAACAAACATAAAAGCCTGGAAAGAGATCCTTATATTTACCTTTAAAGTAGCCAGAATAAGATCAATCCATCCCGAGTTCTTAATGACTGTATCTCTGTGAGCTTTGTCTGTAGGAAATTATTCCTCTCTTTAAATCAAGTGTTACAGAAACATGGCAATAAAGCATGTGTTCAGTCCACATTAAATTAGTGTCTGAAATATTTGTTAGTTCACACTCTACAAATCCATACAGGCTATTACATTATCAAAAACCATGCTCATGTTATTATGAAAACACATGAAATATATCAACTTCAATCAAATGACTCAATGTGTTCTTTCAATTCAAAGGGATTAAAGCAATCCGCAAAAATGTCCAAAATATTATTATATTCACTGATGCATATAAGGTAATTCTTTTTTATATAAATGTAATTCTTCTGCATTTAATATTTGTCTGAAGTTTGTTTCAATTAATTAAGATGAAATGGTGTCACTTCTGTTGCCTTCACTCATTATGTCTTCTATATTATACATACTGTTTATTAAATTTATCACTTTAATTTATCAAATGTTTACTTACATGCATCAAAATCTGTACTTACCAGTGCTCTGTAAGTTACCCGAGGCTAGAAAATAGATTTCTCTCTATTGTGGTTAACTTTTCAACCTTAACTTCACATTTTATTAATCCCTCATGAAAAAAAGGTAAAATTTTTAAAGGACAAAATGATTCCCTTTATCAAAGATTTGTTGTTCTTTCTCTAATTTGAATTTCCTTCATTTAATTCAAGAATGCTGATGTGGAATAAACATTGTCAAAACAAATGTGTGTGAAAAAAAATATAGTTTTAACTTTAAAATGTTGACTAGGTTTGTTTGCTTCAGAACAAATAAACCCCTAATTTTGTAGTAAATGCTATATAGCCCTTTTCACAAAAAATCTTAAATTACATTTCATCGTAAAAGAAAATATAGGATTTTGTTCCTTTTCTTAAAATTTCTTAAGAGATTCCTATGTGTAAAATGTTTTGTTCTTTTACTACAGCTCCAACCATCTTGTACATGTAAGTACCGTATTTAGAATGGTGTTTTATGTAAATTAATAAAGACCAAAATACATGTTCAATTTAAGATCTTGACTCACCCTACAGTATAACTTTATGTTACAGTTATTTAAAGAAAAATAATCAAATGGCATTTCTTACTACCTTTTTTTTTTTTAATAACACCTGTGACCGTAATGTCAGATTTAAATACTTTTACTTTACCATGTGTTCACATTTATTGCACTCTATATATTTGTGGTCAATTTCTGATCTGCTTACAATTTTTAAAAAACTTTGTTTATTTTCATTTGTCCACTTTTTTTAGGGATTATAAAGCATATGAGATCGTTGCTAGGCAAGAAGTTTCTTGTAAGTGTTAATTATTTTAAGATAAATCTTTTATGATTGGGTTAAAAAAAAAAAGCACTTTAGATTTTTTATAAGAAATTTTTATGTTAAAAACTTATGCAAAAGCTTTAGAGTTTTTCATGAAATGGGCTACTGATGTGTTATTCTTGAAAACACAGAAGAACTGCACTTTTAAATGGAGGCAATCCTTAACTTCCCTTATTTGAAAGGTACCTGTTGAATAATCCCTGGAGAAAATATACTAAATGTGTAAATGTGATGGCTACCTTGTGAGTTGAGGATCTGGTAGATCTTAGTGGTGACACATCTGATGGACTGTATATCCTACCTTGTGATCTGAGGTTCTGGTAGATCTTAGTGGTGACATATCTAATGGACTGTATATCCTACCTTGTGAGTTGAGAATCTGGTAGATCTTAGATGTGACATACCTAATGGACTGTATATCCTACCTTGTGAGTTGAGGATCTGGTACATGTAGATCTTAGTGGTGACAAATCTACTGGACTGTATATCCTACCTTGTGAGTTGAGAATCTGGTAGATCTTACAGACCTGTTTACCCATATTGTTTTCTCTCAGTATTTTTTATTAGATTTGTCTGTGAGATTTGACATTTACCAGTAAGATTCCACTTTCATCCCATTTTACACATATTACTAGAGAACAACTACATTTCTGATTACCAAAACATGGTTTAATAACAAAGAAAAATATTATACCTTGCTTTCTTTCGAGGGGTTTCTGTCATTTTTAAACCACCGCGTTTTGGCAATCTGACATCACTTAAGTGTTTGAAATCTCTCTTGTCAACGCTTGTTACACAAGACTCTTGGAAAAAATTGTAAAAGGATAAAGGTTGTATTAATAATCGTTTTTATTTCCTATTGAAAAAACATTATTTATTTTAATTTATTACACCTTAAAAGGATTTTTTACTTAAGAATTCTTACTCCGCAAAACAGTTCCCTAAAAACTTTGAAAATAAGTCGTTTTGAAGGATTATAGATTTAAAATAAATGATGAATTATCATCTTTATTGATAATTATAATAATTAATTACTTTTTAAATTTCAAAAGTTCAGCATTTAAAATTTGTACAAGAATCTTGTACAACGAGCATTGACAGAGGTGTTGTGACCATAGCAGAAGACAACTCTGGATAGAGAATGAATGAGACAGATCATAACGAAAACTAACTGCTAAAATCCAAATGAACGGATTTCCAATTTCCGTATTTTCATAGTAGCAAAACGTGAGACGTAATTTCGACTAAAAATCTGTACAAAATACGGCGAAATCATAAGAGTAAACAGGTCTGATCGTAGATGCGACATACCTAAATGACTGTATATCCTACCTTGTGAGTTGAGGATCTGTTAGATCTTAGATGTGACATATTATCTAATGGACTGTATATCCTACCTTGTGAGTTGAGGATTTGGTAGATCTTAGTGGTGACATATCTAATGGACTGTATATCCTACATAATGAGTTGAGGATCTGGTAGATCTTAGTGGTGACATATCTTATGGACTGTATATCCTACCTTGTGAGTTGAGGATCTGGTAGATCTTAGTGGTGACATATCTAATGGACTGTATATCCAACATAATGAGTTGAGGATCTGGTAGATCTTAGTGGTGACATATCTTATGGACTGTATATCCTACCTTGTGAGTTGATGATCCGGTAGATCTTAGTGGTGACGTATCTAATGGACTGTATATCCTACCTTGTGAGTTGATGATCCGGTAGATCTTAGTGGTGACATATCTTATGGACTGTATATCCTACCTTGTGAGTTGATGATCCGGTAGATCTTAGTGGTGACGTATCTTATGGACTGTATATCCTACCTTGTGAGTTGAGGATTTGGTAGATCTTAGTGGTGACATATCTAATGGACTGTATATCCTACCTTGTGAGTTGAGGATCTGGTAGATCTTAGTGGTGACATATCTTATGGACTGTAGGTCTTCTGTGCTTGTCTGATTCCTTGCCTGCTTACCCCCAATCTTCTCCAGTTGTTGAAATAATGTCTGCAGTCGAGACCTAAACAAATTATACAAGTGTCAAGAATTTAATTATATCTAACTGTATCATGTGTATGGAGATATTTATTTTAATGTTAGAATAAAACCGAGGGGAAAAAAGTGGCATAGGATTTATGTACCTATTATGCAAAGGTTGTCTCATATGACATGACAAATTTTACATAAAACAAGTAGAAATATAGCCTACTTACCCTAAACTTCTGTCCATTGTAGATGTGTGTCTTTATATGTACATTTAAGAGATTTTGTAGGGTATCATTTTCTTAACAAGTCCTATAATATAAGAGAGAAAATGAATCATTGTAACTTATTTCTAATTTTTTTTTAACTTTTTAATATTGTTTGCTTTTTTTCCAGGTGTAAGTTTGGCAGGTGCCCAAGGTACCACTAAAAAGTAAAATCATCATCTCTGTATAAAGACTGAGTGTAGAAAGTCTAGCAACACCCCCTTTTTCTGAATCGTTTCAAAAAACTTTTTTTTATGCAACATGAATTTATATTTTTTTCATTATTATAAATTCTAATTTAAATCTACCCTGAGAAAAAAATCAATAGACCGTTTCACAGTAACTGCTGTACTGCTCTTTCGCAGGGCAAAATGATATAGTTTGGTGAAATATAACGTAAATGTATTAAATATACATCATTTAATTATTTCTCAACAAAAACTTCGCCAAACATTATTTATTATTTTGCCCTGCAAAAGAGTAGTACCGCAGTTTCAGTGAAGGGGCTAATATCATATATGCAGCAAACATATGATTAAACATTCATCGGTTTTATAGCCAAAAAAAAAAAAAAAATTAAGCAGACATTTTTTTTTTGGGGGGGGGGGGGTGAAAAATTGTTTTCTGAAATGTTTATGTGCAGTGACATTTTCTGTGATATGATAAAAATAACTTGAAAAGTAGAGTTCACGAACACATGGAAAGTCAAGGTCAGAAAATTATGAAATAGTTCAATTGTTCTCAATTATTTGTATCAGTGTATGAAGTTTGATTGGATTATCTTGAAAAGTTTCTTTGAAAATAAGTTAATTGATGCAAAACACGGAATAGTGTGGTCAAGGTGATAGAAAAGGTCAAGGAACTCCACAAGCTAAAATGAAAATCTAAAAACTAATATTTAATGAATGAATCATTGTTTTTTTTTTTTTGTCCCCATGCTTTATTTTCATTAATCAATTACTTAGTAAATGTATTACTGTCTCTTGTGTACCTGATGGGAATTTGACATTCCTATTCCCATTTTAAACATAAAGAGAAGCTGTGATCATCATTATGAATAACTTTGTCTTTACAACATCAGTATCTGACTGGACTAAAAAAGCTCTGAAAATATTATCGTTATCATTGGGCTCACATTTACTGTTTTCTTTTTTCTAAACTCATTGTGACCTTCAAAGCATTTGATTAATGTTGAATTTCTAAAATAACAATTAATACAGCTGTACAAGAAAAACACTGATAAAAATGGCTGTTAAAATTAGTCGTTTTATTGAAGCATTTGTCTGATTCAAAATGATGAAGAGCCATATTAGAAGGGATAGAAAATTGTCTGAGTTTGCAAATCATCACTCGCAAGATTTTCTAATGTCCAGCATTTTTACTAACATTTTTTCAAAGTAACTCACATTTAGTGAGTATTTCTCACTAATTTTGATCCTTGATATATGTAAGAAAAAAAAATTGAGCTGTTCTCACCAATATGTGTATTTACATGGATTTTTATTTTAAAAATATCTTAAAGAATTCTATGAAACTGAGCTAAACACAATGTAATATGTATGACAAACACAAAAAGATGGAAGCACAGAGGGACAGCAGGCAGACATGACAATCAGCTGCTCCGTCATAACCATGACAGGGCATCAAAAACCTAGAGTAGACAAAGCAATGCATTACACTAATTCATCTATTCAAATCTTATATTTATAAACTTATTCTTGAAATATTTCATATTCTACAATAGTTGGGATGTACTTTTTCCACCTCTACTTATGTGTTCGGAACCTTTTATTTTGCGGTGTTTTACAAATTAAAATACTGAGGAGTTTGCTGTAGCTCTGGCAAGATTAAGTGAGACTATAGTGAGATAAGGTTGATTATTCATGGAAATGTGGCTACGAAGTGACTAGCACATAGGGACAGAGTAAACAGTAAAGTTATGTTATGTTTTAGTTTTCATCCCTGTATAGTTTCAGTAGAGAGGTATTTTAATCTAACCTAGAATTCATTCAAACTTCCATAATATTCTTTATGACATTACTTTCTTCAGTTATGTATTAAAATTTCTTTTGGAACGAACATAGTCATACCGATACTTGCATGTATGAACAATATTTCAGACTACCTTTTATTTATGCATATGTTTTCTAGTTAACAACGTAACAACGAATTACAAACACCCATGACATCTTTCATAGTTTCAAATCTTTTTTTTTTTTCATAAAAACATTTTTTTTTCATTTGGGTTTTTTTTGCAGTCCATTTGATATTGTAATGTAGATTGATCTGAACCATGTGTTTGAAGTTAAATGTAGTTGGCCACTAAACTTTAGCAATGGGATGTTTTGCACCTCTGCATGGTTCACCCTACGATGTTTCACGCCCATTCTGTTTCGCCCTGAGATGGTTTGCGCTGCGATGTTTCGCTCCAAGTACATAAATGTACTATTGAGTATAGTTCGTTAAGTAAAAGATTTTAAATGCATGTAAATATAGATATTTTGAACATTACTTTCTTTTTTTTAAATTTAAGAAGATTATTTGAAGTACATAGCATATTTATCAATTATTTTAACAGCATGCTAATTATGTATAGAGTAAATATGTATATTTAATTATAATACCACCATCTAATTATTGCATGACAAGTGATAACTATAGAAATAATTCTCACCTTTTCATCTCCAATTGTTTAATACACATGCTGAGCAAATGGGCACCTTACAATCCGTTACCTTTGGCAATGCATATCATTAAGTCATGAATTTGAGCACACAACATAAATTTATATCTAAAAACTGCTAAATAAATTAAAACTGATCAAAATGTGATGAAATAATTTTAAAAAATGTGAGATGTTTCCTGCCGAAATCGGCACAAATCATCCAGGCACAAACCATCTCAGTGTGAAACAGAATCAGCGCGAAACAGAATCAGCGCGAAACATCCCTATTTGATGATTGGACAATTGTTTGTGGTATGATCAGCTGTGTATAATAATAACAATAGCCAAAAATGGTAAATAAAGGTCTGTCATCGCAGTAGATATTAAATACTATTATACTTTTTTTTACCATTGTATTGGGCGATTATGGAAAAATAGTAACTACTCAGCTCCAATCTTTGCAGTAAATTATCACAGAAGCATTGGATAAGTAATCGATTACTGTATGTGTACTTAAAAAAGCGGGCTTCATATTTTAGCGGCTTTGGCGTAGACAACGATGGGCTAATTTATGACTACCTCTAAGAAATTGTTTATATATCACAATACACGGCACAGACATGTGTAGCGCTAATTCATGATTATGCCAACAACTCCTTACCAAGTGATTGCATTAAAATTTGAATATGCCAATATATGTACACTTACGGTATTTTCACCTCCCCCCATGCCCCCTTTCCTTTTAAAATCATGATAATCTTTCAGAAAGGTCTAGAAACACATTATTCAGGGTACACATATTTCAAAGAAAAAGATAATAGCAATTTCCTATTTATGGCCAAATTTAATTCATAAAACCGGTTCCACCTTACAACCTTTGAATGGGTCAATCTACACTGTCTTAAATTTAAATCACAATAACATTAGTAGGGGTGTTTTCTAGAACACTGCAAAAAGGGGATGCGGCGAAAAAAGGAAACACTTTTGTCGGTATTGGCATTGTCTCGCAGGACAAACACAGTGAATACCATACGTCACGAATTATACTGATGAGCCTGAGGCAAACATTTTGTAAAAGAGAAATTTCCATGCAATCAGCTGTTATGTCACTCTGCGTAATCTTCGCAATCAAAGAAATGCAGGACATTGTAAAAAAAAAAACAACAAAAAAACGTGTAACTGCACTTAAGTCAATAGCCAATTGAATTCAGTAACGAATTACTTACCGTGATAATTCGTGTCTAATTACCCAATCCAAGTTTGTCGGACATGTTGTTTTTCAGTTGTCACGATGGGGGCGCCACCTGCATTTGAAGACAGGTTGTGTCATGAATTATTCGTTAAATGTATTTTATTTTCTCTTATTTTGTTTCTTTGTTTGTTCGATAGGTTTTTGTTGTGTATTGTTTAACCAAAGTTTGTCAGTTTTGTTATCTTAATTTTTTATGAGAGTGTTTGGGTTGTTCTATTTACTGATTCAAAATCGTAAATATACATTATTTTACATTAGTTCATGCAAGTTAGTTCAGGAAGTAGCATACATGCATGAATTTTTCATTAAAAGTCAAATGTGATTAACAGATGGCCATTTGTTTTTATGAATTTATTATCTATTTATGTGTTTAATTAGACAAAAATCTGAGCGAGATATCCAGAACAACTCTCGAGTTATTGCCCGCTAGTGGAACTCTTTTGTTTAACCATCAACAATGTCGTTGGTCACCCAAACTGGCCTTCGATGCTTTAAACGACTGATTCCGCAGATTGCATCAAGGTAAAATGTAATAAAGCGATATTAGCTTTTACGAAATGTATTCTCTATGCTGCTTGTTTCTACTTTAACTTTAAAAGCAATAATAACTCGAATTTTCTCTGTTGAAAAAGCCCACAAAAATTGCTCGTGCAAAGTGTTGAAAAGTCTGGCAATCATGTCTGCACTCTGAAATTCTTTGTGATATATGTAGATTTAGTAAAAATCGTACTTCTAAGAATTTAGATTAATGTTTATCCCAGTATCAGGCATTTACTCATACCAACGCAGGATACTCTAAAATTCAAATGTTTTCTTTCAGGGGTTATTCCACAGCAGACCCAGATACCCCAGGAGCTTTAGTGGCCCCTATAGAGAGAACAGCAGAAGTACGAGCACCAAAGAGAGAAATATTGGTACCAGAGCAGGTATTTAAGCAATAATTTAGATGATGTAAATCTTCACAAAAAATAACTTACTTAAAATTGCTTTGTTTTTCGACTTTTTTTGATCAGCTGAATGGGATTAGGGATACAATGTATAACAATCCATCTTGCTTCTACAACACTCTCATCCATACCATAGATAATGGACGTTTTAACCTTGTTGAACCATTTACCCAAAGACATTCTGCGCTGAGACGTTTCGCGTGGAATATAATCTAATAGTATATTATCTGTTATATACATATCACTTCATTTAGGCTGATATTTCATGTCTGACTGGAGTACCTGAGGAACACATAAAGACTAGACGAGTTCGGATCTTTGTTCCTGCCAAGAATGCCATGCAGTCTGGTGTGTTTGGGACAAGGCGATGGAAAATTGAGTTTGACACACGTGAGAGATGGGAAAACCCATTGATGGGATGGGCTTCAAGGTAACAAACATGACACACGAGTCATATTAATATATCACATGAAGAACTACACTCAAACCTCATTATCTCAAACTCACTGGGACCAAGAATAAACTTCAACATGTCTGAGGATTCGAGATATTGGGGGTAAAATACTTAAAGAATAAGTCATTTGGATTTCCAAATAATTTCAAAATATCCATGGTATTTGAGATATCAGTGTTCGAGATACCGAAGTTCAACTGTACTAAATCTTATTGTATATTTTTCACCCATTTAATTCAACATTAGTGTCATTTAAGTTATTAAAACTGTTTTTTAAATGCAAGAGTTCATTAGTATTAAATTGATGAATAATCTTAATACCAATGTCAAATAGTTAATTGCTCTTAATCACAGCTTTTTTTATAAAGGGGGGATTCAAAAATTTTTTCCATTTAAATCAGGCTTTAAAACATCACCAGATAGAATTTCAAATTACTCATGTACATGGATAAAAGACCTTTAAATTTTTCCATATGTTTATGTAAATTTAGTTAAACATAGTAGAGTGATAATATACAATTTTTTACATGTAGTTTTAATCTCATTCAAAATTGGAAATAAACATTTTTGCTGGGTTTTTTTTGTCTGTATATGTCATATTCTGTCCACCCAACCCCCCAACCCCTTCCATGAAATAACAAAACCTTTCCTAATACAGGTACATGTAAAAAAAAATTTAACCTGGGGGAGAGCGGCATATACAAACCAAAACACAGCAAGAAAAGTTAATTTTTTTTACCAATTTCAAATGAGATTAAAATTTAAAATTAAAATAACCCAAATAAGTTATTGTAAATCAACTTTTATTCGCAAGCAAGAAATATCCGTGAGTTTCGCGACCTACCCTGGTATTTTAACTCAGGAATATTAATCGCCGTGAACCATTTATTAGGTCACCTGAGTCACTCAGGTGACCTATTGCTATCCGTTTTTGTCCGTCGTTTTGAACATTTTCAGCTTCTTCTCTGAAACCGCTCAACCAATTTCAACCAAATTTGGCATATAGCATCTATGGATGAAGAGGAACAAAAATTGTGAATTTCATGGTCAATGCCCCCCTGGGGCCTGAGGGGTGGAGCTAAAACCACCAAAATTAATGCAATCTTTAAAAACCTTCTTCTTTACTCCTGGACATCAAGCAGTCAAACTGTTGGCATGATTGTAATAAGCATTGGGCCCTCTACCAAAATTGTGAAATTCATGGCCCCAGGGTCAGGGGTTCTGGTGCTAGGGTGGGGCTATATAGATCATATAGTGAAAATGCATTATTTCTTTGAAAATCTTCTTCTTTGCTCCTGGGTATTAAATAAACAAACTAAGTACATAGTTATGAAGAGCAAGAGTGCCTTATCCAAAATTGTGAATTTCATGGCCCCAGGATCAGGGGTTCTGGTGTTAGGGTGGGGCTCTATTGATTATATAGTGAAAATGCATTATTTCTTTGAAAATCTTCTTCTCTGCTCCTAGGTATTAAATAAACTAACTATGTACATGGTTATGGTGAGCAAGAATGCCTTTTCCAAAATTGTGAATTTCTTGGCCCCAGGGTCAGGGGTTCTGGTGTTAGGGCAGGGCTATATAGATCAGATAGTGAAAATGCATTATTTCTTTAAAAATCTTCTTCTCTGCCCCTGGGTATTATTTAATTTAAACAAACTAAGTACATTATTATGATATGCAAGGATGCTTCTTCCAAAATTGTGAATTTCATGGCCCTAGGGTAAAGGGCTCTAGTGAAAAGGGGGGGTGGCTCTATTGATTATAGTGAAAAAGCAAAATTTCTTTGAAAATATTCCTTTCTGCTTCTGGTTAAAAAGCAAAGAAGCTATGTGTATAGTTATGATGAGCAAGAGTGCTTCTTCCAGAGTAGTGAATTGCGTGAGCCCTGGGTCAGATGTGCTGGCGTAAGGGCGGGGCTCTTGATAATATAGTGAAAATGCATTAATTCTATTTAATAATCCTGTCTCCTCCTTAGTGTTAAGCAGATAAACAAAGTGATTACTTATAATGAGCAAACTTCTGGTCCCAGGGTCAGAGGCTCTGGTGTTTCTCGGTGGGGAGGGAGGCTCTATTGATAATATAGTGAATCTGTAGTAAAAATGCATTATTTCTTTAAAAATCTTCTCTGCACCTGGGCATATCAGAGGCAAAAAGGGTAAATGGTTTAATAAGGAAGGGTATTTTTTACCAGATTTTTGAACATCTGGACCATTTGGTCAAGTGTTCTGGTCCTGGCCAGGGCTCTATTAATTTGTATTCTTCTGAGAGGAGTTATTCCCTTTTGCCATTTACTTTTGATAATTAATCACTATAAATAATATACTTGAAAGTTTAATAGAATAAGAGAATTATGCAAGAATTTTTATTGTATAACACAAAAAGTACTTTCATAGTTTTAATGATCAGTTAGACTTTTTAGTAATAGATAAGTAAAAATGAGACAAAAATAACTTGTCTTATTAAATGTTCATCAAAGACCAAGAAAGGCCAATGTAAGAGTTTTCAACAAGGAATTAAAATAGTAAAGAAACACTGATAGTTTGTTAATATACTGTGTGGTGATGGTGATAAATGGGGAACAGATAAGAACCTAATTTATGAACTGTTACTGAATGCTAGACTAATTATTTTGTTGATCTGATCATCCTATTTTTCTTGCTTTTGGGCAACAAAGCTTCACCTTTCAGTTTATTTTATACTCTATGAATCCTCTAAATTGTTGTATTATACTCAGGTGACCGTTAAGGTCCTTGGGCCTCTTGTTTTGCTTTGTAGTTTCCTTAGTCATGAAAATTAATCATCGCTGATTGATTTCAAACTGATGAATTGCAAATAAAAGATGACGTGAATACTAGTTGGTTTACAGTATGTTTTGTTAATTTCATATCAATATTAAAACATGAAATTCTGCAAAAATTGGATAATGCAGAAAGGACCCATTATTTGGTGTCTGTAGTCTGTTTAATTTTAGTGCTAGAGGAGTAACAATACAGCCATACATCGATCATATTGATTGCAAGGTCTCACGATATCGTATCGCCATGTATGTATCATGATACAGTACAAGTTAATTTTAATTGTCTAATTTGAAAACTCTACATGCAAACTAACAAATTTTAATATTACAAAATGATTGAAAACAAAGTAGCAACGAAAAAATGCAATGCTAAGACTATAACTTATAAGTCCACCTATTAATAACTTTGGTTAGGGGTATCAAGATACATGTATTCCTTTTATATTTTCTATAATTGTGTAGGGCTATAGCAAACAAGAATATGTAAAGATATTAGTTAATTTAATTGTTGACAACTGTATCATGATACATGTTGTATCATATGACTGTATCATGATACGTATCGTATCGTTAGATACCTTGCGATACTCATACCTATAAATGAGTGCCCATCCTCTAATTTGGGAGTAGAATTTAGATAACCTTGGTTAAATGGTGTCTGTTGTCCGTTTATTTTTAGTGCTGTTCCTCTGTTCAATTCGGCAGAAGAATTTAGATAATCTTGTTTGTAGTCTGTTTATTTTTATTGCTGATCTTCTAATTTGGCAGTAGAATTTAAATTTCCTTGATTATATGGTTTCTGTAACCTGTTTATTTTTAGTGCTGATCCTCTGTCCAATATGGCAGTAGAATTCAGATCTCCAGAGGATGCTATGGACTTCTGTGAAAAGAATGGTAAATAGACATTTACATAGAACTATAATGAATGAATCAATTATTTAACAAAAATAAGTTTTTCTTTTACTAGTTATATAATTATTTTATATGAAGTTAATGTTTGAACAGAATGAGAAAAAGCCTTATACGACAAAGTACTCATGTTTGGTGTCAGTGTGTATCTTGGCTTTTCTTTGTTGAAGGATGGGAGTACTATTTAGAAGAGAAAAAGGAGCCCAAATTCAAACCTAAATCATATGGAGCTAATTTCAGCTGGAACAAAAAAACAAGGGTGTCCACAAAATAGTTTTATGACAGAGCTTGTTATGGTCAAAAAGGGACTTGAAATAAAAATTATTTGTAAATAAGATTGAAAATAAATTATGTGTAAACTGATAATGCATTTTATAGAATAATTATTATGAAGTATAATAATAATACTAAATAAGGAAGGAAAGTAGACAGAAAAGCTGAAATCATTTTATAGTAAAACATCCAAATATGAAACAGATGTAGCAGACACTGTGGTGTCTTTTAAGACCGCGGAACATTAACTGGAAAGATGGGAAATATGCAGGTTACGTCATTTCCATTTGTTACGGTCAAAACAAGTTCGAAGTTGATTTTTAATCCACCGAGTGCGTAGCACAAGTCTCCACCCCCAAATTTTTATCTACGATACAGAACCTGTTGAATTCTCCAAATGATTTGTGACACGATCAATCAAAAAAAAAAAAAAACAAGAGGCCCATGGGCCACATCGCTCACCTGAACAAATTGGCTAGGGAAAAAAAAGCAAAAATCAGTTTAGTATTGAAAAGTTAACGGGGGGGGGGGGGGGGGGGGGGAGGGGGGGTGAATTTTAAACTACCTGATGATGCTTTCATATCAATATAACAAATGGTATTGCTGTTCTTGAGCAGAAGATTTTTTCCCATATATTCATTTGTAAAAATTTGATCCCCCATTGTGGCCCCACCCTACCCCTGGGGTCCCTCATTTGAACAAATTTCATTCTACACTACCCAAGGATGCTTCCATATCAATTTTACTAATCAGGGCTTTTCTTTTCTTGAGATTAAAGATTTTTTCCTATATATTCCTCTGTAAACTTTGATCACCCATTGTGGCCCCATCCTATCCCCGGGGGTCATGATTTGAACAAACTTGAATCTACAATACCGGAAGATACTTCCATATAAATATGACCAATCATGGCTTTGCTGTTCTTGAGAAGAAGATTTTTAAAGATATTTTCCTATATATTTCTATGTAAAACTTTGATCCCTCATTGTGTCCCCACCCTACCCCGGGGGGTCATGATTTGAACAAATTTGAATCTACACTACCTGAGGATGTTTCCATATAAATATGACCAGTCATGGCTTTGCTGTTCTTAAGAAGAAGATTTTTAAAGATATTTTCCTATATATTTCTATGTAAAACTTTGATCCCCCATTGTGGCCCCACCCTAACCCCGAGGGTCATGATTTAAAAAACTTGAATCTACACTACCTGAGGATGCTTCCATATAAGTATGACCAATCATGGCTTTGCTGTTCTTGAGAAGAAAATTTTTAAAAATATTTTCCTGTATATTTCTATGTAAAACTTTGATCCCCCATTGTGGCCCCACCCTAACCCCGAGGGTCATGATTTAAAAAACTTGAATCTACACTACTTGAGGATGCTTCCATATAAGTATGACCAATCATGGCTTTGCTGTTCTTGAGAAGAAAATTTTTAAAGATATTTTCCTGTATATTTCTATGTAAAACTTTGATCCCCCATTGTGGCCCCACCCTACCCCCGGGGGTCATGATTTGAACAAACTTGAATCTACACTACCTGAGGATGCTTCCATATAAATATGACCAATCATGACTTTGCTGTTCTTGAGAAGAAGATTTTTAAAGACATTTTCCTATATATTTCTATGTAAAACTTTGATCCCCCATTGTGGCCCCACCCTACCCCCGGGGGTCATGATTTAAAAAACTTGAACCCACACTACCTGAGGATGCTTCCATATAAATATGACCAATCATGGCTTTGCTGTTCTTGAGAAGAAGATTTTTAAAGATATTTTCCTATATATTTCTATGTAAAACTTTGATCCCCCATTGTGGCCCCACCCTAACCCCGGGGGTCATGATTTGAACAAACTTGAATCTACACTACCTGAGGATGCTTCCATATAAATATGACCAATCATGGCTTTGCTGTTCTTAAGAAGAAGATTTTTAAAAACATTTTCCTACATATTTCTATGTAAAACTTTGATCCCCTATTGTGGCCCCACCCTACCCCCACGGGTCATGATTTGAACAAACTTGAATTTACACTATCTGAGGATGTTTCCTTATAAATATGACCAATCATGGCTTTGCTGTTCTTGAGAAGAAGATTTTTAAAGACATTTTCCTATATGTTTCTATGTAAAAATTTGATCCCCCATTGTGGCCCCACCCTACCCCCAGGGGTCATGATTTGAACAAACTTGAATCTACACTACCTGAGGATGTTTCCACATAAGTTTCATCTTTCCTGGCCCAGTGGTTCTTGAGAAGAAGATTTTTAAATGATGCCATTATTTTTTCACTAATTCCTAATTATCTCCCCTTGCAAGAGGGTGTGGCCCTTCATTTGAACAAACTTGAATCCCCTTCACCCAAGGATACTTTGTGGCAAGTTTGGTTGAATTTGGCCCAGTGGTTCTTGAGAAGAAGTCGAAAATGTGAAAAGTTTACAGACGGACAGACAGACAGACGGACGGACGGACAGACAGACGACGGACAAAATGTGATCAGAAAAGCTCACTTGAGCCTTCGGCTCAGGTGAGCTAAAAAAAAGCAACGCCCACTTTATAGCTGTGCAGGATCCAAACTTCCGCCAAAGTTCGTTTGTTCTCTCTGTAGATGAGGCCTCGAAGGAGTTATACATCCGCAGTATATATATATTTCCACGGACAACGTAAGATTTAGTCAGATTAGTTTTGACAACGGGGTAGACGTAACAGACTTGAATGATAAGGTGGACGATTTAAGCTTGTAGATGGAGATTGATTCTAATTTATTTCAGGGGTCTTAAATACAGGCGATACAGACAGTTTTTCGATGGACTTTGATGTTACGGATTTTTATTTTCTTATTGAAATGCGACATTAAAAACGAAGTGAAAGAGATGTGTGGCAGTCGTCAGCGATGAGGATTTAAGATGAAATTAAAAAAAAAAAACCTGGAAAATGGACTTGATTGAGTTTGCACGAGAAGAGTGGAAAAGAGGGGGGGGGGTGCGAATTTCACCCAATGTATGCTGCATCCGTGAACCCATTGGCTTTACTATTTTGAAGGGGACACAAAAAGCAGGGAAAGCAAACAGGTTTTCAGGAATTTATCCAACATAGGATGTTTTCCATAATTGCGAATTTTCCTTTTCGTTTGGATCGAAATAACGTGTCGATTCTGTGTGGAATAATTTTTTAAAAGTGATTGAGAAATTTTGACATTTTACATTCCTAAGGAAATATTTCTTCAAAATTTATAATAGGAAAAAAATCAGCATTTACTATTTGTACGTGCTTTTGATAAAGTGAATCAGATTTATTTTTAGACCGTGCTGTATTTTAGATACAGAACAGTTGGCTAATACAAGACAGTATACAGGGCTAATACAGAACAGAAAGTAGCTTTGCCCACTGTAGTCTCGTACTGTATTGCTAATACAGTACAGCAGACTTCAAAGAAAAACACCGCAATCGTGTCACAATATATACATGTAGGGCTAATACAGAACGGAAAGTAGCTCCGCCCACTGTATTCCCGTTCTGTATTGCTAGCAGACTTCAAAGAAAAACACCGCAATCGTGTCACAATATATACATGTAGGGCTAATACAGAACGGAAAGTAGCTCCGCCCACTGTATTCCCGTTCTGTATTGCTAATACAGAACAGCAAACTTCAAAGAAAAACACCGCTATCGTGTCACAATAATTTGTTTTCATTTTATTACAGTATGTAGGTCGCCCGCGTGGCGTAGTGGTTAGAGCGTTCGCTCTAAAGTCGCGGCGTAAGGAGTTGATCCTTACGTCGCGGGTTCGAATCCCACTGTGGGACGTGGAGACCGGTCCTTCGGATGAGACCGTATAATTCGAGGTCCCGTGTCGCAGTAGGTGATGGCACGAAAAAGATCCCTCACTGCTCAATGGCCCTGAGTGCCGAGTATACACTGTAGGTAAAAATTTGCAGCTCCCCACCGGCAAATGGTGGCGTCTCCATACGAGTGAAAAATTCTCGAGAGGGACGTTAAACAATATAAACAAGCAAACATTACAGTATGTAGAGATAGGAGCTCGAGGAACCTTTCCACAGACATTTAGCATGAAGCATATTGTCAACACATTTTGAGTTTATTATCTCAAAATGTTATTTGATTTGATTTTTTCCTTTTCATTGTAAATAATGGTAATGTCTATGTTCTTATTGTGACACGGTAGCGGTGTTTTTCTTTGAAGTTTGCTGTTCTGAACGGGACTACAGTGGGCGGAGCTATTTTCCGTTCTGTATTAGCCCTGTATACTGTGTTGTATCAGCCATCTATTCTGTATCTAAAATACAGCACGGTCTAAAAATAAACCGGATTCAATTTATCAAAACCACGTACAAATAGTTAATGCTGATTTTTTTCCTATTATGAATTTTGGACCAATATTTCCTTATGAATGTAGAATGTTAAATTTTCTCAATCTCTTTAAGAAGTTATTCCACACAGAATCTACACGTTATTTCGATCCAATCGAAAAGGAAAATTCGCAGTTATGGAAACATCCTGTGTCGGATAAATTCCTCAAAGCCTGTTTGCTTTCCCTGCTTTTTTGTGTCTCCTTCAAAATGGTAAAGCCAATGGTTCACGATTGCAGCATCCATTAAGTGACATTCGACACCCCCCCCTTTTCCAGTCTTCTCATGCAAACTCATTCAAGTCCATTTTTAGCGTTTTTATTTTTTCAAATCTCTTCTAAATCATCATCGCTGACGACTGACCCACTTCTCTTTCACTTCGTTTTTAATATCGCATTTCAAGAAGAAAATAAAAATCCGTCACATCAAAGTCCACCTACCTCGGTAAACTGAGATTTTAAGACCCCTCAAATATATCAGGATCAATCTCAATAGTGTCATAAAAATACTAGAAAGTTAAATATTCCACCGTATCCATTAAGAAATCAAGTCAATTACGTCTACCCTGTTGTCAAAACTAACCTGACTGAATCTTACGTTGTCCGTGGAAATATATACATGCGTACATGTATTTATACTGCGGATGTTGCACAGCTAAAACTGCATGCGAGGTGCTTATTTTGATTGGTCGTGTCACAAATCATCTAGAGAACTCGACAGGTTCTGCAGTGTGATTAAAACCAGCCCCCCTTCTCCTTTCACTCGAAAGGAGAAAGGGGGGGGGGGGGGCTGGTTTTAATCAGACTGCAGGTTCTGTATCGTAGACACAAATTTGGGGGCGGAGACTCGTGTATCTACGATACAGAACCCGTCTCGTTCTCTAAATAATACTTAATCTCCGTTGATCCATTAAGTATTATTTAGAGAACGAGACGGGTTCTGTATCGTAGATACAAATTTGGGGATGGACGAGTGCGTAGCACAAGTCTCCACCCCCAAATTTTTATCTACGATACAGAACCTGTCGAGTTCTCTAAATGATTTGTGACACGAGCAATCAAGAAAAAGCAACGCCCACTTTATAGCTGTGCAGCATCCAAACTTCCACCAGAGTTTGTACATCCAAACTTCCGCCAGAGTTTTGTTTTTTTTTTTTTGTTTGTTTGTTTGGTTTTTTTTTTTTTCGCTCTGTAGATGAGGCCTTGACGGGGAGTATGCCTCCGCAGTATATATACTTCCACGTACAGCGTAAGATTCAGTCAGATTAGTTTTGACAACAGGGTAGCTGACTTGAAGTTCCTCCTATGTATAAGGAGCACACGAGAAGGTGATATAATAATAAAAAGAGAGTAAACATTGTAATTTAAAAGAGTAAATTGTTGAGAAAAAAGTAAGCAAAACCTAATCTGATATTGCACAGTAGAAATTAAATTGAGAGTGAGATCGAGTCAAATTCATATAGGCATGATCTTCGACAGGTTTCATTATAGAAATGAAGTTCTCCCGCCAATACTAGTATTGAAAGATCGGAGCTTCCTGTATTTATGACCTTTCAAAATGATTGCTTGATTTTGTTTTAGATTTTCAATATCTAGGTACTACACGAATTGTATATTGAAAATTTGGAAACAACAATTTAAGAATATCTGTAGGAATTGCAGGGTGTACACTTCAACTTAAAATATGGTGGAGTGCAAGACTGAACTCTTTTGTGATCAAGAATGTTACTAATGTTCACAGCATCTATATTCCTTTGCTGGCAAATTTTAGCTTAAGGAATAGTCAACAGACGGTTTGAATCGGAATCTGAATTATTATCTTCCGACACACGTGGATAGAGGCTTCAAGAGCCAGTGCTGGGCAACATCAAAAACACTAGTTTGTATTCTGCAGTTGAAAAATCCAAGAAGGCATTGCTTTAATTAATAAATTAACTTCTTCAAACAGTCCATTCAAAAATTTCACGGGAGTCGAGTAAAGTTTAGTGCAAAGGTGATAAAGACTTAATTATTTAATGACGTCGTGTAAAACTGTATCGTGCATAGGGACTTGAGACAATCTTAGCAAAATCGGGTATATAGTATACTATATACCCGATTTTGCTAAGATTGTCTCAAGTCCCTTGGTATCGTGTTGTAAATTTTGAATTTATTAGGGGGAGGTAAATGCAAAATTTACAACATGATAACTATAATCATGTTGTAATTAAGCAAGTAGTAAATTCAGAATTTAAAACATGATGACTGGATCAAAAAAGACATCATATATATATATATATATATATATATATATATATATATATAAAGCACATTTTACAACAACTCTTAAACTAACATAACTGCCCTAAGTGAAGAAATATTAATATAGAAAGCACAAAGAAATTCACTTTTATAAGGATACCCACTTCCGCCCCAGCCCGGGGTTGAACTCTCGACCTACGGAATCTGTCTCCTAGCAGTGCAGGAACAGCGCGCTAGACCGCTCGGCTATCTAGGCAAGTCAAAAAACTTGCTTTCGATGCCGATGGAATTTTCGCGGCCCTGTCCTACACTAACATATGTTAGTTTAAGAGTTGTTGTAAAATGTGCTTTATAAATAAAAATTAATTTCATTACAACGTGTATTGATAACGATCCTCTAATAAAACTAATGTCCAAATAACTGTATCTCACTTCCATTCTCAATGACCATGTAGTGTAGGACAGCGCCGCGAGAATTCCATCGGCATCGAAAGCAAGTTTTTTGACTTGCCTAGATAGCCGAACGGTCTAGCGCGCTGTTCCTGCACTGCTAGAGACAGATTCCGTAGGTCGAGAGTTCAACCCCTGGCTGGGGCGGAAGTGGGTATCCTTATAAAAAGTGAATTTCTTTGTGCTTTCTGTATTAATATTTCTTCACTTAGGGCAGTTATGTTAGTTTAAAAGTTGTTGTAAAATGCTTTATATATATATATATATATATATATATATATATATATATTTAAAACATTGCTGTGACGTCATGCCTTTGTTCTTGCAGTCTAAAAATTTACCTGTAGCCGTCCGATAATAATAATTAGAAGTCCAATAATATATTACCGGACGGCAGTGATAACAAAATCGGACAGTAGTTAAAAAACAACAACTAGAGTGAGATCAAGGTTAATTTGTCCAGAAACCAAAAAAAAAAAAGTTAGGGAGAAAAAATTCAGGGAAAGGGAACGCGAGGAAATTAACTTGTTAAAAATAGCAAACCCAAGAAGAAACTGGAGTTTTAACCTTCCTCAAAAGTAACATTCGGTTTTTTTGCAAAGCGTTTTCGATATAGCACTGTGAATAAGCCAATTTAAATCTATTTCTGATAAAGAACCAGTCTGCGAATCTCTTCATTTAACGAGGTTTGTTCGCCAATGACCACACTTTTAAAACCCAAGATTTTCATTATATCATCCAATCAAAATTTTAGATAAAAATCCACATTTTTACTTTAAATGTATTTTGAAGATATCATCCAACACTGTATCTGTATCAATGTCAAACGCACTTAATAAAAAAAATATTCCGAATCATAAAGAAAATCCTTCATCACCTTTACCACTGTCCATAGTTCCTGCTAAGCCAAACGACTGCCATTGAATGAATGAAACAAAAGAGTTCACTCACTGATTTTACTATGATCTAAAGAAAAAAAAACTTTCTTTTCTTTTGTCTACTTATCACATGGTTTCAGGTAGAAAACTATTGATACCTGAACTCCTATTGTTTAATTATCGGACTCCTCCAGGTAACTTTTGGACATTTAAATAGCAATGTTTTAAGTAAGATATATGCCTCATACAATTCTATATGTAAAACTATCAAACAGTTTTCGGCCCTAACGGGCCTCAAACAGTCTGATAATTTTACATATAGAACAGTATTCGGCATATATCCATTACATATATATATATATATTTGGTCTATTGTATGATCAATGACCATGACTACGCCTACGTCTACATGTGTAGGTGTTTTGTTAAAATATTCCATCACATTCACACTGGCGCATTGAGGGCTTGAAAGATTTCCCTGCATTATTCATGCAATATTCATGTGGTCGTTGCAACTATACGAAAATGCAGTGCCTAGTTTAATTTCTGATCCATTATTCTCCTTGTCTACGGAATGGAGTACTTATAGTGGGACCTTTAGTTGGATGTTATATTTTTCCAAAATTCTACCCCTAATTTACAATTGGTCAGGCGAATCGAAGTTTTTATAAAGATGTTGAACCCCCCTTCTCCCCCCATTATTTATTTTTTAAACCTATGACCCGACATTCTCTTACTGAATGAACACTGTTTCCCCCAACGTAAATCAGTCTGCATTTATTAAGTTACTTCAGTTCCATAGTTATGCAAGTAATATTTTCTTCAGTTTCAGTACAAAAAGGTTGTCCAGTGAAAAGCAAAGACGCCAGCCGACAATTTAATATATTGAAACCTTTTACAAACTTTTGCAACCCTTTGCTAGATATTTTGGTGAGTTCGCATTGCTGTTTTATTGCCAATGTGATCGATGTAGTGTATATATCGTGTTATATATTTGGACCCCATCGCAATATATTTTAAAAGACAAGCCCAAAAAGGATTCATTCTATAAACTTTTTTATCAAACATAAAAGTAATAACATGACATTTTAACAAAAGTAATTAATGTTCTTGATCAGGTTCTCAAGACAAAGACTTTCATTATAACTATCCCACAGACAGACAAAATGCCGATCACAGCTTCAGAAACAAGTTTATTATCTGAAAAAGAAAATAAAAAAGATATAATTTAAAAAAAAAATAGACTAAATATTTTTCCTTTCTTCAGAATTTTATCTCAAATAATAGAAATAAAATCTTTATTTGACTCCCCTAGAGCTTTGAAAAAAACCTTCCAACCCCAGCAATCAAAGATTACTAAAACTTGACCCGAATTATTTTTTGTGACTGTGACAAAGTAAATCACAAATAAGAAGATTATAGGAGCACGTTAATTAAGTGTCAAACTGATGAAATTTTACAAACTGATATAAAAACTAATGACATTAGAGTAATTTGTTTATTGTCGTAAGACTTGTGTCAGAGTATTCAGCGACAATAACATATCAATTAGCTTTCGGATCTAAAATCTGGGAATAGGATAAAAGTCGTGAATGGGCGTACCGGCGCCATTGTCGCTGCAGACTGTCGGACATCCGGCCACAGTCGGATCTTCGTCACTTCCGTCGTCGCAATCGTTTTTTCCGTCACATCGGAAGCTGAAATCAATGCATGACATCGATCCCGTCTTGCACCCAAAAAAAGTCCAAGTGCAATTCTGGAAAATTGGATATATTAATGAAAAGAAACTAAAGGATATCAAAATAAAAAGTTCTAGCTCGGCTATGCAAATTGAGCGCAATTACAGCGTATCTGAATTTGCTTTGGACCGATTTTTTTTTTTTTTTTTTTTGGTTGGGGGGGGGGGCTGTTTTGTTTTGTTTTGTTTGTTTATTTGTTTGTTTGTTTTTTTGTTGTTTTTTTTTTGGTTTTGTTTTGTTTTGTTTTTTGTTTTGTTTTGTTTTGTTTTGTTTTTGATAAAAACATTGGAATTAATATGATAAAAATAGGGGATTTATGATTTATAATATTACAAGTACATTTTGTTTTCAGTGGAATGATTAATTCCGTTAACAATCCACAAAAGAAAGACATCTTGATTAGGAATGTCAAGATATCTTAAGTTTAACAACTTAAAAGGCTGTTATTTTGTATTATTTCTTCTGAAAGTTTTACCACAATTCTTAAAGCACTAATTTTGTTCGGAATTATTTTCTGGTATGAAGCCTTAATGGGCATAGGCACAGATTTCTAGTTTAAATCCGTCAAACACTCTGAAAAATTTCGTGACTTACCTTTCCGACTGACATACATGTATTATAAAAGCGTGTTTAAGTACTTCTTTTATCTGAAAATTATCAAAGCTACGAATTGGGGGTGTGTTTGGTTGTCAGAGATCGTCGCACATTCATGACCTAAATTTATTTTAAATTTTTAAGAAAAGTGGTAATTCTGCAGCGAATTGATAAAATACATTACAACAATGATTTAGAATTACAGTGTAAGTAAGAATTGTAAGAAAGTAAAATCAATATACCAGTGTTGTCTGTTCATGTTCAGTGATGTTTGTATATACAAATGTAGTGCTAGTAATCGAACACACTTGGCAAAACCTAAACGTGCCCATGTTTACAACCACAGGTGTGTTGTAAGATTATGAAAAAATATTGTTGTCATACAATTTCATGAAAATGAAGTAATTTTTCAAATAAATAGAGAAATTAAAATTGCAAACAATTGTATCTACGCCCCTTTAGAGAACGAGTAATTAATAGTGAAAAACAAGTAAACGTGGGATAATAGTTGAATCTGGTCTAAACTTATAAAAATTATTCTTCTCTAAAATACCTTTTAAAAGAATTAAAATAAATTAGAATTAAAATTCTAATCTGAACATTTCATATTAAATGTTCTGATTTGTTTAGACTCACTCGCTCCAGACTCCCAAGTATAGAAGGATAACATGTGACGTCAAAACAGGTTTTGGCCTCCAGTGCATCTCCTGGACATGTGGATCCACCCCCAGATGGCGCTGGGTTATTACATGACCGGGTCCTCTGATGTGTTCCCATACCACAGGTCACAGAGCATGCTCCATAAGACGACCACTGACCCCAGTTCCCGTTCACTATTGTAGGGATAAACATAACTGTACTTTGGTTGCATATTGTTGAAAAATTTTTCATTAAATGATTCCACAACTTTGAATTAAGCAAATTTAAAAAAAATATGATCAACTAAAATGTTAGCATCAAATACAAAGATTAGAAACGACTTCATAAGTTTTACAAGTCACTATATTTGTTATTTTTCACGAAGCATCTTTCTATTTTCTGTCCTTTCAATATAATTCCTTTCAAACATTAATAAAACGAATGCCTTACCTTGACATTTGATGGTACCAAATAGAAACAGGAGTCCCAAACAGCATAGGAGTTTTGTCATTTTGAGGGTGCTGCTCGAGAAAAGACACTCCAGTCATTACAAATACATGCGGTAATCGTAATCTAGTTTTTCAAGAAAGAGAACATATTTTTTTTTTCAAACAACCGACTTACCCCTTACCTAACTTACCCGTTATGTCTACGGAAGCTTCCTGTACATTACGTTTGTAAGCTTTATGAGTAATATAACTTTAGGAAACAAGTAGAGTTGTTTAGGATCAGTCAAAACATACATATTTATATTAGGGATTTCTTAAATTGGTACGCTTAAACTTAGAGATCAGAAAAATTATTGGCTTCTCTAAGTGAAAAATCCGTAGAATAAATATCATTTAAGTATCAATTCACTAAACACAATTTATAGAAAGGTAAATATGCAACATTGCTTGCACAGATGCGCCTATCTAGCGCAATAATTAACATTTATTGGACAAACATTTATAGGCATCTGCTGGTGATTCCACTCTAATCTTATTTAAATTAAAGTGTTTCAATTCTTTTAATAAAGAATTTAAACACAAAGTACACTTCTAGTCTTTAATACTTGTAAATATTGACAATAAAGAAAAAGGCATTTAATCAGCAGACACACGACCATTATTATATTTCACTTTTATCTATCTTTTGACAAAGACCAAAAATATTTGAACCGATATACTGTGATGCGTTCTTTCGTCATGCCACTTTAGTACAGGAGTGCATTACACCCATATGTGGTCATTTCTTCACGGAGTCTTTGGGTAGAAGACAGTTAATTAAGGTATGGAATTGCTTAACAAAACAGTTTTTAAAAACCTTATGTCACTGCCGTTAAATACATGTGTAATTTTGAATATAGATTATTGTTTGATGCCATACACATCGACAACTCTTTCATTCTTTTTCTTTTCCAGTAGATGGCGCTTCAGTGGATTGTTATTGTATCCCTTCTGATCTCCTCAGCTATAGGAGGAGGTGGGTATTTTCTGTGTTTGGTAGATGACATCCCTGTTAGTAATTGATGTGTCCTGGTTGATCTAACCAACTATGAAAATAAAAGTAAAAGGTGTTGTATTGTGGATCCATGTTTTGCTTTGATCGAAGAGCCATGAAACAGTTAACCTTTTACGCTGTATGAAGTTACAGATGGCTTTCAAAAACAAAACTAGAGAATTTTGAAGAGAAAATGTATTTTGGATTTCACAACTACTCGGTGGAGATATATATATATATATATATATATATATATATATATATATATATATATATATATATATATATATATAGATAGATAGATAGATAGATAGATAGATAGATATAGATATATATATATATATATATATATATATATATATATATATATATATATATATATATATATATATATATAAAGCACTAAAAATGACCAACGACACGAACAATAATAATATATCTATCTATCTATCTATCTATCTATCTATCTATCTATCTATCTATCTAATACAATGATCTTTGATCATGCATGGTAATATTAACATCAAATATTAATTAGATTAATATAAATAGAGTTTTGTCTTAGAAAATAGAATGCTCATTATACAATTTTTTTTTAAAATTAGCATTATCGTGTGTATAATTTGGCAAGATTTAACGTTTCAAACAGTAAAAGTACCAAATTATCTACAATCTAAGGATCAAGTATGGAGAGGAATAAAACGGCACAATATGTGGATATGTAATAAATCATGAAGAGTTTTTTTTTTTTTTTAAATCCTTTAAAACATCAGTTCTGTACTTTTATTAAAAATTGTTTGTAGGTCGAGATAACATGGGTACTGAGTTCATTCTGGGTTTCATGGAGAACAAAATATCTGGTACGGCGAACAACATTGAACTGTTTGTCACTACGACATCGAACACTCCCGCGGACATCACAGTAACCACGCCCCTTTTTGACCCCAGCTTCTCTGAGACTACCACCGTCAGCCGAGGAAACATAAAAAAACTAGAGCTAACATACAACATCCGAGGCTCTGGTACAGCAGTGGAAAACAAGGGCGTTCGAATTGTCTCTACACAAGAAATAACAGTGTACGGCGTCAACAAAGAGAGGTACTCTACTGACGGGTTTGTTGCTTTCCCGGTGGATGCCATTGGCTTAGAATATGTTCTTGCCACTTGGAAAAGCGAGGCCGTATTCATGATCATCGGTACTGAGGACGGAACAACGGTCCAAATTACCCTTTCTTCATCCAACCCTACTGCCACGTCGATCACTTACAATGGCGCTACTTATTCTAATGGACAGACCCTTTCAGTATCTCTAAACAAATACCAGACTTTCCACGCCTTTTCTTCCTCGGGGGACTTTACTGGGACAAAACTGGTTTCGAACAAAGTGATCACTGTTATGACAGGAAACAGAAAGGTCGCCGTAAAGGACTCCATGACAAGATCTAGCTCGGACCATTTAGTAGAACAAGTTCCCCCTATTGATACACTTGGAAAAGACTTCTTCACGATTAGTACACCAGATAGAAATATTGGAGACTACTTTCGCATCATAGCCACTGAAGACTCTACGGAGATTTCCTTGGCAGGATCGGTATATACTACCATAAATCAATATGAATATACAGAGCTGAACGTGGTTACAGGTGATTACAAAAGTATTACTTCCAACAAGCCAGTAATGGTCACCATGTTTGGGAAAACCATCAGCACACAAAGCGGCGACGGTCCCAATGGAGGAGACCCTCAGTTCAGCATCCTCCCCGCAGTTCCACAGTTTCCGTCGGACTACACATTCAGCACGATTCAAACTCCTACAGGAGACTTCAATAACTACCTTGTGGTCGTTATCAAAGATTCTGCCAAGAATGATCTAAAACTTGACGAACAAAGTCCATCAGGTGTAACATGGACCCCCGTCAGTGGATCTTCTCATAACCTTGTGGTGGCCACTTTCGAAGTGAATCCCGGTTCCCACTCTGTCTACAACACGAAGCCGTCTGCCACGTTTCTGGGTATGGCTTTTGGTAACGCCCAAACCAATTCGTACTCTTATGCGGCTGGAACTCGACTTGCACCCATCAATGGGGTAAGCAAAGTTAATAAAGGTTTTGTTAATTTTCCCATGGTTTCTCGGGAATGTTTAACATAGAAAAAAAGACATGATATATACATACTGCAATTGTGAAGAAAAAAGATGTTTTCAAAGACAAAATATGCTATATGCAGTACATTTCAGGTCCAAATTTTTCCACTTATTTAAAAATCTTAATATACTGAAAATGTGTTAGTTTGCATTTAAGAACTTAAGATAATGTCAAACTGAAGACCAGAATGAATGAAGCATACATAAAGGCAACAACAAGGAAAAAAGATTAAAATATTATCCCAAATTTCTCCATTTTCAGCTCTATTGGTCTAAGGCAGTGTTGTCATGTTTACTTAAAACTAGAATATTTTTGAAAATTCTTTCAACATGCTCCTACTCTCCTATATTTGGCCTATTTCTAAATTTAAAAAAAACCTCACTAGCACACAAGTAGAGTATATCTTGACACACAATTCTTTTCATAACAACACTAAGTCTAGTCCGATATATCTGACGTTTCCAGGCGTTTTTTTTTTTCTCTCACAATTTTGATATTTGGGGTGATTTTCCTGGCACGTCAAATATCAAAATCATGAAAAACGCCTGGAAAACGTCAGATATTTCGGACCACACTACATGTAAGTCTTGACAAATAAGAAGCATTCTCTATCCAGAGTTGTCGTTCCCGCTACGCTCCCACATACTATTGGGAGCGTAGCGGAAGACAATTCTGGATAGAGAATGCCATAAGAAGTGAACATCTGATCATAATATAACTAGTTAGATTTTAGTTCTTCATGTAAGTTATAAAAGTAATTCCTGGACTATATCCGCTGTTCTAGCGTAAACGGGGAAGAAGGAATGTTGGCGGGTAATAAAGTAGCGGCGCTGTGGGGCCGTAATACAATGTAAACGAGAAAGGTGCCGTATTCCTTATGGTCTTCCAATATAAAGTCCAAGAATTAGTAAATCAGGTTTCCGAATTTATTATAGACGATGGTAAATAACAATCAACATGAATTTCAACAATAGCTTACAAGTCTTAACCGAGTTGGATGTAGCCGGTAGAGCATTGGGCCTCCAAACTGAAGAAAGTATAATTGATATAGCTTTTTGAAATATTGAGAGTAAACAATAATTGCATCATGACACTGGCTGAATTAATTGATGGACAGGTGTGTTTCTTTGATAGAATGGATATAATGACATTGCTAAATAATTATGTAAACAAAGTTATTGATATAAGATTAACAGGTCCTGACGCATTTACACCTAACGAGTATCAATTCTTTTGACAGTCACTTAAAAGTCAATTGGAATGTCTTAATCCTCCTTCAAAGAGAATGAGAAATAAAGAGATAAAAAATAGACATACAATGATAATAGATAGAGAATTTAACAGATAAACGTCCAAATTTAGTATAATATTTTAAAAAGTGATTTATTTCAAAAATGTTAATTTTGCTCGGTGATAATATCCTTTGGCCTCCGGGAAAACACGTCCTCGTGTTTTAGAAATTAAAAGAATGGTGAGCACTGTCACTGGTAATGTCCGTGGATGTTGTCGTAAGTGTGGTACATGTACGGGTTGGGTCCATTCTGCCTTTCGTAATCAATAATGTCCTCTAACCTATCGATTTCCTGGTCTTGGTCATTGATTGGATCGCGGAGATTTTCGATCTCTTGACTTTGAGAGTCAACCGTAAAACGCAGGGAATTGATCTCTTGAATTTGACCCTCAATTTGAAAGCGAAGACTACTGATGTCGGCGTCTTGCTCCTCTGACCAAATCTGTTGTCTTCTCATGGTTTGATCTGCGGTGTATAGCTGTGTTGACAACGGTAAAATTTCCTCCGTTTGCTTCTGATTCTGTGCAGAAAGCTCTGATACACGGTATGAAGTCATTTTATTGTTTTTATTTGCATTGTTTAGTTTTATCTTAAGATCGATTATTTCCTGCTTTAATTCCGGATTAGCTTTCTGTAGGTTTTGGATATTTGTTTCTAATTGCGAGACTTTTGCGGAACTTTCTTGTTGAACGGTTCCTTGATCCTGATTGTTGAGTTTTTAAGTTGTTCTTTTGTTCTTGAAATTTGACATCGAAGGGTAGAAGTAATGTCCACACATCTATGGAAGGCAGTTTGTCTGAGGTTGTAGAATGGTAATTCTCTCAAACATTGTTTTCTGTCCAGAAAATGACGAATTCTATTTGCGTCACGCAGTTTACTTGAATTTGACTTTTTAGGGGGAAGTTGACAGGTTTTGGCATAGTGTCCATACTTTCCACAGTTATAACACACTGACGGAGATGGATGCTTAAAGATGCAACTATATCGCGGCCGAATGGAATTTGTTGAAGTCCATGGTGGTCGAAAGTAAAAGTCCATCGTGAGGTTTGTTGATGTTTGGGGAAATTGAACTCATGGGTAGAACACCTCGCTTGCGTAGTGAAAGGTACAACACAAAGAGGATCGTCCCGATTCTAACACCAATCATAACCAGTTAGATTTTGGTTATAAAGTTAAAAAAGTAATTCTTGGACTATATCCGCTGTTTAAGGGCAAACGGGGAAGAAGGAATGTTGGCGGGTAATAAAGTAGCGGCGTTGTGGGGCCGTAATACAATGTAAACGAGAAAAGTGCCGTATTCCTTATGGTCTTCCAATATAAAGTCCAAGAATTAGTAAATAAGGTTTCCGAATTTATTATAGACGATGGTAAATAACAATCAACATGAATTTCAACAATAGCTTACAAGTCAACCGAGTTGGATGTGGCCGGTAGAGCATCAGGCCTCCAAACTGAAGAAGGAATAATGGACATAGCTTTTTGTTAGATAGAGAGTAAAGAAGAATTGAATTATGACACCGGCTGAATTAATTGATGGGCATGCGTGTTTCTTTGATAGAAAAGACTGCTAAATAATTATATAAACGAAGTTATTGATATAAGATTAACAGGTACTGAGGCATTTACACCTAACAAGTATCAATTCTTTTGACAGTCACTTAAAGTCAATTCGAATGTCTTAATCTTGCTTCAAAGAGAATGAGACACAATGAACTAAATGATAGACATACAGTGATAATATATAGAGAATTTAACAGATAAACGTCCAAATTTAGTATAATATATTAAAAAGTTATTTATTTCAAAAATGTAAATTTTGCCCGGTGATAATAATACACAGTTCCCTCTACCAAGTCACATTTTAATAACAATTGTAACCTTGATTATTGAATTAAAATAATCTGTCAAATTTTACAAAGTGGTGCTCCTACAGTTTTTAAAAATTGGATAGAAATTTTGTACAATGTTATTGAAGATTACATCATAGAAAGATGTTGACATGGTTACTAGAACAAAAATCCAATTCCTTCCGTTATAATTTGTTTAAAAAACATGCATTATGAAAATGTAGACATTACAGAAACATTACTCTCTTTATGTTATTGACAAGAGTCGCCATGGTTACTGAATATCTACCTTTATAAAAACCTACCATTTGAGGAGCATACATACACCAAAGTATTTAAAGTGACAGTACGGCGCTTCTCATCAAAAAAATTACTTGATAAAATTTTTCCGACAAGATTTGGAATTTTTTTACAACTCATAAATGTATAAACTTTCAGAAAATTACAAACTTTCATAATTAAATAATTCTGTTTTTTTTTCTTTAAAATTAATATTTATGGGACATAAATATATATGTCGCAACGTGTTCGGGGTTCCACATTCCATGCTATGCACGTATGCGTAGTTTTCATAAACAAAACAGCATGGTAAGAGAAGGAAGCCCGGTAGAGCCTGCTACATTGACAAAGTCGACCAAAAAAAAAAAAGAAACTGAAAATAGAGCTTGAAAAAGCAACTTTCCTGACTAAAATTTAGTTTGGGGATTAATATAAAGAAACGGGAACTCGGCGACACTCACGCAGGGCACGCGAAGGTTCTACTCGACAGGTTTGTTGATAATTGTTTTTCCATCGCAAACAAAGAAAAAAAAAATCAGTGTAAACTCCACATAAAAATACACCTATGACTTATAAACAATGTTGTCATTTGAAGTGCTAATTTTTTTAACTGTGCAGAAAAATAGTTTGTTTGACCAGGGACCTATATACTAAGTATATAGTATATAGGTCCCTGGTTTGACATTTTGCCGCGATAACGTATAATTTCGTGGTTTTTCCTTTCTCGGACCCCAATACACAAAACGTCAACATTTGTACTTTTAATTCTGTCAAATTCGTCTGAAAGCAGACTAAAATCTCTACGATTATTATTTTATATTATTTTATCAGAAAGTTATGATAATTTGCTTTTGAGAATTGCTTTTACCTCATATTCATTATAATTGTGAACTCTACAGTGTAGATACGTGCCGTTTTAGAATTCACGTGGTACAAATAAACAGATCTAAGATTGCTCCAGTTCGTACGACCCTTGATTTTCCGGCAGATTCTAATTACGTTAATTTTATATGAGGAGAGAATATTTATGTTTCTCAAACTGCTTACATCAACTTTATATCTTATTTCTTAATGATATATTGGGTAAATTTGAATGAAAAAGCACACGTTTTGTAGCCGTACTGTCGCTTTAAGTCTAAACAAGTAGAGCTTCATCTCATCAGAGAATTCGAATTCGATATTATGCAATTATAGACTTCAGTGTAGGTCTATATGTGGTTATAAGGACCCATGTCAAGTGATATTGACAGAAGGCACAGAAAGTGATAGCGACCGAGCTTGGAAATAAGTATACTGTCCTAAGAAGACATTGAAATTGAAATAAGTAATCTGACTCGTAAAAATAAAGCCATCCCAGCTCCCATTCAGAATCAACTGGTCGTCCTCTTAGTGGTATTGATGCCGAGTTCACAGTCCTGATGATTGTTATTGGACGAGTCGGAGTTTGAAATATCGGACAAGATTACATAAACATCTGACAAATGAACATAAAATACCGGTAGTTGCAAAGATATTCCGCCATAATTTTTTGGAAAAATAATCCATACAAAACTGTCTTACAGTTAGTAAGCTGTAAACTATAATAGGCATAGGAAGAAGTAGATGATAAAGTCGTCCGGTAGATCTGATCTTTAATACAATTATTATACAAAAATTTATAAAGTGCTAAATATAATTCTAGAATTACTCTAAAGCGCTGTACAGTAAAATATGTTAAACATACTTTAAGAACCAAAAAAACCCCCAGATAAATAGCATTTTTACTTATAATATGTTTAAAATCATAAAATGTCAATAAATTACATACATGCAATTTATGTATGATTAAAAAATAATAAATGCTCTGAAATTGAGAAAGTGATCTAGTTACACCGGGTTATAAGCTTACACAGTTCTGAGTGTAGGCCAAAAGGGGAGGGGAGGGCTAAAATGTCCCAAAACCTGCCTTAAGTTTCTACTGTTTTTAGCCGGGCTTTGCTGAAAGCAAAGTCCTGGCTGTAGGCATCGTGATCGACTGCCTTACTATAAATAGCACATGTTCAGAAAAGTAAACAAAAAGCCTAACAGCGTCAAAGCAGACGCTTCCGATAAACAAAATAGTCACATTGAAAGACGATACTTAAACAAATATTTTTTACATCTCAATCTACGGAATTGTTAATTGATCAATATTTTTGTTTGAGAATTAAATTGAAAGAGGAATTAGATAATTACTTTATTAGGGTAATCGTGATATAACAATTTGTGCACATACACTACTGAATGCATATTGTACGCGAACTATTTTCAATAAGCGCGGGCTTTTCGACAGGTTGCTATATATTTCATATCGTTTTCGTCGATGTTATGTGAGTGGTTATATTCTCTGTTTTGTCTTTCAGCAAATAAATAGATAAGTAAATTGGAGTTTAAAGAATTAATTAATGTGCGTTATGCCTGAATTAGGTCGCCTGACAATTGTACATGGTGTATCTGGTGTATCTAGTCGGCGATAAAAGTACTGTTTGTTTGAAACTTAAAGAATATCTCTAAAAATATGTGCATTTCTTTAACTATGAATTACATAAATTATTAAACCAATATGAATATAATTTTAAAAAAAATTAAATTCTAATTCAAATATATCTAAAGAAAAATCAGCAAACCATATGGTTCAACATTCTTATTGAAAAAAGTTTGGCAATTGACAGACAAACATTTTTTGTAAAAAAAATAATTGTTTTCTTAAAAGTTAAAATTAGTGACCTTAAATGTTTAAATTAGTGACATTAAATAAAACAAATGACTTATATATTCTCCTCACTAGCCATATGTTATTGGTAGAATTAAAAAAAAAATAAAAAATGTGTAGTAGGTCAGTCGGGTATAACCGGAAACAAACAAATTTTTTTTAGCCTAATGATGTATGTATGTAAATATTCATGAAGATTAATCTTACAGTTGTAATACTGGTAATGCTGTAATGTTTTCAATATATTACTACTCAAATAAAAAAGTTAAAATTTGAATGCGTTTAAAGAAAAGGGTTTGAAAATACGGTATTACTTCGATAACCCTGAATGCAATTAAAATAACTTTCTCCTTTCTAATAAATAATTTCGAACAAAAATCCTTATGATGGTTAAGATCTTGTGTTTGTTTGTTTGTATGTTGTTTGACGTCCCTCTCGAGAATTTTTTCACTCATATCGAGACACTACCATTTGCCGGTGGAGAGCTCCAAATTTTGTCCTATACTCGGCACTTACGGCCATTGAGCAGTGAGGGATCTTTTTCGTGCAAGCACCTATTGCGACACGGGACCTCGGTTTATACGGTCTCAACGGAAGGACCGGTCTCCACGTCCCACAGTGGGATTCGAACCCGCGACGTAAGGATTAACTCCTTACTTCGCGACTCTAGAGCAGACGCTCTTACCACTGCGCCACGCGAGCGACTAAGATCTTGTGTAAAGGTGATGTAAATGAAGTTCAAAACTATTTGTTTTCTTTCATAATATGAAATAAACAATGCGATTCCATTTGGTTAATATTTTAATTTAATAGTATTAATTTAAATGACTGGGATAAAGATTTATATTCTGTGAAGCATGGAATATAAATAAATAAAAATGTAAACTTTAAGATAGAAATTTCATTTGAATATGTTTATGAATAATATATAAATTATTTATACCCATTTAACAATCAATTTAGCGTCGAAAATTTTTATGCTTACAAATTCAGATCAAATTTTTGGTGAAAAGTCAATGGTATGTTTTGAATGTAAAAATTTTGTTCGAGACTTCTCACCTTGGATTCATCTCGAATGTGCTCCCAAAGTGCTTTACAGTATATTGAGCGTGCGCGCGCATTCCAAAAAAAAAAAGGTCTTAAAACACACGCAAGCTCTCAAGGGTGCTGGGAAATAAAAATCGTTTATGTTAATATATAATTAAAAGAAAACAACATATAAAAATGTTCATAAGTCTTTATCTAAGTACAACACATTATAATTTTTCAGAAAAAGTTGGTTAGTCTTTGCTTCAAAACTTCCTGTTCAGAATGAAGAGCCATCTATGTACGAGCCATACAGACCTGAATACATCAAGATTTTCTCAGGCAATGACCATTATGGCCGAACCTGGAACTAGAACTAGACTCATAGTCATGTCATAAAGATTAGATAATTATAATTTTCGTGCAGCTGGTTTCCTAGAGGACCAAAAATAAAGAATATTTCTTTTCTGATTAATACAGGCATGTAGTATCATTATCAGAAAAAAAGAGAATTGTCCAAACCTGAAAATCCTATTCCGTTGGAGAAGGAATAGGGGTGGACTACAACTTACTTTCACATTTCGAATTTCATTAATTCATTACCAAATTACCGTACTTTTAATATGCTACAATAAAATGATGGGTACAATCTAATTAAAATTAGACTATCCATTTTGCTTTTAGTAAATCTGTTCGTCGCTCGTGATAAATACCTGGTTTATATTACGAAGAAGGAGATGAAAGTTCCAATTTAAATTTGATTGCGAAGAGTCAATCAACCTTTCAATGTACATTGTCCATTGTAAAAGTTTATGTTTGAAAAATGGTGACACCCCTAGCTCCTCCGATACTACATATGTGCCTGTATGAATCAGCAAAACCACTCAAAGTGCACTGTTACCATGCATAACCATTGTGAGCTTAATGTTTAGAAAGGTATAAATGTATTTTCATTAAAAATATCACCAAGTCCTATCCTGGGGTCTTAATGTTGGGTTCTGGACCGTAAATTTTAATTATTATTAGATGGGTTATTGTTAATCATAATCATACAAACTCTACCTGTTAAATATCAATGGTCAGAAATAAAGATTTTCAAATATGTACTAATTTAGGATTAGACAATACACTCGAACATATTAAAGCCCGGCTTTCAGTAATTTCAGTACTTTGATTACTTTTCAACAGCCCTGCACGCCGTCTTCTACCGTGGCTGGTGACATTGTTGATAACGACTGTGATGGCTGGATTGACGAGGAAGAGAGTAACGGAATAGGTAAATCAACTACTTAATAGTTAGAATTCAGAAAGAGTAACAGAATAGGTAAAATAACAACAGAATAGTTAGAAATCAGTTAATGTAACGGAAAAGGTAAAGTAACTTACAACAGATTAGGTCAGAATTCAGGGTAACGGAATTGGTAAAAAAAAAAAAGGCAACGAAATAGTTAGAAATCAGATAGTGTAAAGGAAAGGTAAAATAACAACAGAATAGTTAGAATTTAGATAAGGTAACGGAATGGGTAAAATAACAACAAAATAGGTCAGAATTCAGATAGTGTATCGGAATAGGTAAATAACTGCAGAATAGTAAGAATTCAGTAAATGTAACGGAATGGGTAAAATAACAACAGAATAGGTCAGAATTCAGATAGTGTATCGGAATAGGTAAAATAACTGCAGAATAGTAAGAATTCAGTAAATGTAACGGAAAAGGTACAGTAACTTACAACAGATTAGGTCAGAATTCAGGGTAACGAAATAGGTTTAAAAAAAAAAGGCAACGAAAAAGGTAAGAATTACGATAGTGTATACGCAAGGGAATAGAAAAAAAAGAAACAGAATAGGTTAGAATTCAGATGGGGTAACGAAATAGGTAAAACACCAACAGAAAAGTAAGAATTCAGATAGGGTAACGAAATAGGTAAAACACCAACAAAAAAAAGTAAGAATTCAGATAGGGTAACGAAATAGGTAAAATAGCAACAGAAAAGTAAGAATTCAGATAGGGTAACGAAATAGGTAGACTAACAACAGAATAGTTAGAATTCAGACAGAATAACGGAATGGGTAAAATAACAACAGAATGGCTAGAATTAAGACAGAATAATGGAATAGGTAAAATAACAACAACAAAAAAAAGCAAAAATGGTAAGAATTCACATAGGGTAACGGAATAGGTAAAATAACAACAGAATAGGTAAGAATTCAGAGAGAAATAGATCGTTACACGCGAGTTCTGTGAGATAAAAAAATGGTTTATTCCCATCTAGCCAAAATTTTGAATTTCTTATTCTTGTTTCTGTACACCATTCCCACCTAGCCAAAACCAGTCACCTGTAACAATTTCAGAATTTTGGCTAAGTGGGAAGAAACCAACTGTTCCAACCCAGGTTATGCAGTATAAATTGGTAGCTATTAAATTTATTCATTACTTATAATCTAAATTCGTCATTAGGTGTAGAAAATAAGACAATTTTTCCTTCAAAAAATGCCCAAAATTGTACATATTTTGAATCTAACGTCAACCGGATAGATACGTTTTTGACGTAATTCATTCTGACGTACGTAGGCAACACAGGTTAAATGATATAAACTTTTTTTTTTATCCAATCAAATGACGCGTTGCAACCAAAATTAAATTATATGAGTATTTTCAATTGTCACACAAAGTTTTATAAAAAATATTTACTTAGCAGTTTCGAGAAGATTAAAAAAGTATTTAAATCGTTATAACGAGATAATTATCACGAGTTAAATTATACATGTATATTTTTATCTTCTCGAAAATTAGCTTATCCGAATTCCGCACGTAAGACCTTGAATATCAGTATTTTTTTCTTCGTATCAAAATGTTCGCAAAATTGCAGACCATATCATTGTAAGGTTAACCTACTATATATAGCACTGACATTGTAGCTTGTACGTGCGCATAAGACGCATCCTAATTGACTTAAATCTCAGAGGAAGGACGGAAAACAGGCATGGATATTAATGTTTAACAGTCATTGAAGAAGAATACTGCATGACTCGGTTGCAAAATTTGCGTGCATGAGGATAACTTTCATAATAATTTAATGCGTACTTTTGCGTAAAAATCTTAAAATCGGTCAATATTCTATATATTCTACAAAATTATCTATATTTATATTCTATATTTATATCTTTATTTAAATAACGGATCGTAACAGATTACATCTGGTTACATCAACAAAAAGGCTTTCAAAACGGACTCTGATCTGAGATATTATCAGGCATCTATAATCTCTTCAATCTTAGTACTGCTTTCGGAATTTGACGGCATAAAAAAGATAATTGGTCAATGTATTTTGTCAAGATAAAATACTTTCAACGAAAATCGAAAATTTATCACAGAATTATAGTTGTAATTAGGTCAATCGAGCAAAGTAAATGTCTTTAGTCTGAAAGGGGATTGGATTTAAATACAAGCCAACAAGAATTACCACTAATCAATTTTTTTCAGACTGAAAGCATTTCACGGTGTTCGCTCTTTATGGAATATCTATTATACAATAGCAATAAAAAGGCTCCGTTATTAGAAGAATTGCCCGTTGGAGTGGTCTGAAGAGAAGTAAGAACACGGCTAGGTATACTTTATGGCTCTTTTTTGTTTTTTCAGATGACGATGGAGATGGTTCCATTGATGAAGATTTGGCTAACCTCCCGCGAAGTATGACAACAATCTCACTGTCTAAAATTACAATTATCCTTTTATCTGTAATTGATTTGGATATCTTTATGATATATTTGGATGTCTAAGTAATTCTGACAAAACATCGTTACCTTTCACTTTTATCTTTATCAATATGGTAAACGTTTGCTGAAATTCATATCTGCACGTGCAGCATTCCAGTTCAATCTCCCGAATTTTTAGCCACCACTTGGAATTTAATTCGTAATAAAATATTTTTAGAATTTGTTTGAATTTAATTATAAGAAATAAGATACCATATTTAAACTTTTACATGTATAGGGATATTAATACAGGTTGACCATGTGATCAAATCCCATAAAGCCTGAAGGTTTTAAGAAAAGTTTTAAAATGATACCATATGACATATTTACACTTGTGACTGATTTTTAACACTTATAACGTCACTTTGAAATTGCGTCGATCGTTTATGACTAAACAATGAATTTATGGTCACCTGCTGGAACTGGAAACTCAAGGGGTGGTATCAGGTGTCTAGGAGGATACACCTTGAAGACGGGTTACACCCGCTGTGTATAGTTATGAAAAGCAGATTTATATATTCGATAATCCTTTTAATTTTTCCTTTATATGAGCACATTCTAAACTTAAATGTTTTTTTTTTTTTAACTTTGCAGTCAACGGAAACTGGGCAGCTTGGGGACAGTGGAGCGCATGCTCGTTGACATGTAACTCCGGAACTGGTTCCCGAAGTCGTTCACGCACTTGCACAGACCCTGCTCCGGCCAATAATGGTATTGACTGTGTGGGTAGCGGCGCAGAAACAGGGTCCTGTACAGTAAATACGCCCTGTCCAAGTAAGAATTAGCCAAACCAAAAACAGAAGAATGTATGTCTTTAACAATATCAGTTTCTTAGTACATGTACCTTAAATTTTTAACTGATTGCTTTCTAGATAAAGCTACTTGTAATACATTTAATTTTTTTCTTTTGCTTCAGTTAATATGTACAATGTATTTATATTATACTCTCATGTAAATTTAAAGTTGAATCTGATTCGTCGAGAAACATTTGTTGAAAAACACTATTACCCGCTGAATAAGGAATTAATATTTATTTTGATTGAATACACTTTGATTGTGTAATTGGCCGTTTTCAAGATTCTATCAAATCATGATCCAGCCTTATGTATTTCGTAGTTGATGGACAGTGGGGATCATGGTCAGCGTGGAATTGTTCTCGAACTTGTGGGAATGGGTTAAATACAAGGAACCGCGAGTGTGATAACCCTGCCCCGCAACATAATGGAGCGGACTGTTCTGGTAACAGCACTGAGAGCGGTGCATGCTGGGCGGGCACCTGTTATCCGTCTGTTCTCGGTAATCTGGATAAGGTATATTAGATTTACTACTAAGAAAGGCAGTATAAACTACTAGAGGTTTTTGCGCTTTTCTTTGATTCAAGGACATTTCTTGAAGGTTAAAATCATGAAGATTTACCTAAAGGTCAAGGTCATGTAGCACTAGTTTTTGTTGTGTCTGTTGTTTAACGTCACTCGAGAGAATTTTTCACTCGTATGGAGACGCCACCACTTGCTGGTGGATGGCTACAAATTTTGACCGACCTATACTTGGCACTCAGGGCCATTGGGCAGTGAGGGATCTATTTCGTGCCAGCACCTACTGCAACAGGGGACCTCGGTTTTTTACGGTTTCATCCAAAGGACCGGTCTCCACGTCCCGCAGTGGGATTCGAACCCGCGATGTAAGGATTAACTCCTTACGCCGCGACTCAAAGCAGACGCTCTAACCACTGCGACTGTAGCACTAGTAATAAGACCTATCTAAATCGTCAATGTCATGTAGCAATTGAGCTAAAATTTTCAAGGCAATTTTGATTCAAGGACATATCTATGATATGTAAAAGGTTTTAAAAAGGTCATGTTTTAAAATACACTGAAACAAAGTTGACACTTCATATTAAGATTTGCTCGCTTGGATTGATTGTCAAGACCCTAATTTCTCGTTAAATGGGATCTACATATGTATGGAAAATAGAAGAGTGCATCCTTTGTCTTCCACTTAATTACGAGCTCTTCAGTTTTGAAAAGTGTCACATGAAGCGTAATATATAAAAAGCTAAACACGTAGTTAACAACATGTATTCTAAATTGCATGTATTTTTGTGACGTTTGTAATAAAGTTTTTATATTTATGCAATCGTCTGACAACCTGACAATCTAAGTGACTGGTGACTTCAGTTTATCGACTAATAAAACACAAGATGGCGACTAATGACCGACATATTAAGTTGTCATTACAAACTCTCAATAGTTGTGAATTATATTAATTCTGTAATAACTTCACTGGACTGAATGCATACAATCAATTTAGAGCGGATAAACCATGGAAAAAACCTGTGTTTTACATCGTTCTGATAAATGGAAAAACTTTTCAATAATTATTCATAGAGAAAACGCTTTGGGACGAGTTGGTAACAACATTTCTGCATAACACGCAATAAAAAACTAAATCCATGCAATACAATGTTTTGATAACATCTAATTTGGCTCAGAACTAATGATTTGTAACATAACTAATATCTTTAACAGATTTGAAATCAATTCTGTCTACTAGGCCCAAAGTATACATTTGTCATTCTTTATACGGAGTTAGAATACTATTTGGCCATGTTTATAAAATTGTCTTCATGCACATTGCCCATACTTCGCGCAGAGTTGCAGACGACCTCTTTGGACTTATTGGTACCAATTGAAAGAACATCGTTATGTCTTCCATATAAAAATATACAATGAAAAAGGCTTATATTGCAAATGGTTGTACTGAGCGATCCAAAAAATAAAATGTTGGACTAGTCGAAGAGTTACGATTATTCCTCTATAGGTAATACATATTATACTATCTCCATTTCTGTTTGACTCTGAAAGTAAGTTGAGTTGATTTCTTGATCATTCTACCGGGATGCAAATTTCGCCAAGCGAAAGGTCAGGAGCTAAGAAGGCCTAATATGCATGTAATGCTCGTGCGGCTGTCTTTGTGTCCGACTCTAAGGAGGCCTAATATGCATGTAAATCTCGTGCGGCTGTCTTTGTGTTTGACGTCAGTGGGCGGGTACTATTGAAATTGACATGTGAGGCCTCATGTAATTTAAATCTATTACTCTACATTTTTAAAATCTAAATTTACAATTTTATTTCACAATGAAATGGAAATATAAGGAATCACTGTCTAGTTAGCAGAGTATGCTAGGGACATCAACGATAGTTGGAAACGTGGGATAATTTATGCATAACGGGCTTCATAGTTTTAAATAAGAATATAATATAGGAAAAAGAATCTGCTGATGAAGAATAGGAGGGTTATAGTTACTCAGGTGAGCGCTGTGGCCCATGGGCCTTTTGTTATAAAATCGGTCTATCCGCATTTCTATACTGACACGTGATATCAAACGAACCGGTGACTGTATAAAAAAAAATTGACAATCGGTTTTAAAACGACCATATTTTGTATCTAATAAATGAATGGTCCTATATTTGTAATTATGGTATCATTTTGATGGTGTTGTGAAATAAATATACTCCACCAAAGAAATTTAAAAAAAAATTTATTATTGTCAAATTAATTGCACCTTGAATTTTACATTGAAGTCTATGGGCAATGCATGAGTTATTAGGATATTGTAAAAAGTATTTTGAATTTCATAAAAAGCTCTTGGTAAAAATATGCATACACTCTCTCATTATTAAAATATGAAATAAAATTAATCATTTACCACAGATATTTTGACGAAATTAAAATTTTCTTCTTTGCATCAAGGGCAGATAACTCTTCAAAAACTTTAAAAGTGCAGAATGACCAGCTTCTTATATGTTATCAGTCATGTGAATTTGGTTCATTTCACTTTCATCGTTATCTAGCAATGCAATTTTAACTAGTTTAAAATGATTCAAAATTGTTCAAAATCCCTTCATTATACATTGAATAACTTAAGTCTCGGAGAAAGGTCACTGCACAAAGCTAAAGTGCCGGAGAGACAGATGGCTTCAGTAAAAGCTTGATAAGTTAGTTACATAATAGTTTACAATTTAGGATAGTCTGGCTTGTCTGAGGATTATTGCAGCAGAGTTTATCGTTTGAATATTTTATGAAACAGAATTGCACTTCTTCGTCCTTCGGGTGTAAAGCCGGAAACATCGACTGTGTCGACCTTGAAAAAAGCTGCAATGGCGTTGTAGACTGTACAAACGGAAGTGACGAAGACCAAACGAACCGGTGACTGTATAAAAAAAAATTGACAATCGGTTTTAAAACGACCATATTTTGTATCTAATAAATGAATGGTCCTATATTTGTAATTATGGTATCATTTTGATGGTGTTGTGAAATAAATATACTCCACCAAAGAAATTTAAAAAAAAATTTATTATTGTCAAATTAATTGCACCTTGAATTTTACATTGAAGTCTATGGGCAATGCATGAGTTATTAGGATATTGTAAAAAGTATTTTGAATTTCATAAAAAGCTCTTGGTAAAAATATGCATACACTCTCTCATTATTAAAATATGAAATAAAATTAATCATTTACCACAGATATTTTGACGAAATTAAAATTTTCTTCTTTGCATCAAGGGCAGATAACTCTTCAAAAACTTTAAAAGTGCAGAATGACCAGCTTCTTATATGTTATCAGTCATGTGAATTTGGTTCATTTCACTTTCATCGTTATCTAGCAATGCAATTTTAACTAGTTTAAAATGATTCAAAATTGTTCAAAATCCCTTCATTATACATTGAATAACTTAAGTCTCGGAGAAAGGTCACTGCACAAAGCTAAAGTGCCGGAGAGACAGATGGCTTCAGTAAAAGCTTGATAAGTTAGTTACATAATAGTTTACAATTTAGGATAGTCTGGCTTGTCTGAGGATTATTGCAGCAGAGTTTATCGTTTGAATATTTTATGAAACAGAATTGCACTTCTTCGTCCTTCGGGTGTAAAGCCGGAAACATCGACTGTGTCGACCTTGAAAAAAGCTGCGATGGCGCTGTAGACTGTACAGACGGAAGTGACGAAGACCCTCAAGTAGCGGGCTGTACGCCTGCCTGCAGCGGTGCAGGTGTGTGCTAGCATCTTTTCTGGATCGAAGAATAGCTTTTTTTTTCTAGAGAAATATGCAGTAACAGGGTTCGACACTAACTTTTTAAGGCTTTAGTCCAGTCGGACTAGTGCTTTATTACTTTTACTAGTCCGCACGCGATTTTATTAGTCCGTCAAAAAAAAAAAAAAGAAACATCAATGTTTTTTAACATTAATTTAACGTGACAATTAATATACGTATTACTTTTTGAAGAAAACAAAGTATTTACGTGAAACACATTATTCCACAGATTCATTGAAATCTCGCAATCAGCAAGTACGATCATATTCCCGATCTGTTTTTTTTTTTTTTTTTTTTTTTTTTTTTGTCTTTACATTACATCCAAAACGTCCAATATCTTTCTTAAAAGTGTCATACTAAATCATGATCCCTAAACCTTATACTTCATATCGATCAGTAGAAAAATTAAGCGCTGAATTGACCCGGCATTGCGTAACTACCCGCCAAAAGCTAGAAATCTAAAAATACACGTGGGGTTTTCCAGTAAAAGTTGTCAAGAATCGGACATCGGCAATTTATTCATATTGTTTTTCAGAAAATTTTATTGGTCCGTTCGGACTAATAAGCCACATATTAGTCCGAATGAAAATGTATTAGTCTGAGACTAATTTACGGACTAACGTTAGTGTCGAACCCTGAGTAAATGATTTTTGAAAGATATCTGAGATTTAAAATTTAATGTTTTTTTTAAATAGAATTATATGACTATTATTTTTCTTTATACAGGTGTCAATGATGGAAAACACACACTATTTGTGTCCTTGTCAGCCATATCTGTTATCTTTCGAAACTGGCGATTGCTTCTATAAATAGTTAATAATGTAATTCTGTTTTGTTATATGTTTTATTCTTGTTTGAAATAAATAATTTACACTTCAGTTAAATATTTGCTAGTCTTTGACACCCCCCCCCCCCCAGTCTTTCAAATGGATATATCCTGTACGCTATATCCAACTTTTGTGTCACTGTCCTTGTTCCTTTTCATAGTAATAATAGCAGGTCATCAGTTCATCATTCGGTGAAGACCTTATGTTAATATTAAACTCTAGACAGAATGATTGTATCTTTATTCCTTTAATACAAATCAGAACTGTGCATGCTTATTGGAGATGTCTATTTAGATAAAGCAATGATTACTGCCTAAAATCTGTTGGGTGATGTTTCTATACATGTATCTGAGCACACAAATCATCATTGCATGCCATGGGTTTTAATTTGTGTCCATTCTTTTCCCAAACCCGTGACTGTCTGCTGGAGGATTCGTTCGTTCACATAAATGCATCACTGAGTATTTATTAAGTGACGTCAGATTTATCTTGACCAACGAAATCACTCTGTAGCACTTGGTGGCGCCCATTATGAAATCATTTTCGGTGCTCAAGCAACGGTCCGGAGTCCGCATATAGCTCTCTCCTTCCAGAATAAGAGAGGATCGTACATTTTCGCCGTGGTTTTCGACGATGCGCTTCGCAGATTCGTTAATAACAAGAGGCCCAAGCGCCTTACCCGGTCACCTGAGTTATAATACAACACTGTAAAGGGTTCACTGAAATAGGAAATGAAATAAAATGAACCATGATGAAGATATGTTCCCCAAAGCAAAAGAAATAGGATAATCAGGAATACTCCGCAATAAATCATGAATATATCTTTTTTACTTGCCAGTACTAATAAATACTGCCATTTTGCAGACTAATTTCAATAGTGCTCGAGAACATGTAGTAAACCTACATTACAACTTTGTACTCTGTTTGCCTCCTAGATGCCTAGGTTCAGTATTGTTTATCGAGCCAACGCTTGAAACGGGGACTTCATCTGAAAGACCGGCAACTTTCACAATGCGAAGAAACAGCTGCGACTTAGGTCAGTCGCAGTCGAGGTTTGAACAGAGCAAGCTCTCTACCGACTGAGCTAACGTAACAGTAGGGTTTCTAGTGAAAATTATTCTATTCGATGAATATGTGTCATTAATTTTTACGACAGCAATCAAATCTTGCAGCAGGCATCCACGAATTTGTGGAAATAGAATGAACACAAAATCCTTGGCTTTGGACAATATGCACAAATAAGCTAGAAAAGTTGAAGATGTTTAAAAAGAAAACACAATCATATCTCAAAGGGGGAAAAAACAACTCTTTGAAAAATCAAAAATACTTTATTTGATATACATATATATATATTAATATAACCAGTAAATATGTATGTTAGGGATGTCAACAAGTATTCAATTAATCGTCGATACGTTCTATTAATGAAAAAACAAGATGTGTTTGTGAAACACTGATGCCCCCGTATGGCAACTTATAGCAAAGGTTAAACTTTCTCAAATGCAAATCAAATAGTTGGTACCCAAAGTAAGGTCTCGCGTCGAAGAATATACCTGTGAAATATGAAGGCCCTAGCAGCAACCATTGAATAGATATGGAAAAGGTTAAGTTTTTTTCAAAAGTAAGTCAAACATCCAGGTCAAATGGTCAAAATTAATGGTGCCTAAGGAAAGGCCTTCTCACAAGAAATATACTGGTGAAATATGAAAGCTGAAGCACCAATCGTTCAAAAGTTATGACCAAGGTTTAAGTTTTTCAAAAGAAGGCCAAACTCCAAGGTCAAGGTCAATGGATTACAATTGTTGGTATCCAAAGGAAGGTCTTGTCACAAGGATTACATATGTGAAGAATGAAAGCCCTAGCTGCAACGATTCAAAAGTTATGGCCAAGGTCAAAGTTTTTCAAAAGTAGGTCAATCTCTAAGGTCAAGGTCAAAGGTTCAAAGTTGTTGGTATCCAAAGGAAGGTCTTGTCACAAGGATTACATATGTGAAGTATGAAAGCCTTAGCACCAAACGTTCAAAAGTTATGGCTAAGGTAACGTTAGGTAAAATTTTGCAAAACTGGATCAAACTCAAAGGTCAAGGTCAAAAGGTCAAATATGGTGGTACCCAAATAAAGGTCTTGTCAAAAGAAATACACATGTGAAATATGAAAGCCATAGCTCCAACCAATCTAAAGTTATGGGCAATGTTAAAGTTTTTGCGGACAAACAGACAGACGGACGGACAGGGCAAAAACTATATACCCCCGAATCTTCGATACGGGGGCATAAAAATCATTAAAGTTCCACGTATAAAGTGACTTACGAGTACTGCTACATGACTTCCATTCATTCAGACTGCTCATTAGTAGTAAAATAATAAAATTTCATTGATCAGAAAACAAATCCCTCCAAAAATTCTAGAAATACAGAGACCAAAACCTGTTGTTTTGCACACAAGATTCTCCAAGATAAAGATAAAATGTAATTGATACAAGTATTAGCTTTCTTATAAAGCTAACACGTTTATAAAAGAAAAAATGAACCAACAGCTTTGCAATTTTTACGTTTTACTTTCATGCTATACTATTTACTTTGTTATTGTTATCATATTATTATGGTTTACTTGTCCACAAGTAATTATTACTTGTAGAGTTAATAAATTCCTAAGACAGGGAGGCAATGAAAATGAAATTCAATTAGATAATTTGATAGTTACGAATATTTAACAAGTGTTGATATGACCACCTTCATCCTTCTGTTTTACTTGGCATGAAATACATATGGAAAATGAGGCGGCATTTGAGAATGGACCAATGTTTTGCAGCTTGAAATGGCTAATGCAAAATGTTTGTTCCAATGGTGTGATCTCGATTAGATGTAAAGCAGGCCTCATGCGACAGTGTGAAATTTCCAAGATCAAGCTATCACAAGAATGTCAATACGAATGACTTGTCCAACAAGCCTTGACTAATCAAATACTGTTTGATGCCACTCGGAGCTCCTCGGGTGGCTCGTGACTCGGACACTAACAGCTCCTCGGGTGTCTCGTGCCTCGCAAACTAACCTCGGACGTAAAAGGCGTTCTACCATTTTGCTTATACACACATGTGATCTTATATATGAAATCCCTCCAAAAGTTATACCTTTGAAATCTGAGTTACTTTGTGGCAAGCCCAACACTACGTTTTTGCTTTCAAAGACTACTAACATAAGGTTGTTATCAAAACCAATATACAAGGAAGAATCTGACTTTGACAAGTTTAAAAACTTTTTGAATAAATTTATGCAGAGTGAAATATGAAATGCATGAGTTACAAGGCAGCTTCCGGCGCAGAAATGTATCGATTTGATGCATATTCTTCCACCAATCACAATCACATCCGAAGTTTTTATGGAGCGTAGCGGAGTCAGCCGTGGATTGCCGATTGGTTTGATGCCGTGACGTCAGTCAAATATGACCAATTATCAATGGAATGAGTTTGCACACAGATGCCAGTCATTTTATATTTATCAATACATGTAACAATGACTGTTATAGCTCCCAGTCATTAAAGCTGAACATGACTCGTAAATAGGCATACGCCATTTTCGATATTACTATCTACGATATCAGCACCGGGGTATACGCTACGCATTCGTTACACCTGACTGCTTTATTGTCACAGGTATCGGCGCGGAATGGCTACCCGTGTTCGTGCTGGTTATCTTGCATTACCTTGGTTTACATTTTATTGCAGTTACATGTACGTATATTTGTGTTTGTTTGCACTGACCTGTGCAACTGTTGTAAGTCTCTTTGGTATCTTACGCTCCTGCATTAGAAAAAGTACACAGTTATTTTTTGTCGCTACGAGTGCTGTATAGCATACTCCGGCTACATGGGTGACAATGGATTACACTGAACAGTGACTAAGTGGGCTGCTCTATATATAGGGGTCCTCAGATATAGCAAGAGTCCGATCGAATATGGCGGACAGATTCTTTTTACGAAGCTTGTTCAGCTTTAATATACAATTCTCATTTGTTGGGGTCATTGCTTAATGATATACCTGATGTTGAGAATTTACTATATTATAGATATTATTTTGTTACTGTTCTTCCCTTCTTAGTACTATCATTCAACATCATTAAAAAATACGCTATGAAATTACATTCATGGAAAAAAATTATAACAAGCAGTGTTCATGAAACTAGTGTTAAACATTCAAACATTTTTCAACTTTTGTTTTTGCTACATTGTGTTCAAGTGCCTAACTGTGGGCTGGAAACACCAGTTTTCCTGCTCTTTTTGTGAAATCTCACATGCAGTATGTGTATTTGAATACTCCTCAGCGCCACTGTAATACATTTGTGCAAGAACGCATCATGACGTTATCCTACCGCCTTTGTCGTGGTGGTTTGTGTATGTCTTTTTAAGACCACGTAATCTTGTGAGCTCCAGCTGTCGGTACATAGAATTACGATTCCAGATCTGGGACGAATTTTCTGTTGAAAAGAAAAATTTATTGGTTACAGTTAGCTTAAAAATTTCTAATACTCTGGTATAAGACAATATATATATATATATATATATATATATATATATATATATATATATATATATATATATATGCAACTTCAGGAAAAAATGAAAATGGTTCGAAACATCACTTTGACATGACCGTATGCTCGAGTGAAAATCAAAAAATAAATAAATAGATAATAAAATAAGTGTAGATTATAGGTACATGTATAATAAATTCCTTCGATCTATCCTTTTCGGTAACTTCAAACATTTGCTTCACTGAATCTTTAACGACTTTTGAGAATTATCAGTGTTCGGTAACTATGAGGAGATGTATTCTGAGTTGCTTTACGAATTATAAAAAACCTGTGACGGCACATATTGTCGTTTTGTACATATTGTCGTCGGCGACAATATGTACCTAACCTCACGGCACATATTGTCGTCCATCGGTACATATTGTCGCCGGCAGAAAAGTTACACATGTACATATTGTCGCCGGCAACATTATGTACCTACCCTCACTACACATATTGTCGCTCCACAGTTAGGGTTGCATAAGAATTTTTATGCCCCCGTATCGAAGATTCGGGGTTATATAGTTTTTGCCCTGTCCGTCCGTCTGTCTGTCTGTTAATCTGTTTGTTTGCAAAAACTTTAATATTGCCCACAACTTTAGATTGGTTGGAGCTATGGATTTCATATTTCACATGTGCATTCCTTGTGACAAGACCTTTCTTTGGGTATCATCATATTTGACCTTTTGACCTTGGAGTTTGACCCATTTTGCACAATTTTACCGAACTTTAACCTTGACCATAACTTTTGAACGGTTGGTGCTAGGGCTTTCATACTTCACATATGTAATCCTTGAGACAAGACCTTCCTTAAGATACCAATAACTTTGACCCTTTGATCTTGACCTTTTAGTTTGACCTACTTTTGGAAAACTTTAATCCTGATCATAATTTTTGAACGGTTGGAGCTAGGACTTTCATACTTCACATATATATTCCTTGTGACAAGTCCTTCCTTTGGATACCAATAACTTTGACCCTTTGACATTGACGTTTGAGTTTGACCTACTTTTGAAAAACTTTAACCTTGGCCATAACTTTTGAACAGTTAGTGCTATGGCTTTCAAACTTCACACATGCAATCCCTGTGACAAGTATCAACAACTTTGACCCTCTGACCTTGGAGTTTGACCTACTTTTGGAAAACTTTAACCTTGGCTATAACTTTTGAACAGTAGGTGCTAGGGCTTTCCTATTAAAATGTCTATTCCTTGTGACTAGGCCTTCCTTTGGATACCAACAATTGTAATCCATTTACCTTGACCATGGAGTTTGACCCACTTTTGAAAAACTCTAACCTTGGCCATAACTTTTGAAGGATTGGTGCTACGGCTTTCACACGTGTACTTCTTGTGAGAAGGCCTTTCCTTGGGCAGCATTAATTTTGACCATTTGAACTTGACCTTGATGTTTGACTTACTTTGAAAAACTTTAACTTTTTCCATATCTATTCAGTGTTTGCTGCTAGGGCATTTATATTTCACAGATATATTCCTCGAGACAATACCTTACTTTGGGTACCAACATATTTGATTTGCATTTGAGAAAGTTTAACCTTTGCTATAAATTGCCACACGGGGGCATCAGTGTTTCACAAACACATTTTGTTTTTGTAGTTTTGCGAATGTAATTGGTGTGTAAATCACACAACTGTGCCTCTCTGGTATTTCATGAAGCGCCATTGTGACGGTACATATTGTCGTCCTGTACATTTTGTCGCCGGCGGCATTGTGTACAAACTGTCCTCCGTCGCTATATATTGTCTCCGGTGACAAGATTTGCGTACCCGTAAGAAAGTAGGTTTAAGAAGAAGACTTTGAAATAAGAGATTCATGGGCCACAACACTCACCCAAGACACTTGCACTGCTGTTTTGCTCAATATACATGTATTCGTAATTTTATTTTTAAAAATTCCCAATTTACATGTATTTGTAAATAAAATTTTGATCACCTTTTGTGACCACATCCTAAACACAGGGGCCTTGATTTCAACAAAAATGACTCATTATACCAGAGGATGCTTCCACTTTAATATGATTTTTTCTTGTTTTGTTGTACCTAAGAAAAGGATTTTAAAGATTTTTCCCTATGTTATCATTATAGCCCCTCCTACCCCTGAGGACCATGAACAATTTTCAGTGGTTCTTGAAAAGAAGATTTTAAAAGATTTTTTCTCACATATAGCATATAGCAATGTAAAACTTTGATCCCTATTGTGGCCCACCCAACCCCCAGGAGCCATGATCTGAATAATTTACAATTTACACTACCTTAGGAAGCTTCCACATAAGTTTCAGGTTTTCAGGCCCAATGGCTTTTGAGAAGAATTTTTTAAAAGGCTTTCCAATATATTTCAATGTTAAAACTTTATCCCCCTATTGTCATGATCTTGACAATTTACCATCTACACTACGACAGGAAACGTTTATCTAAATTTCATTTTTTTCTGGTCTATCAGTTCTTCAGGAGAAGATTTTAAAATATGTTTGCTATATATATTTCAACTTAAAATTTGATTCCCCAGGGTGGCCCCCTCCCCCCCCGGGGGGGGGGCATGATCTTAACAATTTAGAATAACATTAGAAACAGCACTTCTTCAGAAAGCTTTCATTTAAATTTCATCTTACCCGGTCCAGTGGATCTTGACAAGATTTTTTTCCTATATTTTTTAATGGTAAACTGATTCCCTTTTGTGGCCTCACTCTACTCCCAGGGGGTCATAGTTGAACAATTTAAAATTTACACTACGTAAATGAGCATAAGTTTAAACTTTTCTGGCCCAGTGGTTCTTAAGAAGAACATTTTTAATGATCCTACCCTATTTTTGCCTTTCTTGATTATTTGCCCGTGAAAGTTTGCTTGGCCCTTCATTCTATGATTTAGGATCCCCTTTACCCAGGGATGCTTTGTAACAGCTATGGCCAAAATTTGCCCAGTGGTTCTTGAGAAGAAGATCAAAATGTGAAAAGTTTACAGACGGACGGACAAACAAACTTACGAACGTACGGGTGATCAGAAAAGCTCACTTTAGCTTTCAGCTCAGGTAAGCCCTACCCACAATCATATCGGTAATGTACGAGATAAGAAAAAACACAAGAATACTATCTGAATAATTATTACTAGTGGAGACAAAAGAGTTACACTCAAATATATATAATGAGAAACAAGGATATTCTGATTTCTGAGTTGAATCAAGAATTCCGGTATTTTTGTATAACATAGTCTTGTACACTGATTCTGCCCAAAAAGTTTTCTCTTTACAGTATTGCGAACAATGCCGTCTGTCTGTCTGTCTCTCTCTGTGTTTGTTTGTCAATCTGTCGCTCTCAGTAAAAATTCGTCAAAACACAAAATATCGACGACAATATGTGCCGATCTTGAATGTACATATTGTCGCCGACAACAATATGTTCCGAAGCTTGACTGTACATTTTGTCGTCCATTATGCAGAAGGGAAATAAGGTTCGTCTCGGCACAAATTGTCACCGGCGACAATATGTACCGATGAAAGACAATATGTACATTGAGGGTAGATAAATATTGTCGTCGACGACAAAATGAACAGAGTGACATTATGTACCGTCACAAAACCCAACAGTGGCTTCCTGGCAAGGAATTTAAATTTTCTTGACGACCATATTTCTGTGGCTTGACAATTGTTTTGTTGTACTGACAACGCATTGGATAATACTTAAGGAGGCTGGGGGTCAACAAATTAACCAGCAGATATAACTTAATTTTTTAGATATGATATCTTAAGCTGTCAACTATCATTTGGCAAACAAAAATTTCATACATTTTAGTTTTAAAATTTGATCATTTTTGTATATCTCTATATGGAGCTCTTCTTCTAAAGGAGATCAATATAGTCTGAAAATGGCCACAACCACCCAGTCCTCTTAAGCTCAACATTGTTGTAATGAGACATTATTTAATATCGAAAATGTATTATGAATTTTTCACTTTCCAGAGAGATACCCAAGGAAGAAAATGTAAGCAAAGTACTTTCTTTGTGCTGTAGACAGACCAATAGTTAATATGAAGCACTACTGAGTATATCAGTTTTAGATCAAACAATACTTTATTTGACTTTCACCACAAACCATGCCATTAATAATAAAAAGGTTGACAAGTAGAATTCTCTAAGGAATACATATCTGCAAGTTGTCAATAAACCTGAAGTGTAATTATTTACAGGGCCCCCACAATTCTACATTTATTACTGTAATTTAGTTTATAAAATTGCAGTAAATTACTTGTCTCAACACAGATAAACAAAATCAAGGGATTTCCTTAAATATGTTCTTCCTTCAATAGATATTAACTTGTCAAACTTTTTTTTATAATGTGAAACCTTTGACGACGCATTTATCATGAATACCGGGTATGGCGGAACTTCCTTTTACTTCAAGAAATAAAAGCAAAATTGACTATGATAGTGGACTTAACGTGTTAGACTTACTTTACCGTCTGCTTTGTTTAGGGAAAACAATTTTTTTAATTTCTACTTTAACTTGTAAAATTGATTGAGCGAGGGAAATTCAACACTTTTTTGATGTCTAGTAAGCTACTTGTAAACACCGGTATGCTAAAGAGATGGAATGCTGTATTTTTGAATTGAAACTATTTCATTTCCGTGAAACCCTATGTTCTACATGTTGTAGTAAAATAAAATATTTATCGACGGTTTAAAATCCGGTAACGAAACCAGTTTGTGAAAAACATAGAATCCAAAATTACGCAAACAATTGGTTACCAAGCAAACTGAAGATGTTAATTGAGTGCGGGACTAGTTCTACATGTGACGTGTCTAGTGACGTCTACTAGTGCGCGGGAGTTACCTCTTAACAATAGTCCAAGGAGTGATGAGTAAACGTATGGAGGACCTGGAGTCGTAAGCAAACTTTACCTATGAACGAATTCTTTGTATCGGTATTTCTTGCTGATCCGGTGAAGGATTTCCGAAAGCGCGTTGCTCGTTTTCTGATATTTCTCATGAAGGGAGCAGTGGATATTGTGTACAGCACAGGGTTAATTGCTGAATTCAAAGGTAGAACAAAGACTGCCACCCAAGCATAAACCTGAAAGAAATTCCATACAGAAATACCGAGGAATGTTCTGTAAAAGTGGCCAAAAGAGTGCAATGTAGATCGTGTTTACAAAACATACTGGCATTACCTGGGGTGGAACAGTTGCGCCACCTAGCGATGCAAATCCAAGGAGAATGATTGGTACCCAGCAGAAGAAGTCGGACATGACAATAAGCGTCATTCGTTTGGCCATAGACTTATCAGACTTCGCCTTGGATTTTCGAACGGCAGTAGTTGTTTGTTTGGCTACAAGAAACATCCATAGATATGAAATGAATATGACTAAAAATGATATGAAGTTTAGAACTAGGAACACAAACACGGAATATTCCCATCCTTTTGGTTTATCCGGTGTTATATGAAACGCTAGACACACGCCTGATCTCCCATAGAAATTGTCAAAATAGTCCAGACCGAAAAGTGGAATTCCGGATAGCATTGTCACCACAATCCAAATACACGGCATTACAATGGAGGCCTGCTTTAATCCAAGACGTTTTAATTTCAGTGGAAATATAATACAGATCAATCGGTCCAGGGTTATCACAGTAAGTGTAAACACCGAGAGCTCACTAGAAAACGTAGAAATGAAGCCCGCGAATTTACACAACTCACTTTCCCGCCAAGATTTGTCGAATATAATATACTCTCCCCTGTAGTAGCTATCCACCACAGCAATTATTAATAAGTATACTCCCATGAAAAAGTCACCAACTGCCAAATTTGTAATTAGAAAAGAATGAACCTGAAAAAAGAATATAAAGTAATAAGGAAGGGAGTCCTGAACAGATCGACTTCAATGAGTTGTGTTTCTATGACTTACTATTGTAACAAAATCCTTCTACAATTACAACCTTTTGACACAACCACCTGTATAATGAACCTCTTTCAACAAGAGTATTAAAGATCTCTATCAAAAACTGACCTTTCCATTCCTATCGTCCCTGATCCGCCAGATGAAGACCAGAAGGTTCCCAAAGAAGGCAACGGTCCCCAGGATCCAGATTGTAATCCGGAGGAGGTAATTAGACATGAGATCCTCACAGGAGGAGAATTCATCCGGCTCCGGCAAACATTTCTCCACTTCCCGAGCCAAACAACAGAAGCGGAACTCATCCACTTCTCTGCACAAAAATACTTAGAATTGTCATGTTTATCTTATTTTCTGCGAAAAAAAAATGTTAGGAGAATTATTTTTTCAAAAAAACAAATAATGATAAAGACTCGGTGATGGATAATCTGCTTTTACCATTTTGTTATAGGATATTCAATCGTGCAATCGAGGAATCGTGTCAAATTTAAAATACAATGAACTTTTTTTATTTGATTTTGCTGTGCCTTTATCACGCCAACTTTTTATCTATTATAAATGATTCTCTCTCATAAACTTACAACATCTTTAATTTTGCCAGTCCATTAAAAGCACTCCCATCGATGTGCGAAATCTTGTTCCTAGACAGGTCCCTTAAGCAGTAAATAGCGATAACAAATGAATTGACAATTTATCAAACGTGAATCGCTTAATTGCTTTAACAACTAACACCACTTGAATTCAAATTTGCCAGATGTCATAAAAGATGAAAAACGTTATACAATGTATCAATTTATTTCGATATCTTTTTTATAATGACCAGTAGACAGGTTAAGATGAGATTGTCTGAATACTTCACTCACAATGTTAACAAACTGTCGAGGCCACTGAACGCTCCGCTATACACGTGTTCGATTTGATTCCTCGAGAGATCTCTTCATGAAACATAATAAGTATACAAGATAAATATCGGATAAATAACAAATATTAAAGTAGCATCTCTGTTGTTCATGAGAAAGACAAATTTTAATGACAAGCAAAGAGAAAAAAAAGATTAATGGAAAGTAATTTGTGTTGGTACTCTTACAGTCTAGACACACTCCTAAGTCCAACAAGGCCAAACTTATACAAACACCGGAGTCGTTGTCCGCTGAGGTCGCTGTATTTAAAAAAAAAAATTAAACGTTGGTCAATTATTTGAATATTGCTTAATAAATCTCTTTATTCTCTTTATATTGCCACTATAACTATAATATTTGTAACTTCTTTGGTAGTTTTTATGGGAAAAAAACATGACAAATGTAATTGTGAATTTGAAATTGAAAATATATATGATACATAAAAATGCAAAGGTTAAAGTTGAAGGTCGAACAGTTCTTACTAGTTCTGTTACAGGTGGATTTAGATAATTTCAGTCACAAAAGGATCTGTTTATGTATTTTGGAGACATATTACTTACAGTGTTAGGAGTTTTGAGAGTCCTTTCAAAGAGTACGGATATACATCTTGGATGCGGTTCCCGTTTATGTATCTACAAATACAGAAAATCATTTTGTTCTTGAGTGCAACACAACGTAAAAAAGAAATACGAGCATTACTGTACCTGTATACTACCCTGATAAAAAGCTAATATAATTACATTTACAGCATCAAAGTACCGTAATGTGCACTACAAATAAAAATGTAACTTACAGGCTTCGTAAATTATAGAGTCCAACGAACGCCCCTTCTTCTAATTCACTTATTAGGTTGTTTTCCAAATTTCTGAAACGTTACAGAATGCTGTATCATTTACATCAATTAAGTCATTTGTAGACATGTATGATGATAAAATCGTGTATGTACCTTAAGAAAATGAAAAAGCAATTTTGGATCTTGCGTTTATTGGATTTCTTTTCATTACTTGTATGCACATTAGGATTTTTACTTTCGAAAATGATTTTGCTGCAAAAGCATCAACATCCATTTGTCAGTGGTATTATACATACCCTTGTACTACGTTTACTTGCACCTAAGGAATTTATGCAAACAGTTGGAAACAAAACTATCTGTACATGAACATAAAATAATTTTAAATTACATTACACTTGGTTTAATACTTACAAAGAGACGAGTCTGAATAGGTTTCGGAACATCCCCACGGGCACCTGTCTCAGGGAGTTGTTGCTGAGATCTCTACACAGAAAGGTATATTACACGTCGATGAAAAAGTACAAACTTAGGGGATTGATGGATACAAATTACAATAAAAAGTACAGACTTTAGGGATTGATGGATACAAATTACTATAAAAATTACAAACTTGAGGGATTGATGGATACAAATTACAATAAAAAGTACAGACTTGAGGGATTGATGGATACAAATTATAATAAAAATTACAAACTTGAGGGATTGATGGATACAAATTACAATAAAAAGTACAGACTTGAGGGATTGATGGATACAAATTATAATAAAAAGTACAAACTTGAGGGATTGATGGGTAAATGGATAAAAAGTACAATAAAAAGTACAGACTTAATATATACTGTCCTCTGCTAAATTTAGAATTTTTTTTTTCAATTTAAATTTGTATACGACCAATAATATAGATTTTTGTTGATAAATAGAAAATATGTCAGAAATAATACATTACAAGTAAACAACTTTTGAATAAATCAGGAATGATGTGTTGTCCAGAGAGTTGTTTAAGAAGTTGTCACTGAGGAAACTAAAAAAAAAAAAAAAGAGAAGATAAAAATAACAAACAGTTTGTCAAAAAATGTCTTACCATTTTTATTTATTTTTTTTTTTTAATATTTTTTTTTATCTAATAGGATCTGAAAACAAATATAAATTTTCTCACAATTTTGCCACGTTGTGTTCGTGGGGGAGGTCCGTGGGTAGTTTTTTTAATCCCCTCCCCCGGCAGTCTATCTCGTCAGTGCGACACATACACTCCATTGAGAGATATGGACAGGATGCAGCTACAGTGAAAACACATAGATAAAGCAGTGTAGCTGTCTATAGTACTGTTGTGTGAGATTGAGTCAAAGCAGCATTATATTTCATACCGTGCTTTTGGAATATAGTTTACACTGTGTTTTTGGGCAATTAAAGCAATACTTTGTATATAATGTGCTTGTGGATGCAGTATATTATAATAGTATGTTTGTGGAAATTTAAGGCAGTGCTGCAGTATAGTATGAAAAGTTTGCTTTTGAAAGATTAAACCAGTGCTGCAGAAAAGTGTATTTGTGGAAAATAAGGCATTGCTGTAATAATTAGTGTGTTTGAGGAAGATTGAGCCAGTGTTGCAGAATAAAGTGTGCTTTTGGAAAATTAGGCCAGTTGTGCTTCCGGAAAAAAAGGCAGTGCTGCCGCGTAAAGTGTGCTTGTGGAAAATTAAGCCAGTGCTGCAGAATAAAGTGTGCTTGTGGAAAATTAAGCCAGCGCTGCTGAATATAGTGTGCTTGTAGAAATTCAAGACTGTGCTGCAGTATATAGTGTGCTTGTGGAAGATTTAGGCAATGGTATTGTTTATCATAAGTAAGGCAGTGTTGTAGAATATTGTGTGCTTGTAGTAGATTAAGGCTGCAGTATTTAGAGTGCTTGTGGATGATTAAGGTAGTGCAGTTGTATATTGAATGATTGATTGATTGTATGTTGTTTAACGTCTCATTCGAGAATTTTTCACTCATATAGAGACGTCACCATATACCGGTGAAGGGCTTCAAATTTTGACCTTTACTCGGCACTCAGGGTCATTGAGCAGTGAGGGATCTTTATCGTACCAACGCCTGCCGTGACACGGGGCCTCGGTTTTTAGGGTCTCATCCGAAGGACCCACAGCTTTCACTTTGAAGTGCCGAGTGCATGGCAAAGGAACAGATGCTACCTATTTTTTAATCGACTTAGGTCAGTCGCGGCCGAGATTCGAACTCACAACCTCCCGATCACGGAGCGAGCGCTCTACCGACTGAGCTACCGTGAGCGGTTGCAGTTGTATAAAGTGTGATTGTGGTAGAGTATGGCAGAGCTGCTCTTTATTGACTGCTTATGGGAAATTGAATCAAAAATACAGTCTATTGAGTGCTTGTGGAAGATTAAGGCAATGTTGCAGTATATTATAGTGTTGTGATAGTGATTAAGGTGTTGCTGCAGCATATTGCGTGTTTATAGAAGAAAAAAAAAGTGCAGCAGAAAATAATGTGCTTATGGATTGATTGATTTGTTTTTGTTTTATATCCAATTCGAGAATTTTTCACTCATATAGAGACGTCACCATATACCGGTGAAGGGGTTCGAATTTTGACCTTTACTCGGCACTCAGGGCCATTGAGCAGTGAGGGATCTTTATCGCGCCAACTCCTGCCGTGACACGGGGCCTCGGTTTTTAGGGCCTCATCCGAAGGACCCGCAACTTTCACTTTGAAGTTCCGAGCGCATGGCAAAGGAACAGTTGCTACCTTTTTTTATCGACTTAGGTCAGTCGCGGCTGAGATTCGAGCTAACGACCTACCGAACATGGAGCGATCGCTCGACCGACTGAGCTACTGTGACGGTCATGTGCTTATGGAAGATTAAGGAAGTGTTAAGGTCTATAATGTGCCTATGGAAGATGAAGGCAGTGATACAGTCTATAATGTGTTTATGGAAGATTAAGGCAGTGATGCAGTCTATATTCTGCCTATGGAAGATTAAGGCAGTGATACAGTCTTAAATGTGCCTATGGAAAATTAAGGCAGTGATACAGCCTATAATGTGCCTATGGAAGATTAAGGAAGTGATACAGTCTATAATGTGCCCATGGAAGATTAAGGCAGTGATACAGTCTATAATGTGCTTATGGAAGATTAAGGCAATGATACAATCTATAATGTGCTCATGGAAGATTAAGGCAGTGATGCAGTCTATAATGTGCCTATGGAAGATTAAGGCAGTGATACAGTCTATAATGTGCTTATGGAAGATTAAGGCAGTGATACAGTCTATAATGTGCTTATGGAAGATTAAGGCAACGATACAGTCTATAATGTGCTCATGGAAGATTAAGGAAGTGATACAGTCTATAATGTGCCTATAGAAGATTAAGGCAGTGATGCAGTCTATAATGTGCCTATGGAAGATTAAGGAAGCGATGCAGTCTATATTCTGCCTATGGAAGATTAAGGCAGTAATACAGTATATAATGTGCCTATGGAAGATTAACTAAGTAATTCTATGGAAGATTAAGGCAGTGATACAGTCTATAATGTGCTTATGGAATATTAAGACAGTGATACAGTCTATAATGTGTTTATGGAAGATTAACGTAGTGATACAGTCTACAGTGCTTATGGATTACTGTAGCATTGTGTTTTATTTATATATAATATATAAAACATATAATATTTGAATAAATATTATTGATATAAATAATATTAAATAACATTTTATGATTTAATACAAATATCAGATCCACCCCTTTATTTACTTAGTGAGCGATAGAGTTCAAAGGTTTTTAACATCAGGGTTCTGTTATTTTATTGGTTAAAAGTTTTGGTGGTTCTGAGTTGTTCTCGGACAGAATATTCAGTACTGTAGAAATTATGTGTTACTAGATATGTTAGACAATGAAGCATCCAGTCGGTATTATTTTGGTTTTTCATGGAATGGGCTTTTTCCCATAGATAGGTAATTAGAATATATTACCTTTTGTATATTTTAAGTTTTAATTACATATTGTTGCATTGATTGAAATGTAGCTGTACTATATTTGTGTAAAGAATATATGTACAGTGATTAATGTATAATTATGCTAAATATTTGAATAAAAGGAAATCACTCTCAACTATTACATCTATGGATTGTACATCAGGATAACTAAAATATATTGTATACATTTGTTCTTATATCATGTGATATTCATTGTTATTATTTTATTTTATAAGGCCGTTTTCCTGGGTACTATATGAACATCAGTATTAATTATATATATGAACCCTTAGCCAGGAGTTTGGTTATTATTACTTGTGATATAAACCACTCCTGTAACATTAAGGCAGTGTGTTTGTTGAAGACAATGTGTTTGTTGAAAATTAAGGCAGTGTTGCAGTTTATGGTAACTGTGTTACTGTGGAAGATTAAGGCAATGCTGTAGTATATAATGTGCTTGTGGAAGATAAAGTCCATTTTTTGGTATATTAAGGACAGATGATACAAACAATTTTTTTCTTTGGAGGAGACTTAATATCATGTCACAGGTTTAGAAAAGTGGATAATTCTTTGAATTTTTTCTCCTTAGCCTATTTGATTTTTCTGATTTTTTGCCATTTTGCTTTTCCTCATAAAATTCACATGGCTTGGTATATTTTTTTAAAGTTTATATTACACTTTTAGCACCAAGCTAACATATTCTGAAATTTATTTTCATCTGTAAACCTTTACCGAGTGTGATTTGTCCATTTTTGTAATTTTATTGAAGAATTAACTAATATTTTGCAAGTGTTATTTCTTTTATGCAAGAAAATACAACAGGTTATTGAGTGAATGTAATATCAATTTACTTTGTGCTCCTTTAGAAACATTTTTGAAGAAAAAAAGAAGGTAAATGAATGAAGATTAAACTGTTTTACCATGATTACTCTAGTTGTGTGCTTTTTGGGGGAAATATGGAAGGTATTTCATTCTCCATGTCTAAGGAGGAAAATTCAAAGAATTATCCACTTTTCTAAAACTTTGACATGATTTTAAGTCTCCTCCAAAGAAAATGTTTGTTTGTAACATCTGTTCTTTTAAAAGTGCTCATGTAAGATTAAGGCAGTGTTGTAGTGTATTATAATGTGCTTGCGGATCTACTTGCTCTAATAGATAAAGGCTGTGCTGCAGTATATCTGTGTGCTTGTGGAAGATTAAGGCAAGCTTCAGTATACTCGTATAATGTGCTCGTGGAAGATTTTACACGATCCATATCTGTCATTTCATTGGTTTTACATGCATGAAAACAAGTCAATAAATGTCAAATGTTCAGAATTTCAAGCAAACGTCTTAAAGAAAGAAAGCTTTCAATGTAACATTAACGGATTAATGCTATCAAAGTAGATAAAGTTCAATATGGTAAGTCTTGAATATAATTAAATCATAGTTGAAAAAAGGTGTGAAAAAAGTACGTGTTTGAAAACACAGAATAAAAACATAATGTTTAAAGGTAGCTTGAATAAAGTACGACATGAAAATATAGGAATTCAGTGAGTGAGGGCTAGTTCTAGCAGAATAACAGCATTCGTATGTGTGCTGTTTTTTTTTTCTTTTGCAGTGTAATTGTGATAAAGAACGAGTAAAAACACATAAATCCGTTTGATGAAATTGGAGAATGTTTACCATTTTAAACATCGTAAAAATGATGAAAAAATTAATAGAAGATAAATGAAATTATTTTTCCAGACATTTATAGCTTAAAAAATTTCATACATAAAACAAATATCTTGCACTGGAGTGTATTTGCTGTTTTTTAAAGACTTTTTTAACTACAATTTATTTTTTTTAATATTTGCAGAGCAATAAATGTTGAGTATGATCTAGTTTGCAGACGAAAAATTTCTGACACGGGACCCCAGTAATAAATTATGATCAGATGATCAAAAAGACAAATAATGCAGATTGACGTGAATTGAAGATATGGACTTAATTATAAGTTGTCGATTCAGTTAAAGTCAGTCCTTCTTTAGCACGCTTCTCCAGACTTTATCTACGTTTTATGTGCTATGTTCATTACGAAGCACCCATTTATTAGTCACAATTGACTTTGATATGAAGGAAAGCAAAAACATTTAATTTACATCTTTTTTACCTGGAGTCATTTGCATTTTTTATTTAAATTACGCAATATGTGACGCATTTTATGGTCGAAGAGAAAGATTTAATCTTATGGTTGTCTTTCTGTCAACAGTTTTCTTGTGCCAAATGCAACATTTTTTCTCTAACTAAATGGAATTGAGTATGCTATCACTTTATCCAAAAAAAAAAAAAAAAAAAAAAAAAAAAAAAAATAGGGAGAGGGCGAAATAAGTTTTCAAAATAAGAACTTGTTCCCAATCCCATTGTATGTATTTCTTACAATATGTTCAAAAAAATTTCAAAAAACAAGAAACTAGATTTTTTGTAGAAGGGGATAGTGATTTTAAATAAACAATTTCTTTTTACATTCTTGTGAACTTATTTTCAATATTTACCACTGGTTATTCAGTGCCAATTTTCACATACAGGAAAATTTCATGTACATAATTGATGCCTTGGGAGCAATTAATATATTTCTGAGTCTGGAATTATTTGTTCCAGTTAAAACTCAAAACATCTGTAAAATAAAAATACTCTTTCTGAACCAAAAAAAAAAAAAAGAAAGAAAATGAAACGATTTGATAAATAAAAATAATAATAATAATAATAAAAACTCACGACAGCCCAGCTCGTCCCAGTAGGAATTAAGAGGACAGTCGATATTTTCATCACATACAGCTTCCTCGTCAATACAGTAGGAATTACGACATTTAAACTGACCAAGGGAGCAGTTAGCTTCCTCTACAAATCAAATTATACAATTGATTCAGAGCAGAATCGTTTAATATCGAAGATTTCAGTCCCTAAACACTCTTGTGATATGGACTGGGTAAAATTAAAACTTAAGGAAGAATTGGTCAAATAACCCCCCTAGAATATTAGCACTATGATGTATATTAGATAAATTGTGATTTTATTTTCACTGGAAATTATAGCTAACATTATGGATACAAACTGCATTGGGGGAGGTACAAGTTGGACTCGTCAGCGCATCCTAGTCTTTTGTTTGCTGACTTGTAGCAAATGTACTTTGAATCAATACACTGTCCATTATTGCATGTAAATTCATCCACTTCACAAGGGCGGTGAACTGTCAAAACCACAAACAGCATAAGACATACCACTAAAGAAATCCTACTTTTCTTCTTAAAGAAGGATAAAAGAAGGCGACAAGCTATTCAACAATAAAATTGCTTCCCAATATTTGAGTATCTACTTTGCATTTCTTCTTTTAAGGTCACTACGAAAGAAATCATTTGAGATGTTCGCTATTTACAGAAACTGACAGCAGTTATTAATAGTGCAGAAGCCCTCCTGCTTTTCAATTTCTTACAGCAGTCTGTTTCATCTGATACATCCGGACAGTCGCGGAAGTAGTCACACCAATAAACTTCCGGAACACACGGTCCACTCTTACAGTGTCTGTAGCCGGATGGACAATGGATTTTATCTTTGAATAGAGAAAGATTGAAAAAAATATAGTCCTAGAATTTCAACAATCACAGATGATGTAGTGACCTATATATAAATAACTAAGTACTAGTAAATTGTTCTAAATGAAATTTCAGATATACTAATGATTGTACTTTGCAACTGTATCAATACGTTCAGGCCCGTAGGAAGCAATATCAGTGTGTGTGTGTGTGGGGGGGGGGGGGCAACGATACATTTTCAGTTGGGGGGGGGCACTATCAACTTCTAAAATTTCCATGAAAAGCTAAAAAATGGTCATCAGACGTTATTATTGAGGGGGCACAAGCATATGGTAGCTATGTTTTCTATAGTATTCTATATATCGGCAAAATTATTGGGGAAGCACCGCCTCCCGTACCCCTGGTTCCGACGGCCATGAAGTTGAGTACTTAGTAATTATTAGAAATTACATTTGAGCTCGGGTGTGGTAATATTTAAACATCAAAAAAAAATGTTACAATATGCTTTAAAAAACTTAAACTAAAACTTTGTTGGATACTGTATGACCTACCACATTCTTCCTCGTCAGAACCATCGAAGCAGTCCGCCCGTCCGTCACAGCGGGACGAGGAATTAATACATTGCTTGTTCTTACACTTGAACTCCCCTTGTAAACAGTCCCTGAAATACTTGTCTGAAATAAAAATGATCAAAATGTAAGATCATGATACGTGCAGATCCACTGAAATTTCCTCTACAATTTTAAGAAAAGCGCAACGGCGTATTCCAGTATTAGAATAATATACAGGTGGATAAAGAAGTATATTATTTGTTTGTTTTTAAAGTTTGCCAGGACAGTCGATTTGGGATAGGATTTTTAATTTAATATAATTAAAACTGGTGACCAAATGTATTTTATTACAGAATTTAATAATTTTAATCATAACTTCATTTTATTTGTAAAATTATCCATTCACTAATTCGCAACATTATTGTTGTTTACCACACATTCTTTTGTCCTCATCTTCGCCATTCTTACAGTCTATAAAGTAATCACACACTGCTTTATGAGGAATGCAGCGCCCCTCAGGGCAAGGGAAGTAATCGCGACCAAAATCGCTACAATTTTTACCAGAAACATTATCTGAAAAAAGAAACATCTGCTTTAAGCAAAACAAACGACAGACAAACAATTTACTGTATTCTATTTTGATATTATTAGGGGGAAAATTCGGCTTTCCAAAAAAAAAAAAAAACCTGTCTTATGTTTTATGCAACTTGATAACGATCTTTCAATCTTTATGCTCAATATTCTCACTTGCCAGACCACCAAAAAGAATTTCCCTTCAGTGAGCAAGACTGATTTGATCGTAAAACGACAGCGAGTAGGGTGTCTTAAATAGCACAGCAACACCTAGCTTATCTGTGTGGAATTACACGATAATCTGCACCATTCTGAGAGGTTACAACGTGCAAAAGGTGCGCTTTCGTTAAGTTCCCGAGTTTGATGCAAAATTAAAAGAAAATAAACATGCACTCTGATAACTATTTGTCTAAAAGTTATCTAATTTTGAAGAATTGAACGCAGAGAAAAACCTGCAAAACATGCTAATGACAGGTGCCACGACAAATTAGTGCCTGCTTATTACATCCCATGTCAAAACAAAACGTGGTATATGCACTTAAATATCGACATCCAAATACAAAGCAAATTAAATTATCCAAAGTCAATTCGATAGTGTTTTGTTCTGTTGTTCTTTCAGTTCAATAGTTTTTATTATAGCACACCCCTCTCTAATTTAGTGCAAGTCATTTTTATCGTTTGTTTTCTTGATCATAATTTGGCTACATTATCCAAAGTGTTATTGTATTTGCCAGCGAAGTGCTTCAAATCATTTTCCTCCTACAACATAATTCGATCGATTTCCGATCGACTCCTAAAAAAATATATCGAACAAAAAATAAGTACCTATTACAACGTTATATGGTGGTGTCTATTTGACGCATGCATAAATATCATAGAGTGTGGTGCCTTTTACTAAATATAACTATTGAAGACAATGGACCATAATGCTCACTGAAGTCAAAGTTAACTTTCAGACAAAGTAGTAGTGAAATCCTTAATTCTTTACCATACGAAGTGCAATTTTTTATGATTTCAGTTGTAAAAAAATCTCATACATTAATCGAAAAACTGAAAAGCTCAGATTTGAGAAGGTGATGATCTTTAAAGGAACTAATTATAATCAATACCAAAATTATCTTCATATCTTTATTTCCTGTAGAAATCTCTGTTGTATTCCGTTTGTATATACAACAATGACATAGGTAAGTGGGCTGTGCTTAACATTCTCTATTAAAATTTATATACTGATTTTCAAGAATTGCAAGAACATCATGTCTATTAATAGCAATGGTTCCTGGAGGTTTCCTTTAAAATTTTAGGCTTATCACTCACATTGAGACTGAATCGGTAAGATTTCACATTTCTAATGTTTAACGTTGTTACGAGGGGCCTCCGGTTCAGAGAGAGTGGGCAATATGAGAGAGCTTCATCTTCTATACAGAAATGGAAGCGACTTACAGCTAGCCTGTAATTGGTACAGACAAGACATCTCGTCAGACCCCCGTTCATTGTTGTAGCAGTCATTCTGACCGTCACACAGGTACTTATTGTCGATACATCTTTCTATCTTCAGCTCATACAAAGATTTACAGGCAAACGAGTCTCCAACGGGACAAACCGAGGCTCCTTAATAAAACAATACAAAGAGCAATTATGCAAAAGCATTCAACATCTTTTTTACATACTTCTCGTTATCTTAAAAAATAATCAATCCATAAGACTATCTTACATGAGAGGAATTGTCAAGAGTAGCAAAATATTGTCAAGTAAAGATGTAAAGAATAGGCGACTTAACAATGATCCTCACCACAGCCTATTTCATCTTCACAGCTTTCTCCACAGTCACAGAACCAGTCACAGCGATTTGCCATCCCTAGGCAACGCCCATTTCTACACCGGAAGCCATTTTGGCAGGAAATGGTGCCTGAAAGGTGTAAAATAAAACTTTTTTTGCAATAACAATTTTACATATGAGTTTGTGAGCTCTATATCCTTTTCGTGCGATGTAGAAACTGTAGAAGTGGTAAGTCAGGCATAAGGTAGAATACAGGTAATATTCCCTACATTTTTCATATACATGTATATGCAACCGAAGTGGAGAAAAATGCGACGGATCAGACCATGATTGGAACCCGGACCCTTAAACTCTAAACAGCTGCTCTGTTTCACAAAATCAGAATACAAAGTATATACCGAGTACATTGATGAAGTTAACAGTTCATCAGCTTAGGCTCTGATGTAGAAATTTCGTCTTCCAAAGCAGAGGCTCTAATAAAAATCTGTATTGTAACATAAGATTTTTAAAATTATGACTTTACAAATTTGTTGGGCGTGGTTATTGACATGGCTGTCTCTCTGTCTTTCAAACTCGAATTTGAGAATCTTTCATTGTAATGGATTGAAACGTAAGATGTGTTGTTGCTAGAGAATATTTTTCTTACGATTTACATGATGCGTCTATCTTCAATGTTATATCTCAAAAGCCAAGTAGTATTTTCTAGATGGTTTTATTCTTTCAATAAATATCAATACCAGGTTTAGCACATGAAACACATAAGTTGATTCTTTGTTAAGCCCGAAATGTTCAATTTATCAGGAAAGCTATATATTTCTGGACAGTAAGAAGACTAACATCTCAAAGTTAGATTTTTATACGAGGAAATGAACATGATTTTTAGAAGAATTCTTTGGACTTTCGTTTCCTGTTTCCATTACTTCTACATTAGCTTCTATTGTTTTAGATCGAGTATTTCAGAGTGATAAAATGCTCTTAGGAGTTTCAAACTTTCAAGCTTGCTTTCTTGTTTTGTCTTTAACATCAACTGGAGATTTTCAAGACATTATTAACTGTGTAGTTTGCGTGGAGGGGTGTATATTTAACTGGTTTGTGTGTGTATGAAGTTATATTTTGAAATGATCAGAACTAAATAGATTTTGGATAACACTATTAGGAATTTTTTAAAATTTTGTATATATTTAAATTGATTAGTGTGAGGTATGTGGATTTATGTTGCAGAGTATGATATATATCACCTATAGAGAAAAGAAATCAACATTATCAGAAAATTCTCAAAATCATCGGAAAAAAAGCTAACCGGATTTAGCACGATAAAATTAACAAGTCAATTTTCATCACATGAAACTCCTTTTGATTTTTGTCAAACTAAACTCAGAGTTATTCAATTATTTGACAATGTATTGCAACCGAATAATATTTGAAGTTCATAAAAGAATATCAGGCAAATGCTTTTGGCATTTTGATACCCATTTAATTTTTTTCTATTGTCAGATCTGACTTTATTCGAAAAACATTATTACTCAGCATCCCCGGCTTAATCCAAATTATCTGAAGTTACGATATAACTAGATGCTGTCGTAAGACAGTTATACCAGCACCAAGTCTTTAATTGCTTTCAAATGTAAGTTCTCCTTAGTACCTGGGAATCAAGCAGAGAAGCCACGATACTTTTCTATAAGTTACATAAATTCACATGTATTAAATTGAGCACAAAATGCTCAGATGAGATTGCGGCACATGGACCTCTTTTATTAGCATTTCATATAAGAAGTTTGAAATTAAAAAAAAAATATTTAGCATTAATTCTGTTTTTTTTTTTTAAGTTTTCGAAAGAAAAGAAAAATCATCTTAAATTTCTATCCTCTAATTGATTTCCAAGAAGACAATAATTTTTTTTTTCAATTGCACATTTACAGGACACTATATCCAAAAGATAAGGAATTCTAGAGAACATTATTTGATGTAGACAAATGTCGTTTTAACTCTAATTGACCTCCTGAATGAAAATGGCAATTCTGAAACCTTATGGAACATCTACAGGACACCACCAATCATATTCCAAAAGAATATCTGGGTACTGCATAGAATGGAAGAGGAGTTCTGGGATCTATGTTTTATAGAAAAGAAAAGTTTTCGGCTCCAGTTTGGTCTCCAGATAACACTGAAAATTTGCCGTCACCTTATTGCATATCTTCGGATTACGACTAAATTCATGTTCCAGAAGATAATTTGTCTTCGGTGTAATATTTTTGAAGAATTTACCGAAACACTTAAAAAATCCCATCTTTTTTCGTCCCTCAAGGACGAAAATGAACAATTTGAAGCCTTAATGCACGTCTATAGGACACCATCAATCATTTTCCAAACAAGGACTTGGCTACGAGGTAAAATGTAAGAGGAGTTTGGTGAATAAGAGAGTGTGACAGACGGACAGTCAGACGGACGGACAGTCTAGGATACCAATATACCTTAACTTTCTTCAGAAAGTGCAGGTATAATGAAAAAAGCATGTGATTAGCATTTGAGCTTCTAAAAATGTTTTATAATATTTGAATGTTAAATTTTGTTCTCCAAATGAATGAAATACATATACTGTACTACGTTTCTGTACAAAACCCTGGTTCCCAAAACTCCAGTAAACATTTTATGCAGCATATCATCTTTGAAATATGATTTGTAGTGTTCTGTAGATGTGTATTCCGAATTTTCATTTTTATCCTTGAGGCCATTGGAGATCGAAAAACGACGTTTTTCAACAAAAACCTGGTCCACAGAACTTCTCTTACATTTAATATAGCATACCATCTTTTGGAATATGATGAGTGGTGTCCTGTAGATGTTCAACTAGGTTTCAAAAATTTCCTTTTTTTACCCTAAGGGCTATTGAAGATTAGAAATCGATGTTTTTTTTTACATAAACTTAGCTCCCCGAACTTTTCTCATATTTCAAATCCAATACATTTATTTTAAATATGCAATTGGTGTCCTGTAGATGTATATTTCTCATTTTATTCAAATAGGGCCAACTGGGGGCTGAAAAACATATTTCAATCGTATCTGAGTCAAGCTAAATAATAGGAATAATTACATCCTACTGCGCATTTGTCGATTGCTGCCAAAACAGGGCCTACTTTAATTTTTAAGGAAATAACCAAAATACCAAAAGTAATCGACATAAAGCAACTACTGCCTTTTGGGGTGTCTAATTTAATACGCTATCAATTTGGTTAAATACTCAAAAATACGTTCTTCATATTTAAGAAACATTTCTACACCTAGGTAAAAATTAAGCTGGTGCACCTTGAAGCCGAGATAAATATCCTGAATTAGCCTGGTGAGGTGACAGCAGCACCGGCGAGGACTACTGCAATGGACAGCATAACTAGATAAAATTGTTCCTGGAACCTTATGATTAATAGAGATTTTTATAAGTTTGACAGAATTGCAGACACGGTGACCAGATAAGAGGAAAGGCGCGTGTTTCAACCATGACAATATGACATGCAAAATTACAACAAGCGCACGAATTCCATTTAAAATGTAGAAACCTTTGATTTAGATCGACAGAAGATAAATAACAATACCTTTAGAAGTAAAATAAATCAAATTTGTTCAGAGGCAGAATGACTCAAAACTTACACAAATCAGTCAAGTGCTTTTATAGTTTACTTTCCCCGGAGTGAAATTGAGGATTTTCTAATTTTGTGGAATGGTACCGGCAGGAATCTGTTTAATAAGAACTTCACGAAATCAGATAATTATATGTATTAAAATGTGTTCGTATTCTTTTCGTTAGTATTCATTGATGCATCAATTCCGTTTTCCATTGCCTATTCCAATGCAGTAAGCCCCTCTTACGAAGGAGTTCTGTTTTCAATGAAATGTTCCAACATTTCAAAACTTCAATCCACCTATAAACTCTATATAATTTAAAATAGGTGATCATTTACAGTCTGTATATTAGATACGAGGACAAAGAAAAAATCTTAATAATTATAAGATATCAGAGTTTTTTTCTTCCAATATCACCTAGCCTAAAACAATGTACATTGGTTGATTTAAGCTTGACGCGTAGGAGGAAAAAAAAGTCGACCACGCTACTTGTACTCTTGTCTATGATCAAATAAAATTAACACCATTTATCATTTATGCAAATGTGACAATTCTATTCAAATACACAATTTTCATGTTCAGTAGCCAAGCGCGTTTGTTTTTGAAAAGTAATAATTAGAAAATACCCCAGTCAACAGTCATCATTTTTTATTTCAAAAATAATTTGTTTCTTCATACGCAAACAGTTAATCAGAATTGAACAGTAAAGTGAAATCTGAGACACTTTCATAAGATGGTTACCAATCTGAAGTTTTAATGTACTATTAAGGTCTGTGTTATACAATGGAAGGCACTGTACTCGGCAAAACTGTTCATTCAAAATAATAAAATAACGCTACGATAACCTGCAATGTAAAGGCGACTGTGTAACATGTCATATACTTTGTTACTATGAATAGCTTCAATCTGTTTTCTGTGGACTAGGAAGAAGATAAATAATCCTTCAAAATTGTAGCACAACGGCAGTAATTAACGTATAGCACTAACAGTCAACCTGAAATGAATGTATTTTTACCCTGAGATCTTTGGAATCGATGAAAGAACACCTCTAATGAAGTATAATTTTGATCTTACTGAGGATACAAAAAAGTTTTAAAAAATCATAAAAAATATATGAAAGACCTGTACTGTTTAACGGTTCAAATTTGTCTCCATGACAACCCGTTTTTCCAGTCTTTTATGTGAATTAAAGCTATAAAAGTCTTCTAAAATATATAACTTAAAATGAAACTTCATCTATTTTCATTTGAAAGCAATAAAAACATCGTAAATAACCACTTTACGACTGAAATCATTTTTTTCATTTCTGAGTTTTGTTGATTTATTTTTTCAGCTTTCCATTTAGAACGAATGGAATTGTAATGTATCGACTTTTAACGAACAAGCTTTTCTTGTAAATCCTTTAATAATTCTATTTGTGTGAGAGAAAACAGCGCATGTAACCCATAACTTTTCAGCAGAACTTTGCCTTCAAAATAATATTAATAGTGAATAGGTGCAACTCTGAGTAAACACAGAAAGGGACAACTCAGAATAGTAACATGGTTAAAAAAATACCACTGGATGACCATTCCGACTTTGTTTCTGTGCTCTTTAATGATCTCTTAACGGATTTTATAGCATTTCAAAGTAGTTCACTGTATAATTTGTCTAAATTGAGACAGATAAATTTATTCACTAATAACAATATACACGTATCCTCCAACCGAGCACACGCAGTTTTAGCACATCACAACATAGCAGTCACTTCTTTGAAATGTTCACAAGATACAAGATTTACACAAGATAATATTTATAGCTCGAAGCTTGTTCTTTTAATTTTAAAGTATTTATTATATAAACATCCTATTGACTGCTATCATAATGTGTATTTTGAATTACATGTTACTCGATCAGTGTTACTAAAGAGCGATGCTTTTCACTTTTGATAACTAAAGGAACCATTCATATCTGACAACACATTTTGAAGATATTCAGATACTTTGATTTGAATTCAATTCCTGTCTTGTATTAATACATTTCTAGGTATATATATATATATATATATATATATATATATATATATATATATATATATATATATATATATATATATATATATATATATAGGTACCTTGTTAGAATTTTTGGATTAAATTTTTGTCACTTACAGTTAGCCTCATCTGATTGGTCCTCACAATCTACGAATCCGTCACATACACTGCTCTGGTATCTATAAAATCCCGACCCACATCGGTGGTACCAGTCTGTAACAAACAAAACAAGAGGTCATGAGCCAGGCACAACGTTCACCTAAGTAATTATGGCCCTTCTTGTTCATCATCAGCCCATCTTTCTTCCTATAAATTCTTATGAAAACCCTCGATCGCCCATTGTAGCCCCTCCCTACCGTCAGGGGGTCATGATTTCAATGAACTTCAATTTACACTGCATGGCAAAGGGGAATAACATCTCTCAGTAGAATACAAATTAATAGAGCCCTGGCCAGGACCAGAACACTTGACCAATTGGTCCAGATGTAAAAATCTGGTAAAAATATCCTTGCTTATTAAAACTTTTACTCTGTTTGGCTCAGCTATGCCCACGAACAAAGATTTTCAAAGAAATAATGCATTTTCACTACAGATTCAACATAGTCCAACCCTAACACTAGAAACCATGACCCAGGGTCATGAATTTCACAAATTTAGAAGAGGTACCCTCACATCATAGTTATGTACTTAGTTGAGATTTTCAAGAAATTAACACATTTTCACAATATTATCGATAGAGCCCCATCCTGACATCAGAACCCCTGACCCAGAGGCCATGGAACTCATAATTCTGGAAGAAGCACCCTTGCTCGTCATAACTTTACACTAAGTCTCTTTGCTTTATAACAAGGAGCAGAAAAGAATATTTTTTTTAAAAATCATGCTTTTTCACTATATATTCAATAGACTCCCAACCTAACACCAGAGCCCCTGACCTAGGGGCCATGAAACTCATAATTCTTACTCATCATAACTTTGTACCTACTGTAATTAGTTTCTTTAATTCCAAGCAGCAGAGAAGAAGATTTTCAAACAATGAATGCATTTTCACTATATTATCGATAGAGCCCCATCCTAACACCAGAACCCTTGACCCAGGAGCCACCCTTGCTTATCATAACTATACAGTTTCTTTGCTTTATGATTAGGGTCAGAAAAGAATATTTACAAAGAAATTTTGCTTTTTCACTTTATAATCAATAGAGCCCCATCCTAACATCAGAGCCACTGACCCAGGGACCATGAAACTCAAAATTCTGGAAGAGCCACCCTTGCTTATCATAACCGTACACATAGTTTCTTTGCTTTATAATCAGGGTCAGAAAAGAATATTCTTAAAGAAATTATGCTTTTTTCACACTTCATAATCAACAGAGCTCCACCATAACACCAGAACCTCTGACCCAGAGGCCATAAATTACGTAATTTTGGAAGAGGCACCCTTGCTCATCATAACTATGCACTTAGTATGTTTATTTCCCAGGAGCAGAGAAGAAGATTTCCAAACAATTAATGCATTTTCACTACATAATCAATCGAGTCCCGCCTTAACACCAGAACCTCAAACCTAGGGGCCATAAAATTCACAATTTTGGAGGGGGCGCCTTTGCTCATCAAAATTATATACTTAGCAGAGAAGAAGATAATGCACTTTCACTATATAATCTATATAGCCCCGCCATGCACCAGAACCTCTGACCCTGGGGCCATGAATTTCACAATTTTGGTAGAAGACTCAATGCTTATTACAATCATGCCAGTAATTTTGACTGCTTGATGTCCAGAAGTAAAGAAGAAGATTTTTAAAGACTGCATTAATTTTGGTGGTTTTAACCCCATCCTCAGGCCCCAGGGGGCAGGGGCCATAAATTTTATAATTTTTGTTCCCCTTCACCCATAGATGCCAAAATTGGTTGAAATTGGTTCAGCAGTTCCAGAGAACAACTGAAAATATTCAAATTCTCAAGCACATCACACAACGCATGACGACGGACGAAAACGAATAGCAATAGGATAGGTCATCTGAGTGATTCAGGTGACCTAAAAATCGCTCATTGCTTTTTAGTAGCGATTGAAGCATTGTTAAATAGAAATATAAATCTTACTTTAATTTACTTGTGTACAAATTTTTAATGAAATCAGACCAATACTATAGGAAGTATTGAGTATTGAAAAATTCAACACATTACTTTCAGACACCATAACAACATTATTCATCGAAATTAAAACCGACATGTGTCCCAAGTTTCATTGAAATCAGAAATAAACTATGTTGATTGAGAAGCATTTTGAAATCGTGTCCGACCAGTAGAGCTGAAACCTACAACCTTTGCTGATAAAAGAATTTGGAAGGAAAAGTACTTATCTCTATTTGCAAAGTGTTCGGATACTTTCATTACTTCATAATTAACAAAATAGTTCATTTAAATATAGAAGTGACGGGTTGATAAGAAATGATTTAAAATATGGCCTTCTTTTTCAATATTTGATCTATATGTTACCCACTGATTCACATGTTACAAAGACTCCAGTTTTAGGCCTTCAAAAGAGATAAATTGAAACTGTTCCTGACCCAATTTACAAATTTTCATAAAATTTAGGAGCTTTTGGCAAGGCTGATAAATTACATGATAAAGAGAACGTAGAAGACATAAAATTGTCACAAATTGTTGATTGATTTTGACACTAGGCATATACCCAAAATAATTAATGTTAAACCTTAAACTCACATAGTTACACCATATGTACTGCACGACTCTGATATGAGACACTGCGATTTTATCTCATTCAACTGAATTAGAAATCCTTTCTTTGAAAACTCAGATATTTAATTAATCCTTACCACAATTTTCTTCGTCACTTCCATCAGAGCAGTCTTTGATTCCATCACAGAGCAAATCCAGGTTGACACACTGTTTATTCCGACATTCAAACTGAGTGTGGTAACATTCAGGGTAAGCTGTAACAAGGTTAATAAGATAACAATCAGGGTACTAAGCTGTAACAAGGTTAATAAGATAACAATCAGGGTACTAAGCTGTAACAAGGTTAATAATGAAACAATCAGGGTACTAAGCTGTAACAAGGTTAATAAGATAACAATCAGGGTACTAAGCTGTAACAAGGTTAATAATGAAACAATCAGGGTACTAAGCTGTAACAAGATTATTAAGATAACAATCAGGGTACTAAGCTGTAACAAGGTTAATAATGAAACAATCAGGGTACTTAGCTGTAACAAGGTTAATAAGGTAACAATCAGGTTACTAAGCTGTAACAAGGTTAATAACGTAACAATCAGGGTACTAAGCTGTAACAAGGGTAATAAGGTAACATTCAGGGTAAAAGCTTTAACAAAGTAAATAACGTAACATCCAGGGTAAGTTGTAACAAGGTAAAACAAAATGTAACATACAGGATAAGCCGTATTATGATAAACAATCAGGGTACTAAGCTGTAACAAGATTATTAAGATAACAATCAGGGTACTAAGCTGTAACAAGGCTAATAACGTAACAATCAGGGTACTAAGCTGTAACAAGGTTAATAAGGTAACAATCAGGGTACTTAGCTGTAACAAGGTTAATAAGATAACAATCAGGGTACTTAGCTGTAACAAGGTTAATAAGGTAACAATCAGGGTACTAAGCTGTAACAAGGTTAATAAGGTAACAATCAGGGTACTAAGCTGTAACAAGGTTAATAAGGTAACAATCAGGGTACTTAGCTGTAACAAGGGTAAGAAGGGAAAAAATTCAGGGTAAAAGCTGTAACAAAGTAAATAACGTAACATTCAGGGTAAGTTGTAACAAGGTAAAAAAATGTAACATACAGGATAAGCCGTATTATGATAAACAATCAGGGTACTAAGCTGTAACAAGATTATTAAGATAACAATCAGGGTACTAAGCTGTAACAAGGCTAATAACGTAACAATCAGGGTACTAAGCTGTAACAAGGTTGATAAGGTAACAATCAGGGTACTTAGCTGTAACAAGGTTAATAAGATAACAATCAGGGTACTAAGCTGTAACAAGGTTAATAAGGTTACAATCAGGGTACTAAGCTGTAACAAGGTTAATAACGTAACAATCAGAGTACTAAGCTGTAACAAGGTTGATAAGGTAACAATCAGGGTACTAAGCTGTAACAAGGTTGATATCGTAACATTCAGGGTACTTAGCTGTAACAAGGTTGATATCGTAACATTCAGGGTAAGTTGTAACAAGGTATAAAAAAAATGTAACATACAGGATAAGCCGTATTATTATAAACAACTTAACATTCAGGGTAAGCTGTAAAAAAGGTAAGTAACGTAACATTCAGAGACATCTGTAACAAAGTAAGAAATACAACTTTCAGGTAAATCTGTAGCAAAGCAAAAACCAACTTTCAGGGAAACCGCAACAAAATTTAAAAAAAAAACCGAATTTTTCAGGGAAATCGTAACAAAGTAAATGAAAGAAAAAGTGAGCAAGATCACATACCCCACGCTCCCCCAAAACTCGACAATGCAACACGTAATGAATGGCACAGTGCATTTTAAATACACAGTATAATTCAAAAAGGGGCATTACTTGCAAAAAATCATCACATCAAAACTTCTTGCATAGAAGGACATTCAAATCTTTTCGGGGGGAGAACTATCCAAGATTTTTTTTTGTGTGTTTAATCATTAATATTTTGATCTCAAAATCAATAGGGTTTTTTTATCTTATATTTTGATCTCAAAATCAATAGGGGTCTTTTGAGGAGAACTATTCAGGATTTTTTGTGTGTTAAATCATTAATATTTTGATCTCAAAATCAATAGGGGTCTTTTGAGGTCATACAATATTTCACATAAAATTTCATTACAAAAGCTGGTTCCAGTGGATTTCCTTATTACCTAGCTGGAAGGTTTCTTCAATAATAGGCAAAACTCTTAGGGCAAAAATAATGGAATCGGAATTTCCTGGTAATATGCACATCTACACAATGTGTCCTAAATATCTGTAAAGTTTAACCAAATTCTGTACAGCCGTTTAAGAGGAATTGCGCTGACAAACTGTTCATCTTTATATTCAAGATATGGCCAAAAATCTAAGATGAAAAGTGCCAAAATTCCCAGAAAAAATAAAGGAATCGGAATTTCCTGGTAATAAGCACATCTACACATTGTGTCATAAATATCTGCAAAGTTTGACCAAATTCTGTGCAGCGGTTTATGAGGAGTTGCGCTGACAAAAAAATAGGACTGATGGACTGACTGACGGACGGGTAAAAAAACATTATACCCCCCGCAACTTGTTGCGTGGGGTATAATAATGAGGCATTTAGAGTAAGCTGTAACAAGGTAAACATGTAATATTCATGCAGGAATATCTATAACAATGTAACTAACGTAACTTTCAGGGTAATCTACAACAAATTGAAGGAAAATCATGTAGCATTCATGGTAAAGTCAATTAACTTAATATACAATATTAGTCCACAACAGACCTTATTATATTGCATTTTTATAATCTCGTTATATTCATGCAAACCCGATTGGCTGAAAAATCATCATATTAACCGTATTTTTGTAATGATATTTACCCACAGGGAAAATGCATGTGGAGCCAGGTTAAAGACGTCAAAAACGTTCATCAACGATTTTTTTTTTAATTTTCCAAAATTGATTTTCATCAACAACATAATCTTAGATTCAAATGGAAAAAGTAAAAAGTATAAAGCGTTGATTATTTTTGTAGAAATGAATATTATGTCTAATCATGATATGAAGAAAATATGACAGTGAATAGGAAAAGCAGTAATTTATTATCATAGCATAAAATAACAAGGTGTGTTTGTGAAACACTGATACCTCCGTATGGGAATTCATAGAAAAGGTTAAACTTTCTCAAATGCAAATCAAATATGTTGGTACCCAAAGTAAGGTCTTGTCTCGAGGAATATACCTGTGAAATATGAAAGCCCTAGCAGCAACAGTTGAATATATATGGAAAAGGTTAAAGTTTTTCAAAAGCAAGTCAAACATCAAGGTCAAGGTTAAATGGTTAAAATTAATGGTGTCCTAGGAAAGGCCTTCTCACAACAAATACACATTTAAATATGAAAGCCGTAGCACCAATCGTTCAAGAGTTATGACTTATGACCAAGGTTAAAGTTTTTCAAAGTCAACCTCCAAGGTCTTGTCACAAGGAATACATATAACATTAAATACCAAAGCCCTTGCGCCAACTGTTCAAAAATTATGGCAAAGGTTAAAGTTTTCCAAAAGTAGGTCAAACTCCTAGGCCAAGGTAAAAGTTTTTCAAAAATAGGTCAAACTCCTAGGTCAAGGTCAAAGGGTCAAAGTTGTTGGTATGCTCACAAGGATTATACAAGTGAAGTATGAAAGCCCTAGCACCAATTGTTAAAAAGTTATGGCCAAGGTTAAAGTTGGGTAAAATTTTGCAAAACTGGGTCAAACTCCAAGGTCAAGATCAAAAAATCAAATATGATGGTACTCAAAGAAAGGTCTTGTCACAAGGAATACACATGTGAAATAAGAAAGCCATACCTCCAACCAATCAAAAGTTATGGGCAATATTAAAGTTTTTTGGGGACAAACAAACAGACAGACAGACAGACAGACGGACGGGCAGGGCAAAAACTATATACCCCCGAATCGTCGATACGGGGACATAAACATATGAGGTATAAATTTAAACGATATTTAGTGTCATAAATATTAAATTCACATTAGAAAACATAATGAAGCGTTGCTTTTCAAAATCAGAATATCACATTGTTATCTGTGTTTGTAAAACAAAAACACACACGCATCCATCTCCAAGAGTTTCTTTCTTTTTAAATATATTTTTTTAGGGGAAAATGTACTACTAATAGAAAAAATCTTTATCTGGTACATGATACATAACTAGTATTAATCAGGTTGGGGGGAGACGTAAATTCCGCTATAATAGTGGTATATCACTATTATAGTGAAATTTCGCTATATTTTCAGCCCTATTGACCCCCGATTTCATCAAATAACATGCTTGGTGTTTAAAGCGCAAGTCATTGTGGGTATAAAAATGGGCACTAATTGGCACCCTTACATTCTATGAATTTTATTTAATTTTCTGCCGATGCGTTTAATAATGCGAACACACTTTTTAAAACGGAAGTTACATTTTTAACATAGCAACCACTGATTTCGGTAGTATTCAAGAAAGACTGAATTTCAATTTCTCTCACACATGTGCACAAATTAATGCTTGTAATAACTTTCAAGCAGCATTGAAAGAGGTTTGTCCAATTTACAGAAGAAAGGATGATTTGTCTCTGCATGGTAACGGGTATGGAGGCCCGTTGTGACATATGAAAAAAACTCATTACATGTATACTTTATTCTGATGGAACCGATTTTGTATAGTTCAATTGCAATAAATCGTTATATGAAGCATAAAAGTACTTAATGATTAATTTATTCTGATATATTCATAATACATTTTCATCCAACAAAAATTTCACGAAATGTAGCTGCACTTTCTAAAAATAAAAGTACGTTTATAATTAGTGATAAAAGACACCACGGAATATGACAGAACTATACTTCATATTTGGATATTGGAGAAAGAGATTGATGGCAAACCAACAACAAACTTTATGATAAACCTGATGACCTCAACTTTTCTATCGTCAACTTCCCTTAGTTATGCAGGAATATACCATCACCTGAATATGGGGTTTCTGTCTCACAGTTGATTCAATATACGCAAGAGCATATTCTCCGTCCGAACGATTTTAAAACGAAGCAGGCTTCTGACAAATAATGAATTAAGGGTAATCCGAAATCTCCTTTGAAGTCAACACTTCGCGAATGCCATGGTCAATACTATGACCTTATATGCAAATACAATCTGTCAAGTTGGGTCGAATGTTGACTGGCGTCTTTCATGCGAAATTTTCATCTTGAATTGACTATGGATT